TTCGAATATGTCCGACAACCCCCAGGAAAAATATGTTTGCGAGCTCGAGGAAATTCCAGAAGTTGGTGACATAAGTGGAGCATCCCTTCAGAAACCATGTCAAGAGGAGAGCAAGAGCAAGAGCAAGAGCAAGAGCAAGAGCAAGAGCAAGAGCAAGAGCAAGAACCTGATTGATCAGCTCGACAACTTCTTGGATGAGATGCCACACCACCATGATGGCGACAAGAACTTCAAGACCGACCAAGATGTGATCCCATGCTGTCACGAGGTTGTAGCGATCTAGCTTCACCGCTCGAAACTGAAAGAAGCTGGAGACTACGCCGGAAGGCAGCCACTCCGAGATGGTCCGCGAGGTCATCCAGACGTCAAGATTGGCGCTGTAAACCTAGCGAGGAAGTCACGGAGCGGAGGGGAGGAGACGGTCACCTCGAAGTCGACGAAAGTCACTCGAGTCTTGATGTCTATCCACTGATGCTGCTGGAGGTCACCAACGATGGCCAGAAGGTCCGGGTAGTTGTTGATGTCAATGAAGAACCCTCCTCCAGGATAGAGGCCGAAGTACCCCCACTGAATGATCTCGTCTGTCTCTGTGGAGTCCTGCAAGACAGTCAGGCAGGTGCTGGAGCAAAGGGGGGACAGAGACTGCTGGCTGCTTCCTTACCTTCCATTGGAAGGCGCTCGAAACCCTGGCAGGAAGGTTTTGAGGGGAGCTGCCGTCGGTTCCTAGGAAGGTCTTCTCTTCGTCGTGGAAGTTGAAGGTGCCGTAGCATTGACGCACGACGAGCCTCTTGGCTGTCCGGGAGCACACGGACTCCCCGACCCTCAGCTGTCGCAGCCTGATGCCAGTCGGCACGTACATGTTGCCGAACTCAAAGCTGTTGTTGGTGAAGGCAGTGTTGTTCACCAGCAGCACCTGGCCAACGTTGTTGAGCACAAACTTCCAGAAGGTTTCAGGTGTAGCAATGCTCTCAGATGGGACAATCTTAGACCTGAACAGCTCTTCGAGGTGATGTGTTTGCCCCCTGTCTTTAAACATCATCGTAGAAGCCGTAAAAGCTGCGAGGAAGATGATGAAAGCAAGAAGTTCGCACATCCACCCTCGCAGGGAAAACTGAGCTTTTCTGACATAGGCCAGAGCCTCCTTGTCATTCTCTCCTTCATCACTGAAAAGTTTCTCCGGAGGCATGGTTGCCTTGGCGAACCGGAGGGTTGTCGATCAAGACCTGCTTTCTTGTTGATTTGCTGGTCTATTTGTGCGCATCGCTTCGACCTGATAGATCTTTAGTTGCCAGCGAATCTTGTCAAAGTTTAACGAGCCATTCAAAGACATCAAGTAAAGAACATGAAGTAAAGCAAAGAAAATACAGTGTTGTTTCATTCCCGCCTTCACCCCTACACCCATCCTCCCTCTCCCTCCGCTGCCCAGGCTCCGTAGCTCCCTCTTCCTCCTAGCGGCTCCCTCTCCCTCCTAGGCTCCCTGTCCCTGTCCCTCTCCCTGTCCCTGTCCCTCTCCCTCTCCCTCTCCCTGCTCCAGGCTCTCGCCTGCCATGTGCCGCAATTCTCTTGACCCAACCGTTGAGAATCTGCATGTTAGTTGCATACCCGGTGTTGCCTGGTGGAATGCTGACCCCCACCCCCTCGAAAATCTCTTTTGGCACCCCACCCCCCCGATCCACCCAGGATCAGAGAAATGCTTCACGATGCGACTCTGGTCGTGTTTGCGCTTGTGGGCATGGCGAGCAGCAATGGAGGGGTGGGGGGGTTGCAGACGGAAGGCCATGCCAGTCGAACATGCCTTGCGAGCTGGAAGAGAGCACGTGCCATGACGTTGAGAGGAGGAGAATCGGATGAGGAAGAGGAATTCGGGCCAGGGCGCCTCAATGATGCGATGAAAGGTGAGGAGGAGACAGAGCATGCCGGAGCGCTTAGTATGATCTCACTCATTCCGATGCAGATATCAACTTCTACAGAACGACAGATGGATACAGCCTCGAACCTGCCCCTCAGTATAGCCTCCGAACAGCGGATCAAGACGAAGGCGTGGTGAGATTGCGACACTAGCGATTTGCAGGCGATGAAGAAGAGAGGTTGCAGGATTATGGCGCTCATGGATTCATGTTCAACATTGTAGCAAAAAGGAGTGTTGTCATCACCGGGGTTCAAATCTGTTCTGCAGACGGCGGGCCGTGAGAGCTGTAAAGCAACAGACCGAAGCTCTGATGTTGCGACAGGTTTGATTATGACATTTACACCTGCCCTCAACCCTGGGAGCATTCGTTTCAGGATGAGACCAAATGGACAGCATGCGGCGGAGGGTTTCGAGTATCTTGCGTGCAAGTGTGTCTGTCTGTCGTTGAATCAGCGCAGGTGAACATTCCTGGTCATGAGCATGGGGAGTACGGGAAGTTGCCCTTCACAGATGGTGTGTATCAGCTTGCGCCCTTTCGCTTCTCTTCCCAGTTGATGTGCTGCTCGCTTGCATGTCACCCATGATCTCAAAGAGGGCGTCAAGATCTCGGGGGGGCAGACAAGAGCGTTCTACATTCACAGCAAGAACGAAGACACCGCCGTCGGGTATCACCTTCTCGGAGATTCAAGGTTGACCCTGTGCTACCCTCCTCGCTCCTGAGGCTTCGCAGCATATTCGACGGCCCCTTTATCGACAAGAAGGACAAGAACGTGACGGAACGAGACGCAAACATCCTCATCACCACCGGGACGACTTTCAACCAGCCGATGCCGTTCAAAGAAGGTGAGCGCTGTTGAACACACGCCTTGAGATGACACTAATGTAATCGTTTCAGCTCAGTTAGACGATCTTTATCGAGGCTTCTTAGGTATCATTGAGTATGAGTTAGATCACTAGATAAACTACGCGGCCCGTCCGATCCGACCGGCAGTCACTGGCACTGAGCAGCCGGCCCGGGGCCGCCTTAAACTTGAACTGCACGCAGCGGGTCCGATTGAGGTCCCGGCGCCGTTGAACTTCGGAATTTCGTGTAGGCCCACCGTACTGTAACTTCACGGTGACCGTACCGACAGCGGCGGCGTACGGTCGCCGGCCCGCCGCGGGGCGGCCGTCACTTTTGGCCAGTCACGCGGCGACTCGTCAGTGTACGGTCAGGCCCAGGTCAAGCCTCCTCGACTCTCCTGATTGTCCTCGTACTGATTTTTAACTTAACTTTGAGTAAAGTACTGTGTCACTTGTCTCTCATCACTCGAGTACCATACAGAACTGAACAACTTCAAGCAGTGAGTCCGACCGATCAGTATCATCTGAGTCAGTATCATCAGTATCATCAGTATCATCAGTATCATCAGTATCATCAGTATCATCAGTATCATCAGTATCATCAGTATCATCAGTATCATCAGTATCATCAGTATCATCAGTATCATCAGTATCATCTGAGTCAGTATCATCCGAGTATCATCAGTATCATCAGTATCATCAGTATCATCAGTATCATCAGTATCATCAGTATCATCAGTAGTATCATCAGTATCATCAGTATCATCAGTATTCTTCAGTATTCAAGTCTTCACAAGTCCGTCACAGTCCCCCGGGGCCGCCTACTCAGCTGAATATTCCCCCGTAACGGCGATAACGGTCATTAACTGACGATTTTTTTCTTGTTTTTTTCTAAATCAGAAGTTAAAACGTCCAAAATTATTTGTCAACTGTACAACAGCGTTGGAGAGCAGGAGAAACACAGGAAGATCAGAACAAGAAGATCAGAAAACAAGAAGATCAGAAAACAAGAAGATCAGAAAAAGAAGATCAGAAAACAAGAAGATCAGAAAACAAGAAGATCAAGGCACCTCAAAGCAGGACAACACGAGTGAAAGCGAGGGTCTAAACAAGGGTCTAAACAGGTTTACCTACAAAAGTGGAGGAAGAGGTTGAGGCAGACAAGGGAGAAGCGAACAGCAGCTAGCATACCAATGGCTTCCTTGGTTTTGATACAGAAGCGACAAGCGTGCCAGAAGAGAAAGGAGCTCTATGAAAAAGTAAAGAATCATGAGAAATACGTGCAAACTGTTCTGAAAACCTGGGACAAGAGCAAATCCGGCGGATTGAACTTTGAGGAGCTGAAAGAGTATCTGAAAGACATCAGTCAGGGTCGGGCTCCAACAGACACTGAAGTTCAGTGGGTGATTCAGACAGCGACCAAGGAAGGTGGGAAGTTCAACCCCGAGTGGGTCTCCGGGAAGATGGAAATTAAACCACCAGAGTTCGCAGCGGCAGCGCATGCTTGGCAATCATACCAGGAGAACCGCGAGATGATCGACGAGGTGTTCTCTAGATTTGACGTGCATAAGCGAGGGCGACTCAACTGGGAGGAGCTGAAGAAGGTTCTGACTGAGCTCAACGACGGGGACGAGCCGACCAAGGAGGAGGTAGACTGGGTGATGAAGAAGTCGGACATCGTCGGGAACGGAGAGATCGACAAGCCTGAGCTCATTCAAGCCATCGCCGTCTGGTACTCACATGTCGACGGAAATGTCGCGAGCACGGAGAGAGTGCCAGGAAGTAGCTCGTGTTGTGTGCTGCAGTGAGAAAGGAGAAGAGCAGGTGGATTGCTGAGCTTGTCGAGTTTGATCTCATGTATTTCTACAGGCTGTTGCAAATCAAGCCATGCGCAACTAAGTTAATGCAAAGTGAGTAAAGTTTGAGGTGCCGCGTCGTCACGCTCGTCACATCTTCCAAGGCCCAGGAGCTTGTTGCACGTGATTCATGGCGAGAAACTGAAAGTCGCTCGGCGTCTCGCGTATGAGAGAAGCTGACGGGCCGAGGCGGCCGATGACATTGCGAACAGCCTGGCAAGAAAGAGATGCAAAGGGTCAGAGCGAGTCGAGAAGGAAGAGGGAAGAAGGAGAGGTCGGTACGGGGAGGTGGCTCAACAACCTCCATGAAGCGACGCTGAGCGACGATCTGCTGCTCCCAGCCGGAGTCACCTGAGTCCATCACTCTCTTGTGCTGCTCGTTGATCTGCAAGGCGAGTCAAGCAAGCAAGGAGCTGGATGCTTCCTCACGTCTCGCAGCTGATGCTCCAAAACCTTGAGGGTTCTCTCCCGCACCACAGACGCGTCATGAGCCTCTGCTACGTCGTTGATCATCCTCGCCATGACGTCGAGTCGCTCGTGATCCACACCTCGCCTCACCAGCTCTGACCCAGCCTGCCTCACAACGTCACCTCTCAGACCGTCGGACCTCCGACAGACACTCACGGTCCTCGCCAAGTTGCTCAACCTGCTCTCAAGGATCGCGTTCTCCTGCAGCAGCCGATGGTTCTGCTGCTTCAACTCCACGTACCCTCTCTGTAGAGCTTCGTTGCCTTGACCAGACGCGCTCGCCCCATTGGAAGAGATCTGAGCCTGCAGCATTGAGAGTTTGGACGTGAGCTCGTCGACTTTGCTGCTCTTGGACTGAATCTCCATGTCCTTGCTCGACAGTCTTCTGCTCATCTCAGCCGTCAGGTTCTTCTCTATCGCTTCACATCGATGCAGCTGCTCGTCCAGGCGCTCACTCAGCTCCTTGATCCTGTCATCTCGCGCGCGAATGTTGGCGTCCATGTCGTTGAACTCTTCCTCCCGCTGCTTGCGTTCGTTTCTGATGATGGACTCGAGGACAGCTCGGTCAGTCATCATCTTGTTCTTGATCGCCTCCAGGTTCTCGACCTCCAAGTCTCTCGCTCGCAGTCGGTCCATCAGTTGTTGATCTGCTCGATTCAGCAGCTGCGTGATCTCTGTGTCCCTCTGTGACAGGGTCTGTCGCACTTGAATCAGCTTCCCGTTCAGGTCCAGAATTTCCTCGTCACGCCTCCTCAGCTCCTCTTGGCACTTCTCCAGTCGCATCTGCATGTCGCTCGCCGCCTTGAACCGCATGGCAACTTCTGCTTGATACTCGCGTTCAATCTCCGAGCGGATGCGAGAGTAGTCCATCCTATGTTGGCCCTGGTTGTGTTGCTGCACCTGCAACAGCAGGTGAAGTTTGTCTTCCAGTAGAGCCAGGCACGCTGTCAGCGAGTCTGTCCTCCTGCCGAGACCTTCGTCTTCGAATCTGTTTTGACCAATCGGTGCAGTGGAAGCAAGCTCCTGCCGTTGCGATTGTATCTTGTCCTCCAACGCCTTAATGCGCTTCACGATTTCCTCGGGGTCCTTGAGCATATGAACTTCTCTCACGAGGTTAGAGAGCGCCAGCTGACTTGCGCGTTCGTTGTAGTAGAGCTCTCGCACAGACGTCAGCTGCACCTCGAGCTCCTCTATGATCCTCGCCTGCATGTCCATCTGAGGGGACCGCGAGAGGTATCCAACCCTGGTGGGGCTTCGAGGGCTACGACCCGGTAAGGAAGGAGAGTTGTCCGACATGGCACCGCCATGAAAGTTCTCAGCATGCTGCTGGACGTTTGAGTCTAGTGAAGAAGGCGAGGGAAGCGCTTGAGCTTTGGCTCTTGCTTCAGCTTCTTGCATTCGCCTTCTCCGCTCGAGCAACTCCAGGTAAACTTGCTTTGCCAGTCTCATGCGGATAAACCGCTGGATTGTGACACACGACGCCTTGCGAAGCAATCGAATCTTCTTGACCACGATGCGGGCGAGGTGACCTCTGACCACCCGCTGCAGGATCTTCACCTGCCCAACAAGCAGTCTACTCCTCTCCTCCTCAAGCTTGTCGTATATCTCTCGGCGCATGAAGATCTTAGTCTTGCCGACCCTGTAGTGCTCGTCGGGCATTCTCAGCGACCGACACATGTGAGTCGCGGCGACCCTCAAGTCACCCGGAGGTGGCTGCACGAGGATGGAGAACCTGGAGGTGAAGTCCTGGTGCAGCACGCGCACAGGGAAACCAGCGCGAGAGACTCTGACAGCTTCCATGAGGCCTGAGCATCGCAACTGATCCAAGATCATCTCCGGCTCAAGCTTTCCAGGCTCCTTCTGCGAGTTGGGATTGATGCAACGGACGAAATGAGGTTGAGCGGCATTGATCCTCATCATCAAATCGGTGAGCTGGCGTTTGAACTTTGACGTGACACTCTCGAAGAAGAGCGATGACTGCCCTTTGGGTCCTTTCTTGGTGTTCTGCTCCATCTTGCTTAGATGATCTTGAAAGATTTGTCGAATGTACTCATTGTGGGAGGTTGAGAGCAACTCCAGCATAGAGGGCTGTACCGGGTCTTTGTTCTTGAAGCAGAAGCCTTGAGCGTCGTAAACTACCTCAGCTGCGTAGTGCTTTAGAGTAAACTGCGTTCCCTTCATCTTTGCGGTGTAAATGTAAGGGTTGTCTTGAATTTCACTCTTCAGCTTCGTGCAATAAGTCTCGTCGTTGCCGTTTGGCATTAAGCATTGTTCGTCTAGCAGAGCCAGCATCCCCGTCCTCTTCGCTTCTATCATTTCTATGCATTTCGTGTTTGTCTGAAAGTAGAAGTCTTCATAGCTCCATTGGATATCCTCTTTTTGATATTCTTGAATTTCCAAAGAAAAGTTAAATTCATTGAAGTGCCCCTGCAGCTTTTCGTTTGCGTAATTGATGCAAAATTGTTCGAAGTGATTCGTCTTGAAATGCTCAAAACCAAAGATGTCCAAGATCGAAATCGTCTTTGTCTTCGTCCCGACCTGTTACCACATACTCAGAAGGCACCATAATACATCCATGTTGGACCTCATAACGCAGAGTTTGATTGATTCGAGAAACCAGCATGTCAAACAAGTTCCCATACAAGGCTCTAGCTAGTGCATCACGTGCGTCAACAGCCTGTCAAGCAGTTAATCTAAAATGATCAGAGGCATGAAGATCAACCTGCTGCTGGCTCTGAGAGACACGATAGAAGTCGCCGCCTACTGTTGGACCAGCCTGGATGTGCCGCACAACCAGCGCTGCCACCAACTTTTCCGTGTCGCATCCCAACAATTTGGCGCAAATCTTAGACTCGTAGTCATCTGCACTCACAACGGCTCCTCCCTCCTTGTCTGCTCCTATCGTCATGTTGCCAAGATGCAACACAGCAGCCAGCACGTTGAAAATTGAGTCTCGCTCTGCAGCTGCAATGCCGATCGCTTCCAAAGCAGCCAGCGTATTTTGAAAGGATGTAGCAGGCCTGTAGTATGCTTTGTTAACCGGCTATACAACAAGCTTTCTGTTTACCTGTATCCTACTGAAACTTTGCATCCCTTCCGAATGTACGAGAAGTGTTCCGCGGACCTCAGTCCAAGTGCCTGTGTGAGGGGGATGTTTTGACCAGCTTGCGTACAAAGTTGATAGAAAATATGAAAATTTCTTTCTCCTTCTTCTTGTCCCACCACGCGAGACTTCTCCAGGAGATAGGTGTCAATCTTGGCACCAATTAGTGCAAATCTATCATCAAAGGAAATGTCGATGTATTTTCCGAATCGAGAGGAGTTATCATTCCTCAATGTTTTGGCATTACCGAATGCTTCGAGCACTGGGTTGCACTGCAAAACTTGTTGCTCAGTGTTTGCTGTCGTAGCAGTGTGATGGGCGACCGCTGCCAAGTACTGCATCATGAACTTTGTGCTTTCCGTCTTTCCTGATCCACTGTCTCCACTCACAAGAATTGTTTGGTCCTTCCTCGTTGTTTGTAAGTTCATGAAAGCCGATTCACTGATTGCAAAAACGTGTGGGGATGTATTATCGATTTGATGCTTACGGTACGAATGCAGAATCTCTGGACTGTAGATTTTGATTTCTTGCCACGGATTCATTGCCACCAGGATCGGCCCTGTTCGAGTGTAGATCTTATTCTGTAGATAACGTTGCATCAAGCTATGCAGCATGTTGGGTTCGTCTAGGTCTGGCAGAAGAGTCAAATTATCCACTGTTTCCATCCCTTGCGGTGTCCTCTGTGACACTTTATCACTTCCTCTGGGTACAGTGACTCGCTTTCCATCTTCAGTGGCGATCACAAGCTCCCTGTACACAGGTGTCAAAGATTGAGAGCCTGCTAGATAGCAACGCGACCTCTCGTGCACTTGCTCGACTATCCCTCCCACCCATTTCAGGTTTGAAACCTTCAACCAGACCCTCGCTGTAATATGAACCGAAGTCATCGCTCGACCTGCAAACTCCACTGAGTCTCTCTGGGCAGCTGGCACCGGCAAACCCTCACAAGCAATTCAAAAGCTTCGGTCCTGTGCTCCTTACAAATATCTCCTCAGCCCTTCAGCTGCAATCCAGCATCCCCTGCCAACATAACCCTCGATCAGCAACCCGGTCGCGTTAGTGTCAATGGAGGACAGCGAAGACTAGCTAGCACAGCGAGTCATAAGCATCGAACTTCATCGATCTGTGATCAGAGAGCGTTTGTTTCCTCGAAATCGACAAAAATTCTGGGGTGTACAGGCAGGTGGGAACGGATCAGGGGACGCGAGGTTCGAGGACCGAGTTGGGCAAAGCGAGGAGCGGGAGAGGCGGGAGGCAGCGGAAGATGGGGAGAAAGGGAAATAGGCATGGACGGGAAGAGAAAGAAGGTGAGAAGCTGTCTGAGGGGAGGGCAGGAGGGCAGGAGGAGGCGCTGCCGTCTGCTCATAATAGCATGAGGAGCGGCAAGCGCTGCGAATCACCATGGGGTGGTGGGGTAGGTAAGGAGTATCAATGACGGGGTACTTTGAGGGTAAAGTAGGGGGTGGGTAAAGAGGTGTAGGGTAAGAGGAAGTCATAGGGTACTACAGTGGAGTCGGGTAAATGGAAGTAGGGTAGGGTATGTACGAGGGGGTCATTCAGTACCTAGGGGGGTAGTTTAAATGGAGTTTGAGGGGGGTGACAAAGATTGGAATGGAAGCTCATGGGGGGTGGGGTGGGTCCGGGGAACGGCAGAAGAGGTACCCTCACAGATGGGGGTACTCGAAGGATGTAGGGGGGGGTGGATGCTGTTGACTTCGCAAGGTTGGTACATGTTGTGATAACCGTTACCTTTCCGTTATGGGTGGAATCCACCATCGTAAAATGCCAAGATGCCGGCGCTGAGTGAGGTGAAGGAGAGGAGGAGGACCAGGAGGACCAGGAGGACCAGGAGGACCAGGAGGACCAGGAGGACCAGGAGGACCAGGAGGACCAGGAGGACCAGGAGGACCAGGAGGACCAGGAGGACCAGGAGGACCAGGAGGACCAGGAGGACCAGGAGCAGGAAAAGCAGGAGTACCAGGATCATGACCAGGAGCATCAGGAGTAGGAGCAGGGGGGGGCAGGAGCAGCAGGAGCAGCAGGAGAAGCAGGAGCAGGAGCAGGAGCAGGAGCAGGAGCAGGAGCAGGAGCAGTATATTGGAAATTGCAGGTTCTGAAAAGGTAGTAGATGACGACAACAAGTACGTGGTGGCAGACGAGGAGGGACAGGGAGTCTTTAACCTTGTCAAGAGCGAGCGAGAGGACGAGAAAGCAAAGGACGAGGAGATCTTGATATGCGCCTTCAGCAGACAAAGGTAAGGATAGGGATAAGAGAGCTCCTGAAAGCCATCCACTTTAAGAACCTAGAATATCATAGTACAATGTAGTCGAGGGGCTGACAGACAAGCTTGCACCTTAGGTTGTTTTTGCTCTCAGCGGACTTGTGAACCCTGAGCGTGCTGAGCTCCGAAGTTTGGCATGTGCCATGGGAGCTCAATATCGACAAGATGTGACCACAGACACGACTCATGTTGTCTGCAAGTTCGACGGAACTCCCAAAATTGCCCAAGCAAGGCAGCAAGGTTGCTTCATCGTAAGAACAGAGTATGAAGAGAGGCGCAGAAACGTTTGAATGATTTGTTGTAGCTGGATACAGGCTTGTCATCACGAACAAAAGCGGCTACCTGAGGGTGTTATGTCTGCATTTTGTTTCGATTTGCCTGCTCAAACATCCCAGACGACTTTCTTCTTCACAAACAAGATCAGAATCCGCCAGCAAGCAAGAGGCCTCGAACTGATGTACAATCACACGGAAAGGTGACCTCTAGCCATCGCCGACTCCCCTGATCAGTGCTAGTATAGAACGTCGACTCGTCGCAGAAGCTTCCAGCAAGTGTCGAACTGCCTGGTTCTTGGATGCAAGCTGAAGTTGCCTTGCTAGGAAAAGATCAAGTGGACGAGGAGACTTCAAAAATGGTGGACGGTGACATCAAGAGGTTTCGAGACTACCTCGCCTCTCAGGTTCTCCGATCCTCGTCACTGTGGAAGTAGTGAAACCCTTGCAGGTGAAGGACAACCAAGACAAGGAGACGATTGCCCGCAAAGGTCTGCTGGAGGCTTTCGTGTATGCCAAGGAATGTCATGAGCAGCACGGAGACTTGAAATCGTTTCAAGACGAATGGTGAACCCCCTTATCACGCTTTCGTCCTCTCTGACGACAGCAGGATCGGGCCGATTCCACTGGCTCTTCAACGTCTTCTCGAGGTGAAGGACCTCATGCAAGACCACGGGAGTCCCTAAGCTCTGCTGTCAGGATTTACCGGCGAATGTGACGACGAAAAGGATAGAAGAGCTTCACGGTATCTTCGACCTCGGTTGCTTCAAGCAGCGGCTGACTCTCTCTAGATGTTTATCAACTCGTTCTAAGTCGTTCACCCACCTAGTGATTCTGATGGGTTATAACAAAGTAGCTGGCCAGCTTTTAGTGCCTTGTCTCGCTACCCAATCTCACAGCAACCTCTGCCCCAGTATCTTGCCGGCTGTCAATCCAGCTGCCTCGTCATGTCGGATATGTCAGGAGGGCCGGCGCCGGGTAAGGACAGCGACGGGGAGGAGCCCTCGTCGACTAGAGGAATTTTCCCCTCCTCCTTCCAGTCATACTGCCCCCTGCATCTGCTCCGCATCTGCGACCCTATGCAGCCGCATATCGCTGCTCACGGTCGGTCAGCAGCGGCGCACTTGGCATGGCGTTGCCTCCCGGGGGCATCGGCTGGAACTCATGATCGGACGGGCTTGACCTTGTCAGCATGAACCAAAGGGGGCTCACTGCTGCCTCGGAGCATCTGTATCAGAGCTGGTGGCTCCTCCTTGCTTCGCAGCGTGCCATGTCGGATGGGAAGTGAGGGGAGGAGCGCGAGGAAGAAGAAGAGATGCAGGCAACGTCATGACTTTCTCAGGACGAAGTTGGCGACCATAAGGAGAAGCTCTCCCTGATTCCCTTGAGCTTCGACTCATACATGCAAGTTGCTACCTCTGGCAGAGCTTCGCACGTGTACAGATTCCTCGCGTCCAACGCATGGCTGCTCATATTCGCCTGTGTCATGTTCAGAGACCTCCGCTGTGTGCTCGGGCTGCATCTTGCCTTGTGCCATGCTGACTCCAGCTGGTTTGTACGTCAATGAAGGCGCAATGTGGATGGCAAGTTGACCTTCAGGCAGGACCCCCGGTGACGAAAGATTTGTTCTTCTTCCTCCTCTCCGATGAAGAATTGAGGATCTCCAACCCACTCGAAGAGCCCATCTCCTCCCTACTGTCAGTTCTCTCCTCCACGCGTCTTCCTCTCACCTTGGTAAAGGATGCTGGCCAGGCTGTCAGCATGTTGAAACTCTCGAACCTCCTGCGCGTCAGGGTGAGCCACGTCTGACACGACGACAAAGAAGCCGCCAGGACGCAGAATGCGATGGATCTCCTGCACTGCACGTTCGAGGCCCTGCTCAGGGCGAGCAAAGTGTCTCCACATATGGATGAGGGAGCACGCGTCATACACCAGGTCGATGCTTCCTGCCAAGTCACGTCAAAGAGTTCGAGATCTTGCTGCTTCCTCACCGTCGGGGACCCTCATGAGCTCAGGCAGCAGCTCTCCCTCTATCTGTGACGAGGCACTTAAGACTCTCTCTCAGCAGCCGCCACAACCTTGTGAATGTTGGAGCGATTGAAAACAAGCTTGCTCTTGTCTGCTCGCGCGTAGATGCCTTCACCATCGATGGGAAACCAGGAGGAGAGGAAGTTGATGTCGATATTAGTCACAGAGCCTTTCTGGGACATGAAGAACTGCTCCTCGCTCAGATGACCTTCTCTCTACCTCCTCGTCACCTGTAACGGAGAACTGCCTCCCCCCACATCGATAGAGCTGAAGGTTGGCGGGAGCCCCATTGAAGACGACGTCTGATGCTCCTCCTGGATGAGACTTAGTCCTGAAGCTGTCAAACGATGGGGGCAAATACGAAGAGAAGAATGAGGAGGAGAGGAAAAAAGGAAAGAGGAGGAAGTGAGACAGGAGAATTACTTGAAGAACACGGACAGTCTTTAGAATGGCTGCCCACTTGTAGATGGCATCTTGATTCCTGTAAAAGCATCTCAAGAGAGAAATAAGAACAGTCTCCTAACAGGCAGTATCCGATGTCTCGCAGCGCATCCACCTCCTCCTGTAGTGAGCAGAAGTCGTTTCTTCGCATCACCCGGTTAAACTCCCAGCCATGCCTGGAGCATGTCGTCGCACCATCCTCGCATTTGCAATCCTTGCGGCCTGAATGTCAGCCATCACCTGACCACTGTCCTCTACCTCAGTCCGATGCCCAGGCCAACAAAACTTCTTCCGCCTAGCGCGAACCTCTTCCCACCTCAGTTGCAAGCTTGTCTCAACTGCCTTGTTTCACCACTCCACCACAACCTCAGCATTCCTCCGACCTTGAGGCGGCCAAAATCTGCTAGAAGCCGTCGGCATGAAAGTCGCCAGCATGGGGTGATCCGCATCGTTGGAACACTTGTGGAAGTAGAACTTTGATCGAGCCAGACAGGCTTCTTCGTCCCGCCCAACGTTGAGGCTCCTGTGCATGCTGAGTCAAGATCTGAAGAAAGCTGGCGGAGGAGAGAAGGCAAGTGCGAGTGAGAGGAAGGCACAAAGGGAGAGCGATAGCCAACATCATCCATGTGAATGGAGGGCACAGGAGACGTTCCTGTAAGCATCTTCCGTATCATCTTCAGATCCTCCCCAGCCACTCTCGTTGTGACAGTCGCCGTCGATCCAGCAGCGACCTCTCACTGCTCTCTCTTCGCTCCCTCCTGCCACCCACACCCGACACCCTCCCTCCCCAGCTGTCGCCCACGCCACCGCCACCGCTAGCCACCATGACGACATGTGCAATGAGGACAGAGAATTACAATGAGTGAACTTGACTTAGAGAAAAATTGCTGCCCTTGGTCTCCCCTTTCCTTCCCATGCCTCGTTCCGCTCCGCTTCCACAGCTCGCCTGCTCTCCATCAGCCTCATCCGCTTCTTCTCCTTCCTCCCTCGCCATTCATCGCTCACTCGCTCCTCCTGCTACAGCTACCGGCTCCCTCTCCTCTTACATCCTAACGTCAGCTTCCTCACATGAATGCACATTGCTCTCGGTGTTGGCCCTATGCTTCACCCTCTTCTATGCCTCCACTAAACCCTCTCAAACCTCTCGCCCTTCCTCTCCATCCCTCCTCCTCACCCTCTCCATCCCTCCTCCTCACCCTCTCCATCCCTCCTACTCACCCTCTCCATCCCTCCTACTCACCCTCTCATTCACTCAGTCATCCTTTCCCTCTCCGCTCCGCGACCACCTCCCATCCACACACCGCCCATCCCTCATCTGCTCCCTCCTTTCTACCCGCCTTCGCTTTTTCGCTTCCTCGCTCCTTACATCCCTTGCTTCCTCTCTCCCCTCGCTTGCTGGCTGTCTCACTTTTGCGGTCCACTACAAGCGAATCAGATTTGTTCTTTCTCCTTGTTGTGCAGACGCTTTTGCTGCTGGAATACACCATCGTCCCCTACCCCTTTCCACACACACACCCTCCTACTGCTGCTCCTACTAACCTTCGAACGCCTCAATCACCACGTCTTCTCCTCGCACTCTTCTCCTCGACTTGTCAATCTCGGACCTCACTCGGATGGCGATAACACGACTCATGTCTTGCCCCGACAGGAAGATCGTGAGGAGCAGCAAGTCAGCAGCTGCCATCATGTCGGGCTCGCGTGGAAGTCAAGCCAGTCGCTCAGTCTTTGTCGGAAACATCCCGTATAATGCCACAGAGGAGCAGCTGGAGGATATCTTCCGAGCAGTCGGCCATGTAGTCAGCTTCCGGTGGTGCCTTGAATCTGTCTTCCGGGACTGAAGCGAAACAGGCTGGTCAAGAACTCGGACACGGGTCAACCTAAAGGTTTTGGTTTCTGTGAATTTCGGGTGATTCAGATCACAACCTGCTCATTGTAAGCTGCCCGCACAAATGACATCATGTTGACCAGGATGCACAAACTGCAGAGTCCGCTATCAGGAACTTGAACAACACTGAGTTCAATGGGTACTAGATGGCTTGTTGCTTCTGATGTTACATCCTGAATGTGAATGTCTGGTAGACGGCTGCTTCGAATTGATTATGCGTCAAGCTTGGGTGAGGGAAAATCTGGTGGCGGAGGATCAGGAGGGTCGAACTCGGGAGCAAGTGGCGCCAAGCCACTTATGAATGCACATGATCAAATAATGGCTGTAAAATCTATTCTCACAAGATTTCACCTTGAGGTTCATATCCAGGTTGTCTCAACCATGTCTATTGAACAGATGTACAATGTTATGGGTCAGCTTAAAACAATTTGCGCTCAAAACAGGTGAACGAAGCTCAGGCTGACTAACGTTTCATATCTGTCTTGGTCGATGGTTGATTGATCCCGCAGAGAGCAAGCTCGAGAGCTCTTCAACACTTACCCTCAGCTGTCCATGGCTGTGCTGCGGATGCATGTGATTGAATGCCTCCTCTCGTCCTTTGCTCCCCTCATCCCCTCTTAGGATCTGCTCTCCAAGTACAGCAGCGGCGGCCCCCCTCCACCCGTCGGCATTCATAGCGACCCGTTGCCACGTGGGGGCATGTCCGGGCTTAGTGGGCCAGGCATGCCTCCTCCCCCGCAGCTTGGAGGTATGAGAGTGGCTCTAATGTTGTGAAGGTTCTGATTCACAAGCAGGAGGCATGGGGATGCCAGGTGCTGAGCTCCTCTTGCTCCTCATGTCATCACCCCGCTCGCCAGGAAATGTGCCTCCGAGTGCGATGGGTCAGCCTGTGGGAGGAGCAAGCGTGACCAGTGGGAGAGGCGGGAGTGGGGATAGCTCGTGAGCTGATCCGTCCTCGACAACCTTGTCTGACTGTCTCAGTTATCCTGGAAGTTCTGCTGGAGGAGGCTATGGAATGACTCCAGGCATGCGCTTGAGATGCTTGGCAGTCAGCTCACGTTTGACGGGCTGCACAGGAGGCAGTGGGGCTATGGGGCTCGGACCGGGGGGGGGGAATCTGCAGCAGGTGGAGGAGAAAGGCGACTTGATGGTATGATGTAACGGTTGTCACTCAGATGCTCGCAAACCTCACCCCAGAGCAAAGACAGCAGTTCAACACCCTTATGTCACTGCCACCAGAGCAGGTTCAAGAACCTTGTCCCCATCTCCTTGGCTTTTTCTGACTCAGTCTAGTTGGCGGCAATGCCTGATAGCGTGAAGCAACAGGTCTACCTCACAGGCCGCTTGTCCGCATGCTGCTCTAGTGACCATTGTCTAGGTTATGGCTCTTCGTCAACTGAGAGGAAGTCTGCCCCTGTAGGCCTAAGATGGTAGGCAGCCCCCTGGAGTCGCCGCTGACTCACTAAAAAGTAAAGAAGCTGATAAGAGTCTTAGACTTGTCTCGCCGCTCAGTATGCGTTCTCTACGTTCAGTCACTGGCCGCGCTTGCCAGGCTCGTCCAGGGTCACTGCCGAGGAGGCTCGCAACTGGTGCCGCCCGATTAGTGCACCAGGCAGTTACGCTGCAGTTACAGAGGGGGGGGGCGGAAAAGAGGGTGATGATATTGAGTGAAAAGATTCTGGAGAGTTTCTGTCCCTTCGCAGACAATGCAAGGAAAGGAAGGGCGAGGGATGGCGGCATGGGGGGCGTCTGGTTCTTCTCGCCTCCTCCTCGTTGCCTCCTTCTCCTTCTCCTTCGCCATCGCCTTTCTCGTCTTTCTCGTTCCGCCTCCTCTCAAGTCTCTCTCTCTCCTTCTCGAAACTCAACCTTCACCTTCTAGCTCCGTCCCTATCAAGACTGCCATCAGGGCTGCCGAGACTGGAGCAGCGCGGGCAGTGGCAGGTGCGAGCAAGCAGGCAGTGGAAGCAGCACTTATGCAGGCCGCCTTGAGTGTACCCGGGCAAAGAAAGCGCGAAGCTGCTGCTGCAAAAGCTGCTGCGATGGCCGAGAGGAAGAAACCTTCTGCAGCATGGTTAGCAGGGGAAAGAGCCTTGGCGGCTCGCAACCCTCTTTCAGCCATGGTAAGTCTGGCTGGTGAGAACCAGGAAGCAGTTAAAGGAACCAGACGGTTGGGCGCGCCGGTGTTGGCCTCTGACGTACAGGCGTCATGGGCGCATGGTTATCCCAACCCCAGCAGGTTCTTTCACAAGCAAGACAGATACGTCCACGTGGGGGAAGTGATCTCTCCCACTGATCCTCAAGGAAGCGAAGAGGGCGGAGAAGTGAACAGTGAAGAGCATCAACCGACCTCAGAGCCAGCAGCTCAAGGTGAAGGGGGAAGCCCTCACGAGGAGGAAGCCGACGCGGGTCAAGCTGAACCAGGGGACAAAGGAGGAGAAGAACAGGAAGCCACTGCAAGCGAACCTCCTCTGTGGCAAGACCCCATGCCCTTGCATGTCCTCTGCCATGGCAGGAACGCATCATGGTGCTCCCATGCTGAAGCTCAGGCGGCCATGGCCAGCTCGCTACCTTCGCTAGCCTCACGGTCTTCAGGCGCCAACAAGCCCGGAGCACCAGTACTCTCTGGTGGTGTTCGTGTACCGGGAGGTCGAGTAGTATGGGTGCCACTCCAAGCCTTGCAGACGCGTCCTCCAGCCGCTAGTGCCGTCGCGGCGCAAGCTCGTGTGGGAGATGTCATTGCTAGTGGTGGTGGGCACGAGGCTCTGTTGGGCCAGAAGCTTGCGGGTCAGGCTTCTCGGCGTCACAAGCAGCTTGCCAGGCAACGTGCGTCTGGCTCAGCTCGCGCAGCTTCTGCTACTCCCCCGTCGTGGGACCCCAAGAAATTTTACAAGGAAGTCATCTACAGGAGAAACGGGCAGCCTGCGTACGCGCTATATGCCGCACCAAATGCAGGAAGATCAGCTCAAGATCAGCCTGAGCGACGGATGACCCGCCAAGAGGAGCTAAAGGTGAGGGGAGGAGAAGAGAGCACTGGTATCCTGACGAATGGCACAGAAGGCTCTCGCTAGCGCTGAGAAGAGAATGGAGAAGAAAATCTTGGCGAAGCTCACGGAAGTGAGAAGACAGAAGCTCAATTCAAGCTCGAGTCGATTAACGACGCAACATCTGACTGTTTCACTAGTTACGTTGTTGGTAATGTTCATTACGAGCTTATAATCACAGCTTCTTCTGTTTGTACAAGACTGCGAATCGTCCACATCACTTACTTCTTTATGTTTCCTATCGACGGGGGACCTTCATCGTGTAAACTTTTCTCAAGAGCTCTTCTCATTTGCGCTTCGAAATTGAGGTAGCGACTGGAACATAGCATTAGCGAACGCTGAAAATCGCTGCATGTCGATTTCGTGCGCTTCCTTCTCTTGTCGGGCAACTTCATCTCCGCGCGCTTCTCTTGACCTTCTTCTTTGCTTCTCTTGTCGGGCCTGCAGGTCTTCGAGGACCCTGCGCTCTCATCTCCCTTGCGCTTCTTCTCTACATGTGAAATCACATTCGGCGACGTCATCGCCCTGTCTTCCGGACCCTCTTTATGCTCCACAGGTTCAGCGAGTGCTCCTGCTGCCTCATCCTCTCCGCTCAGAAGAGTTTGTTTGATGCTGAGCCTCATCTTCTGCCTCCCTTTCGCAACCTCGAGACTCTCCGTGTCCTCGTGCTCATTCGTCTCTCGCAGCTTCTTGTTGGCCTGCTCGATGGCATCTCGCAGCTCTTTCGGTTGGTCGAGCTTGACAGCTTCCTCACTCGCGTACCTGCGGACATCGCGGGGAGGGACAACTGCCCAGCTCTTAGAGCTTCGGGGAAGAAAAACGACGAAGACCCAGTGAGGATGAGCGAGCAGCTCCTTCCTCTGAGCCTGAGTGACCGGACCACATACGATGGCAGGCCACTCCGGGAAGTTGGGGAGAGCAGCCCAGACGAGAGCTCCTTCTTGATGCTCAACCTCCCGCTGACCTTCCTCCTTGAAGACTCGCATGTCAATCTCGACGGTTCCTGGGCGGCAGATGCAGCGAGTAGCCTGCAAGTAAGCAATGAGTCGATGCGATAGAGGGGAGTCAGGGGAAGAAGGAAGGAGAGAAGAAGCGGCTAGCAGCTATTGACCTGCAGACCAAGTGGGATCCAGGACGGCACGGCATAGTTGCAGGCCTCAGCGATGTTGAAGCCATGGTTGAATCCACAGTGAAATGCTCCTGGTAGGGTGATGACAAACTCTCCAGGCTCCTGGATGCAGTAGAAGACCGGGATTCCAACCTCTCGCAGCCGAGAAGGAGCGATCATGAAGGTCTTGTGCCGCATGTACGCCTCGCACTTTCTCTTTTCACGAGGGAAAAGTTCGTCGCATAGAGCCTGGAAGCGAGCTCTCGCGCTTCGCGGTACCGCGTACCACTGCTTCCTGGCTCCCATGTGGTTGAAGTTGATCGCCCCCAGCTCGTAGTCTTCCGTATGCCACGCGAACGTGGTTCGCCACATCCCCACGTAGAGAGAGGAGGAGGTCACGCCTGGAAGCGCCTGCACTCGCCCTTGCAGCATCGTCTTCAATTCCTTTAGATTCCACTCCCCAGCCATGTCCTCAAATAACGATGAACCCACGACGTCAGCGCCGTAGACCGGAGGAGAAAGAGCTTCTGTCCCTAGACTCGTCCAGAACCGCCGCTCCAGCATGGCAGCGTCTCCTCTCGGCGGTCTTCTTGCAGGGCTCAAGGCAAGCTTCCGATACTGTTGCAGGGTTGTCGAAGGCTTGACCACTGCCAGCAAACGATGGGAGTTACCTCCAGATGACCTGAGAGCAGCAGAAGCAGCAGCAGCAGCAGCAGCAGCAGCAGCAGCAGCAGCAGCAGCAAGAATGGATGGCAAGAGAGGTAGTTCTGAGCACAAAACAGCAAGTAAAGTACCATGGTATTGACGGTAAATTCCCTTCCTCCCAACAGAATTTTGCTCGATTGGCCTGGGAATCATGAAATCTAAAAGACCGTCGTCTACTTCCTGACTGAAGCTCTTCCTCTGGGCACACCTGACAGAATTTTCCATCAGGTTCATGATGTGACCACACAGGTCAGCATGTAAGGACTGCTGTTAGGAGGGGAGGAGCCGCTCAAATGTTGTTTGCATGCAAGAAGTTGGATCGAGGTTCAACTGGAGCTCAGGCAGCTCACCATGAAGCTGATGGAACGAGTTTGACTATGCCTGCATGGGCTCCCATCATCTCTGCCTCCTCCAGCGTACCCGTCACGCTCCCTCGTATCGCCATGGCTGGACATTCCATGGCCAGTCAACCCAACTCGTATCTTTCTCACCACCCCACCCCCGCAGCTTCCGTTGCTACCAAAGGACCCCACCCTACAAACAGATGGCCGGGTACCACAGCTAGCTTTTAACTGACCGGACGGGAGAGAAGGAGCCGAAAAGAATGGTGGGGACAGGATGAAGCAGAAGAGAGCGAAGACTTGAGGCGGGGAAAGGCGAGGAGAGGAGAGGAGAGGAGAGGGGAGGAGAGGGGAGGGGAGGAGAGGAGAAGAGAGGAGAGGAGAGGGGGCAGGGGAAGGGAGGACAAGACAGAAGAGAAGGGGCACAAGTTTGACATGGAGAGGATGTTTCAAGTCTCTCCCCGACGTCCCCTCGTGTCTTCTCTGCCGACTGTCAAAAGTTCTACTCCGAGAAAACTTGAAGAAGCGACGTGGAGAGAGAAGTGGGAGAAGCTCTACCAGGAAACAAAGCTTCTCAAGACGAACCACCAACAAGCTCTGAGAGACTGCGAGGAAGCGAGAGGGAGGATGCTGGAAAAGGATCAGATCATTGTCTCTCTCCAGAAGCAGATCGACGAGCTCAAGTCGCAGGTCATTGATTAAATGATTACCTGATCTATATCCTTATCTCCTCTTCTGTTCTATCTGCTTGTCTCCTTGTCACCTGCTCTGACTCGAAGCAGCTCGCCAGGTCGTTCACCAGTGACTTCGCGTCCTCCTCCACAAGATCTGCATCAGAAGAGAGCGAGCAGGAAAGAAAGCGTGGGGTGGACAACATGGCTGTCAGGGAGGTCAAGACAGGGTCTCGTGATTTGCTTCGCATGCTGAAAAACCAGAGAGTGGTGGCGATGAGATCGAGGAGGTACGAGAGCATGGAGTCTCCTTCTCTCTCCCTCACCCCCCGTCAAGCTGCCGATCTCGAGTTCGGCTGCAGCATGGCAGAACGTGTCGCGTTTCAATCGGGTCAGTTGCTGAAGGGTCAAATCGCGATGAGCGAGAGGGGGGAGCTGAAGGAGCTGAAGCAGAAGCTGTTCAGCAGCATGGACCTCATGGCTCAAGTGCGACTACGCGAAGTTGCTGTAAAGACCGACGAGCTCAAGTCTCCCAACGTCGCCAAACTTGCGGTGACTTGCGACCTGCTGGACAAGCTCTGCATCACGGCGAAGGTGGGCGGCTGTTGGTTTGTGGCCTCTGTGGCGTCTGATGACGCGACAGGAAAACTCGACGGCCTTGAACCTGCTGCGGACTGAGCTCTTGTCGGCCATCTTCAGTGACTACAGCCCGAAGGAAACAAAGGCTGCCCACCAGGCACGGAGGATGGTGGAGGAGCGCGAGAGCAAGATTCAGTCAAGTTACAGCGCGTGCGATGATTACGGACATCTTGTTCCTTTCTTCGTGCAGGTGAAGCGGTTGGAGACTTCGCTGATAGAAGCAGAGAGAGACTCGTCGCAGCTAAACAAGCTGCTCAATCAATCCAACAAGCGACAGACTCTGGTCAAGAAGGCCATCAATGTCTTGTACGGCCGACAACAGTTCTCTCTTGCTCAGATCTGTTTCCATCTCTGGGTGGATACAACAACATTTCAGAAGACGCTGACCGACTTTGCGTATCGCAACCAACAAAGATCGTCGAACTCCTACCTGATGGTAAAGTCTTGCTTGTGTTGCTAGTCTCACGGCTCTTAGATCAAGGTCATGTTGCAATGGGTTCGTTTCATCTCTAGATCGAGTCAGAAGCCCTCCGTTGACCTCGAGGTTCTCAAACTGTCTCCTCTTACTCCTCAAGCCTTGTTGCTTGCCCTTCTTTTGTTCCTTTCGCTTGCCCCCCTGCTGCTTCTCCTTTTTTTCTTGTCTACCTGTGATGTAGTCATGATGAGATGTTTTTTGTTTGCACACCATTGAGCGAATCTGTCTGTTGAGAGCAGCTGGAATCGTGACGGTCGGGTTGTCATTGCCGCAAGTCAGGGAATGGTGTCATCACCCGCTTTCCTGCTGCGTGTCAATAAATTTCTGTTGCTTCTCTCGTGCTTCTTGTGATTTCCTGTAATAAAAGCAAGAGAACCCGCAAACTGCTGATCGTCACCTCACGGACTCCTCATTGCGGAGGAAGTTTCAGATGATGAAGGTGCGTTGACCTGCAACATGACGAGGTGCTGAGCGACTCTTTTCTCAGATATCCAAGGAAAGGCTTGTGCAACTAGTTCTCTACAAGAGCAGATCTGCTGTAAAGTTCTCTCGCGTGATGTTGGAGATGTAAGTGGTTCACCAAGACGTGTGCTGCTTGCTTCTCTTTCTCCTGCCCTTCTTGTTCCGCTTCTGCTCATCCCCTTGGATTTTCAGTGCTCGAAGTTACATCGCCGAGTTGCGCGGGACCAACGTCATGGTCTCCTTCCTCCTCCTCCTCCTCCTCCTCCTCCTCCTCCTCCTCTTCTGCTCCTCCTCCTCCTCCTCCTCCTCCTCCTCCTCCTCCTCCTCCTCCTCCTCCTCCTCCTCACCCACATGCTCAGGATCTACGCTGCCTTCTCCGCGTGCACGAGAGGACAGCGACTGTTCATCATCTTGACTCTCTGTGCGACGAGGAGGAGGAGGAGGGTCAAGAGGAGGAGGGAGACGATTAGAAGGAGGAGGGCGAGGAGAGGAGAAGGAGGAGGGAGAGGAGGAGGAGTCAACCTCGGGGGAAGTACAGGGGAAGGAGAGAAAGGAGGGAGGGGAGGAGGAGGGGAGTGGCAGGGGATGGCGAATGGTCTCACTGACATGCAGACGGGACGCGACGGCGGTGGAGGTTCTGATGCGATGGGTGGAGACAATGCGAGGTAGACTCAAGGGAAGCCACGCGGCGCAGAAGCTCTCAGAGCGGTGAAGGCTGCCGATCCCTGCGCATCTTACGAGTGTCAGGCTTGAAAGCTTTGGGGTGGAGACGATGGTGGAGAGCGGTTTGCTTGCAGAACTCATTGAACGTAAGTGAGATTGCATGGACTTCTCCCTCCTCCCTCTCCTCCTTCTCCCTCCTCCCTCTCCTCCTTCTCCCTCCTCCCTCTCCTCCTTGCAAGTCTGGCAATGCTGATCACATGCAAGATTCCTCCAAGTCTCACAAGGAGACCATCCAACAAAAGCTGCTCGTCTCTCTTTTGTCGTCGTCTAGCCGAAGTCAGGTGATGCAGCAAGTGATGCGGACTGGTCGGGAGGTGAACAAGTAAGATGAATCTCCTCTCCTCTCCTCTCCTCTCCTCTCCTCTCCTCTCCTCTCCTCTCCTCTCCTCTCCTCTCCTCTCCTCTCCTCTCCTCTCCTCTCCTCTCCTCTCCTCTCCTCTCCTCTCCTCTCCTCTCCTCTCCTCTCCTCTCCTCTCCTCTCCTCTCCTCTCCTCTCCTCTCCTCTCCTCTCCTCTCCTCTCCTCTCCTCTCCTCTCTTCTTGCTGATTTTCCGCGTTTTTTGTTTCATCCGCCAGGTCGCATCGGAAATGTGAGGAGCTTGTGGATAAACTGGCTCGAAATGGTTTCACGTCTTCGCATGTGAGGAATGGAGGGATCTGATTCTCGAGCAAAAGAGAAAAGTCAGCAGCGGTAGCAGCAGCGGTAGCAGCAGCGGTAGCAGCAGCGGTAGCAGCAGCGGTAGCAGCAGCGGTAGCAGCAGCGGGAGGCTCTTAATGCTTGTCCGCAGCGTTTCACCGTCAGCCAGCTGGCAGATCCGGAGGATGACGCAGGGAGACTGGCAGTGACAGCCGTGCTGTTCTTGGTCCACCCCTCCCTTGAGGTTCCTTGCACCCCCTCCCTGTCCTCCCTCAGCTCTCCCGCAGTACGACAAGGTAACGTGGATGGAAGACGAGCTGCAAGAAATGTCCTCCCTCTGCTCAAGCGCGCTGGAAAGCTCGAGCATCAGCGAGAGCGCGGAAGAGACAGGCAAGGCAGCAGAGGGAGGGGAGGGAAGAGGTCGAAGAGATGCGAGGGAGGAGGAAGGAAAGGGAGGAACGATGATGTTGTAACTCACTTTCAGTCTGTGAGACCGTCATCCGCAAGTTCATCAAGCTGCGACAGGTTGATGGTGCGGAAGTCTGCTAGGAGTGACGGGGGGAGCAGGAGCACAAGCAGGTGGTTTGGTCGATGCTCGTCTTCGAGACTCTGCGAGGTGAGGGGAGGAGAGGAGGAGGCGCTGCTGACGTGCGAGCAGAGAAGGTGGAGAAGTTGTTGGAGCAACTAGGTGAGAGATGAAGAGGAAGCTGATCATGGCATGAACATCACGCAGTAGAGAAGACCAGCTGGGGTATCCAATCATTGGAGGAGATCAACTCAGGTGACTCAGCCAGGGCGTGGAGGAGGAGGAGATTGGCTGACGCTCTCCTTCTCATCTTGCAGAAGTTCGCTTGCGAAGTGAACGTATCATGGCACGTTTGTTGAACGTTGAGGTCAACGAGAAAGATTTTGACATGCTGACTGACAAAGAGGAGGAGGAGAGGTGAGCAGAAGTAAAGCGGACTAATCGATTTCAAAGATTGCTTGTGTTGCTCACGTTGCTTGACACAGTCTCTCAGGTTGAATATTTCGCACTTGACGAGCAAACTTCATGTGTTTAGTATCTTGCGAACAAATTGACTGGGAAGGGAAGACATTAAGAATGGATTGAATTTCTTTGCAACAACTTGTGTACTGCATCAATCGTGTTGCTTTTCTCCCTCGTCTTCTCTCACTCGATCATCGTCTGCTCCTTCTCTTGAATCTTTCTTTGACTCCACACGTGTGAGGTCGTCGGTTGTTGTTCCTGCAGTCAAAGAAGATGAAGGCGATGCTGAGAGACCCGCGAGTGACGAATCAGAAGCCTGAAGATGCATCAGAACAGATGAAGACAAGAGGAAACAAGAGCAGGGCAGGGCAGGGCACCGGATGAGACTTGTCAGTGGCTGACAAACTCTGTTGGTGTTCTTGACTTTCGCTCACTTCACTTGACCCTCCACCTTGGCTGCCTGCTGCTTCAGAGGTGGCGACGGTAGGCAGCGACTGCTGCATGTCGATCCCTTGAACACCATCAGCCTCTTGCGCTCGTGCCATGTCGCTCACCAAGCAGCGCGTCGAGATCAGCATCTGCTTTCACTTCTGCGGTTGATTTGCTCTTGGAAGGAGGGGGAGGAATCAGCGAGGATGAGTTGTCGATGCCTTACGATAGTTGTAAGCAAATGACAACTCCACACGCAGACAGAAGAGAGAGAAAAAGACTGCAGTCACCAAGAAGCATGCTCAAATTCGTATCCTCCTCGGTTGTTGCTCCCTGAAAACAAACGAAAGATGACCATCAATCTCACGCCTGTAAGGCGACAACTCACATCTGGTTCCCATATGATCGTCTTCTTCGCATTTTGATTGGCCAGCTTCTTCTGTTTTTGATTCTTTTCTCTCTGATTGACTTCTTGCAGCGTCGAGCTGTACACGTTGAGTGCATTGATGAGATCGTCATTGATCTGCAACAAGCACATCAGTTGAAGTCTCGTAAGAGCACGACAGGGTTGACGACTTTGAGGAGGAGCGGAATGACATCTTCGTCTGGGACTTGCTCGGCGAGTCTCATGATCCTCGGCTTCACCCCATCAACTCAGTCAGGGTCAGGTGCTCTCCCACTTGTATCACCTGGAAGATGCGGCAGTTTCGCACGAGCTCGGTCAGGATGTTGTTCTTGCGTATGTCATGTTTCTGTAGCTCAGATGAGGGACATGAGGGGCATGGCAGGAGCTCTCACCATGACGATCGCTTCATTCATCATATCTACAAGTAAATTACACTGAATGCTGACCTGCGCATGGTCAGGCAAAGGTTTACAGCACGAACAGCACCTGCTCTAGATCTTCTTTCAGTAGCTCCGACATGAACACGGGGGGCAGAACTTTTGATGCCTGAGGGTCTGAGAAACTTTCAGAGCGGGAGGAAGCAGCAGCTGGTTACTACTGTGAGATGCTGGTGCCATCACTCCGTACGATGTACTCCCAGCACCCTCGTTGAGGTTGATCTTGAAGCCAACAGGTCAGCGCTGACTCCAGCAAGGTCACCCACCTTGCCCGACAGCTGAGGAGCGAGAGAGGCGTCAAACTGAGGAAACTCAACTCCTGCAGGCCTCGTCATGCAGTATCGCTCCTCCTTCTCCTTACCCTGCGCCTTCAGGAAGTTGAAGGTAGCTGTGAACAGCGGAAGAGTCTGCCTGAGAGTGAGCAGGCTATGGCAAGGAAGCAGATGGTTGTCACCTGCTGCAGACTCTTGAAAGCTTCCCCCCACGCTTGGATGAGCTCGAGACACTTTCGCTGCACCGCTGCATCCACCTCCTGTTGTCACCTTTACAACCTCCCTCGCTACCTTCCGACTCACCTCCCCTGTTGCCATCGATTGCAGATCTGCCATGAAGTGCTTGCTGCCAACTTGTTGATGAAGCTCTGCCCCGCAGTTCTTTACCAAAACTTCTGCCAGCTTCATGGCCTCACTTCACACACGCTTTCACCGAACTATAAGCGCAAACCTCAAGCGCAGATAGTTGCACTTGTGGTCTTGACCTTGTTAGACGTATCCTTATCGCTTTAACCACTTGTTGAGCCCTGAGAAACACGATGAGAGCGAGGAGAGAGAAGAAGAGAAGCATCAGAGCTTGTCACCCACATCTCGCGACCACCCACGTTCACTGAGTCACAGACGTGGAGCATGCGTAGCATGCGCACATCCTCTTGTGTTCCTGCGAGAGAGCTCGCTCCATCTTCTGCGCTTATTTCTTCTCTGGTTGCCTCCTCCACCAGACGCCATCCTTCTCCTTCCCCTTCGTCTCCTCCTCCACCGCCCACCAACGCGCGCATATGACCCAGCATCTTGTTCCTCAAAATCGAGAATCCAACAGGCTGGCTGGTGCCCAACCAGTCCGCCTCAGAGAGAGTCGCTAACACAAGGAAAGACAGCGAAAGACTTCTTCTGCTACCTCAAGCAGGACTTCAAGTTGAGTAAAGACAGGGACAATCAAGACCTGCACGGCACTCACTGTGACGTGACGCCCGGGCCCGCCGGATTGTGACTGATACTGAACGGAGCACCGGCCCGGATGCCGAGCTTCACGCGTGGAGCAGCCTGTTACCGAGCTCGCCTGCCGCAGTGCTTCCTCCCCGGCATCGGCCGGGTCGGGTCACGCCGGTCCTTGGGCATTGCCGCGGCGTCGCCGCCGTCACGGGCGGCTACCGCTGACTCGGCTACCGCTGACTCGGAGGCTAGCTGTGTCCAGCCTCCCTCCGTCCGCTGCCCCAGGCGGACCCCCGGGCAGCGCCGGCTCCTTGTCGGCGGCTGCCCTTTCTCCGTCCGCGGCCGCCCGCTTTGTGGCGGCAGCGGACGTCTCGACTGACAGTGGTCAGTCGGCTGCCTCCGGGTATCGCGTCTAAGGGATTTTATTCCTCCTGCATGCTCCTGCTGCTTGTTGCTTGATTGCTTGACCGGAGGCTTAGGCTGCTTGTCTGCGCGGCTTCGCGCTTGGGCTGGCGCTGCCGCGTCTGGGTGCCAGCAGTGCTGGTTCTTTTCGGGCTTGTGTTTTGTGTGTGCTTGTGCAGCTTCTCGCTGTGGACTGTGTGCCTGGAGGTTTAGCTTGTTCCTGCTTTATTTTGCTTGAGGCACTTTTTACCTTCTGCCAGTAAATCCTATACTCTGCCAATGACTGGGGCGCTGTCCGGGGGTCCGCCTGGAGGAATATAGCCTGGGGCAGCGGACGGAGGGAGGCTGGACACAGGAACACGGTACCGCTCGAGGTAGTCCTCCTCGCTAGCCTCCGAGTCAGCGGTAGCCGAGACCAACACCGCTGTGGACTGTGTACCTGCCGGTTCAGCTTGTTCCTGCTTTGTTTTGCTTGAGGCACTTTTTATCTTCTGCCAGTAAATCCTATAACCGCCCGTGACGGCGGCGACGCCGCCGCAGCAATGCCCAAGGACCGGCGGGACCCGACCGATGCCGGGGAGGAAGCAGGCGAGCTCGGACCAGCAGCAAGCACACCTTGCGGACCCCGAGCGATACCGTGTTCCAGTATACTGCTAGTGTCCAGCCTCCCTCCGTCCGCTTCCCCAGGCGGACCAACGCCGGCTCCTTGCCGGCGGCGGCTGCAGTCTCGAGCTACTACCCCCTCAAGGCCTTCCCGCACCGCTATGCTCAGATGCTCGACTGCTATCTCCATGGCATGCCGATCTGCCAGTGTCCGACGGAATGTGATGGATGTCAGCGCGAGCTCGATCCCTCCGTTGCTGCACATCATCTCCAGACCTGCAAACGCCGATCCTCCAAGCTTCCCACGGCGCATGACAACCTTACTCGTACGATTCGGTCGATGCTGAACAAAGCTGGTCTTCAGAGCGTCATCGATACAGTGGGGGATCCTCGTTCTCGACGGCAAGTTCCCATCCTCATGGCCGCAAGATGAAGGGCGATATCCACATCCCTGGAATCCGCGATCGAGGGTCTGAGCAGTACGAGGGCTTGATGGCGGACGTGACGTTGGTCCACCCTTACATTGGTAGCTCTGCCGACCTGACCAAGTGGGGGGAGGTCAACCTCGACGCCCTCCATGTTGCAGCGTCTGAGAAGATTCGCAAACATCGCGCTGCATATGCTATGACTACTCCTCCTCGAGCGTTCATCCCTCTTGCCATCTCGACGGACGGTATAGGATTTACTGGCAGAAGGTAAAAAGTGCCTCAAGCAAAACAAAGCAGGAACAAGCTGAACCGGCAGGCACACAGTCCACAGCGAGAAGCGGCACAAGCACACACAAAACACAAGCCCGAAAAGAACCAGCACGGCTGGCACCCAGACGCGGCAGCGCCAGCCCAAGCGCGAAGCCGCGCAGACAAGCAGCCTAAGGGTCAAGCAATCAAGCAACAAGCAGCAGGAGCATGCAGGAGGAATAAAATCCCTTAGACGCGATACCCGGAGGCAGCCGACTGACCACTGTCAGTCGAGACGTCCGCTGCCGCCACAAAGCGGGCGGCCGCGGACGGAGAAAGGGCAGCCGCCGACAAGGAGCCGGCGCTGCCCGGGGGTCCGCCAGGGGCAGCGGAACACGGTACCGCTCGAGGTAGTCCTCCTCGCTAGCCTCCGAGTCAGCGGTAGCCGAGTCAGCGGTAGCCGCCCGTGACGGCGGCGACGCCGCGGCAATGCCCAAGGACCGGCGTGACCCGACCGATGCCGGGGAGGAAGCAGGCGAGCTCGGACCAGCAGCAAGCACCCCAGTGGTGTCGAGCTCTCCGGAGGCACCCGACGTCACAGTGAGGGACGGAGACGGTACCCTGCATCCTGACACCCTCCGCTTCATCTGGTATCTCGCGGACATCATTGATCAGCGCTCGATGCCTCTTGAGGATGCGGCGTTTGGTCACTGCGGCACTTCGTGCCTGATGACGGCCCTGCTGCTGAGGTCTTGGCTCGCAAACGCGCCGCCACCTATCAGCGCCTCACTATGCAGCTGACGCTCAGCGGCTGGAGGCGCTCTTGTCTGGTGCGAGGCGCATGACGCCCTTGCGGGCGCAAGCACTTCTCGAGCCAGAGGACAGCTCCTCCTCGGACTTTGTCGAGTCGCCCGAGGAGGAGTCTTCGCCGGAGGTCTCCGACTCCGATGGGGGAAACACGTCGAGTGGCGCCGACGATCGGCGCTGGGGTGCTTGCTGCTGGTCCGAGCTCGCCTGCTTCCTCCCCGGCATCGGTCGGGTCACGCCGGTCCTTGGGCATTGCTGCGGCGTCGCCGCCGTCACGGGCGGCTACCGCTGACTCGGCTACCGCTGACTCGGAGGCTAGCGAGGAGGACTACCTCGAGCGGTACCGTGTTCCTGTGTCCAGCCTCCCTCCGTCCGCTGCCCCAGGCGGACCCCCGGGCAACGCCGGCTCCTTGTCGGCGGCTGCCCTTTCTCCGTCCGCGGCCGCCCGCTTTGTGGCGGCCGCCCGGCCCGCTTTGTGGTGGTCCCGGCGGGCCAGGCCCGCCGGGACCTCTCAGTGACAGGCTCGGCGACTCCACCGCGGGGGCCACCAGACTCTCATGCGTCATGGGGTGGGGTAGGTGGAAAGGGAAAATCTGAAATAGGGAGGGTGAGGGTGGGGTGGGGGTGGACTCACCGTCAGGAGGCGACAATGGTGGGCACTGCTTTCAGCGCTCTGCTCTCAGCTCCTGCCTCCTCATCCTTCCGCCTGACGGCTCCTCGTTCTTCCTTAGCAGCCTCGTGCGCGCTCTCTCGTCCTCACTCTCCCTCTATCCTTCTTCCTGCATCCCCAAGCTTCGTGCAACAGGGAGCATCGAGACACAGAGCAGCTGGCGATGCTGTTGCGTTTGCACTTCAAGACCTGGCGAGTGGCCGAGTGTGCCTGAGGACGCGTCAGCAGAAGGAAAAGAAGATCATGAGGCGTTTATAGCCTCACTGAGCTGTACAGGAAAGGTCACAGAAACGTTGTTCGCTCCTGTGGAGGAGAAGCTCTATGAGTTCAGGCTCCGCTCGAAGCTCTCTAGGAGGGAAGAAGAGCAGAGCCTTCAAGCCACTTTGCAGCCCTTGATAGTGAGAGCGCTGATTCTTCTCACGATACTGCAAGTCGCTTCACAGCTTGTCCTCCTACAAGCTAAGAACGTGATCATTACTGACACCAAAGTATTGCAAGCGTTTCCTGTGCGAGTCATTCAAGCAGTGCTGGGCATCAGGAGCAAAAGGCTTCGAAAGTTCAAGACAGGCTGTGTTGAAACTTTCTGGTGCTGAATTTCAGCATCTTGGAGTCTGAGAAGACTCATGGCGGCTGAAGAAGTTGCAACGAAATGCGGATTTATCGCGAAGTGAGGAGTGAAGCTCTGCTGGGCAGCTGAGAGCAATAGAGGTAAATGGTCGGCTGAAATGTTGATAATCTTGCCAGAAAACTAGCTGAACTACTGATAGAGCATTTGATGAATGAAATAACATCATAAATTTTCAAGAAGAGGAGTCTACAAGGAGTTTTCAGGATCTGACTGATCTTCCTCGTTCAACACGCACTTGATGCCTCTGATCCACAAGCTCGCTTTCTCAACACTTTCCGCTTCCAAGAAAAGCTGCTTTGCACCTACCTGATAGGTTGTCAGCCATGGCACTGGAGATCAGTCGACTTACTCTTGATCGTCTCCGTCGCTCCACCTGAAGGATCAAAACTCGCGGCAGCCGCTCGTGTCTACTCGCTCCCAGCAGCCTCTCCATCCTCTCTCCGACCTTCACAAACCCGCGTCTTCTTGTTTCTGCAGTCCCAGGCCAGGAGCTGCCCTCCGTTTCATCGGTTTGAGAGCCAGCTGGGTTGAGAGCTGGGCTCGGGAGGATGGACACGAAAGTCCTGCGACAAGGTAAGCGAAGCCTCAACCAGCTCCAGGAGACCTGCAGGGGAGCAGCGGGGGCTGCTGCAGCTGCCGAGCACTGAGAACAGGTGGGGAGCAATGCTGCGTGAGAAAATCTCCCTTGAGGACAAACAGCTGCAAAACAACTCAGTCTGTTTCAAATAGCGTCACAGACTCACTTTAGCAGCCACGCGATGCCGGTGCTGGCGCAAAGAAACAAAAACATCTTCTTCAGCACTGAAAGCTTCCTCTAGTGGGTCGTCGCCGTGGAAAGTTTTTGCTGGGTCATCAAGGACCTTTTGAGCTTCAACGGACTCTGTCAACAGGCTCGGAAGCAAGCGTGAGAAGCAAGGAAGTAATAAGTTGCCGTCCAGGTGATTCGGGTATTGTCCCTTTACTTGTGTGCTCTCAAGCGCATGTTGGTGACTTGAATTGAAGCAAACGATTTCACCACCATCTTTTGTCGAACAAAAGTTTTGGGGTTTGTGAATGGAATGTGATGGTTGTACATCCACGCATGTGCTCGTGGTATTCTGTCCAGCATCAAATTGGCTACTTTCAGGTTCTCTTCCTTGGCTCGAACTGTAAGGATTTCTCATCATAATGCTTGTCTGATGCAGGCAGTCACTGCGTCTGAATAAAGCATGTGGCTGAGAGTCTCGTTCGGCGAGGAAGCATTCGCTGGCTTTCGCTTCCAGAGAGACTAAAGCTCTAGTCTCACTGTCTAGTAACTTGTCTCTGCGAGCACAGAGCTTTTCTTGCAAATGTTGCACCCTCGCGTGATGCCTCTGAAGCTTGGACGATGATCGCAACGCTTCTAATTTCGCGGAGATGTCTGACCTGGTGATGGAGATGGAAGGACACAACTCAGATGTAGCAGAGCAACCTGCAAGCACACAACCATGTCAAGTTTTGAGCAAAGAGCTTCAATTTCTGACTGAGTGTTTGCAGAAAGCGACAGCTTGTTTACCTCTCTGTGTCGCCAGCTGATGGTGCAGGGTCTGTATGCTCAACTCGTGATGCAGCTGCATGAGGCTATCCAACAAGGCATGCTCTTCGAACCACATGGCTTGCAAGATGCTCGTGTTGAGACCTCGTCGAAAAAGATCTGCATCGTCAAGCCGCAGGTCCTCTATCACAGTATGACTGGTAGGGCGCTTTGAGTCCTCTCTCCCACCTCCCTCTCTCTCATCTTCATGACACTTCCTGCCCTTAGAGGCTCTCAGATCCTCTCGTTCCGCTCTCTCACTTCCGCTCTCCCCTCCCCGCTTTGAGTCTTGGCTGGCTTGCCATGCTTCAACACCCATGGACACAGGCGACAAACGGTCCTTCGCCTGTCCTTTCTGCCGCAATTGAAACCATCTCTTTGCCTGTTTCATCGCAGGCACTTGCTCACAAACAAGAATGCCTGTTTACAGCAAGAGTAATCAATTCACAACAGCAAACAATTTCAAGTCTTATACCATTCCGTTCTGCCCCCCCCCTTGTCTGCTTTGCTCTCCACAGGCGAAGAGCATTCCTGAAGCATGGTGATACGTGATCTGTCGTGGTCGGTTAAAAAAGCTTGGATTCGTGGTTTGATGTGCCAGTTTTCTTGTTTTCCCTCTTTCAACTCACCCCCTTCAGCTACGTCGTCTTCTTTTCTCTTCTCTTCTCTTCTCTTCTCTTCTCTTCTCTTCTCTTCTCTTCTCTGCTCTTCTCTTCTCTTCTCTTCTCTTCTCTTCTCTTCTCTTCTCTTCTCTGCTCTTCTCTGCTCTTATCTTCTCTTCTCTGCTCTTCTCTTCTCTTCTCTTCTCTGCTCTGCTCTTCTCTTCTCTGCTCTTCTCTTCTCTTCTCTGCTCTTCTCTTCTCTGCTCTGCTCTTCTCTTCTCTGCTCTTCTCTTCTCTGCTCTTCTCTTCTCTTCTCTGCTCTTCTCTGCTCTTCTCTTCTCTTCTCTGCTCTTCTCTTCTCTTCTCTTCTCTGCTCTTCTCTTCTCTTCTCTTCTCTTCTCTTCTCTTCTGTGTTTCTCGTCAACCATTTTTTTTTTGTCAAACCTCTTGACGGCATTGTATGATCATTGGGGGTACTTCAACCCCCTCTAAGACCGTAAAGCAGGGGGTCATAGAAAGGGGTGGTTGCGTAGGGAAGAGACATTCTTGTGCACAACAGAGGGGGCGATGGAGAGAGAGAGGAGAGGAGAGGAGAGGAGAGGAGAGGAGAGGAGAGGAGAGGAGAGGAGAGGAGAGGAGAGGAGAGGAGAGGAGAGGAGAGGAGAGGAGAGGAGAGGAGAGGAGAGGAGAGGAGAGGAGAGGAGAGGAGAGGAGAGGAGAGGAGAGGAGAGGAGAGGAGAGGCGAGGCGAGGCGAGGCGAGGCGAGGCGAGGCGAGGCGAGGCGAGGAGAGTGCTGAAGGAGGAGAGAGGACGCGAGGAAGAGCGAGAAAAGATGGGATACAGCGAGGATGCGAAGTAGTGGGAGAGAGAAGAGCAGAGGAAAATGATGATGATGAATAGGGAGGGAGGATGAAGATAATCGTTAGTTTCATATGCTTGACTTTGACCTGCTGCATTAGAAGACTCGATGACCTCTGGGCTTCAGTCGCAAGATGGAGTCGTGGGCATGAAGTTTGCGAGCCTGGTCGATGGAACTCATCGCGTTACAGAGCTTGAGCCAGGAGGTGCTGCCTGGTCTTCTGGCTTGATCCGCATCGGCGATCAGATCCTAATGGTGGAAGGGATGCGCACGAGCTATGTTGACAAGAAGAGAGTGGAGCAAGCATTTCGAGGAAGACCGGGTAGCTTCTTGACCGTTGAGATGCAACGAGGCCACAAAACGTTTCCAGTGCTCCTGCAACGAGTTGAGAGAGGTGAGAGAGCTGCAAGAGTCTTGTCGGCTGCTCCTCATGTATGCGTTCATCAGCCCGGACCGGATGGCGCGACGGCTCGTCTGGGGAGAAATCGCGGGGAACTCTTGACGAGGATGGAGAGTTGAAGGTGATGAGATAAGAGAAGAGGAGAAGGTGACGGTGAAGTCAGAGGGTAAGGGATCAGCCTGTCAGTGTTCTTCTTCGCTTGAAAGAAGATAAGGTCAAGCTTACGCCTTCGCATGTGCTTCTACAACTTCTTTCCCGGTAGCACCCCAACACACTTTCTTTCGGCTCTCTACTTCCTCATCCTCCCCTTGCTCGAGCTCAAGTTGCTGCAGGGATATCTCCTCGGCTATCGGCTGTCAGCACGAGAGGCTCGAGATCTCTCAGGTCCCCACGTCCGAAGATGAGGTCAGCGACTGGTACCCGCTTTGTCGAGTGACCTCCTCGTTCAGTTCGAGCTCAAGTTGTCGCCTCCTCCTTCTCAGTCTGCCTCTGATTCGAGGAGCCCCAAGGTTAGGCAACCTGATCGCACCAGCGTGCTGATCGCTCGCTGCTTGCAGGACCTGGCCGCCGAGGTAGTGATGCAGGCAAGCGTGCTAATGCTCAAAATGATTCTTTTCCTCTCACTGTCTGTTCTAGGTGTTCGACAAGGGAAGCTTGTTGCGCCGCTCGCAGGCAGGAGGAGACGTCATCTTTGCTCGTCTTCATCTTCCACCTTCGCGCAACCCCTCCTTCTCTGAGCCTCCTCCATCCTTCCCGCCCTTCGGTTCCATGGGTTCAGCAGCAGCAGTGACCAATCTTTTCTCTATTCCTGCCCCAGTTACTCCTTCTCCCCCTGCCCCTGCCCCTGCCCCTGTCCTTGCACCTCCTGCTTCTGCTCCTGCTCCTATCCAACCATCCTCATTTCTGCGAATTGGAGACGAGGATTCGTCTTTCGCAAACGTGAATCCTTCGGAACGAGAAGAGAGAGAAGAGGAGAGGAAGGACTCGGTGTTGGAGGGAGGGGGAGACAACCAATCACGCGAACAGGAAGAGATGAGGCAGCCGAGGCAGGAGGAGGTGAGACAGCAGAGGCAGCAGCCGTTGGTGAGCTTGAGCTCTCTAGACCTCTTGACCGGCTGGCTTCCTCTCTCCCTCTTTCAGGCATACGACAAGACGGCACCGCAAGGGAAACTGGGCGGTGTAGATAGCGCCATTAAGATGAAGAGGAAGAGAGATTGGACGCGTGTGGAGGCGAGCAAGGAAGCAAGCAAGGCAATCAGGGCTCTTGCTTCTCGCGGCTTTCAGATTCTTCTGGTTGGGGTTGGTGGGAAGGAGGAGGCTGAAGAAGCTCTTGGCGCTGTCGTCAGAAGCGGCCTCGTATCCTCTCACGGGCCTGTAGGAAATGATGACGTCATCTTTGTGGAGAGAGAAGAGGAGAAGGTGCTGGTGCTTGAGCAGCTCGGGGGGCTTGTGGCGGTGATTGATGACGACTTGCTGGTCCTCCAGCAGTGCATCGACAAGTTGAGCTTCGGAGTGATGACGATGCTCAAAGACGGGGAGGAGAGCGAGCGAGAAAAAGGGATGCGACTAAAGCTCCTCTGCGAGCAGAACGACCTTTTCGTGCAGGAGACCTCCAAGCACGTCATCCTGCTCATGGAAAGAATCCAAGAAGCCAAGAGAGCTGCAGAGCAAAACCCCCCGCATCCCCTCACCTCCTCTCCTTCCTCCTCCTCCGAGTTGGAGAGGGAGTGCAAGAGGTTAGCTGAGGGGATCGCTGGCTGCTACAAGAGGCGGGCTCACTCTCTGTTGCTGGTGGAGGAGCAGATCATTGAAAACTTTCTGCTAGAGGACAAAGTTTCTTCATCGTGGGACAAGATCTGCAAAACCATGGGGGTCGCAGAGGAAGCGCTTGAGCTTTACAGCTCATCTGTGACGGTTGGCGAGGGCTTGGCGTCTTATCCTCCTTTCAAAGGTGGCTCCCGTCAACCTGATCTTCCTTTCTTTCCTCTTGACGAGGATCCTCGCTATGCTCGCAAGGATGTCTGGCTCAAGTCCTGCAGCTTTGGTACCCCTTCTAGCTCCACCTCCTGCGGGGTAGGTCTTCACTTCGGAAGGCGGGGACCGGGTGAGAAGCTGCTTGTGCTCAAGCTGGAGTACGGCAGCCCCTCCTTCTTTAGCAGGCTTGTCCGCGTTGACGATGAGATTCTCTCCATCGATGGCTGCAGGGCTGAGGACCTCAAGGTGGAGGAGGTTGAAGAGAAGCTGCGAGGCAAGAGCGGGACCCTCGTCTTCCTCAAACTCTTCCGCCCTCGCGCAGCTCGACTCCTCTACGTCAGTCTCATGCGTCAACAGACGCCGATGAACCTCAGGGGAAGCAGAGGACGAGTGGTCGTACCGCTGCCGCTCCTCTTCTCTCCTCTGTCTCAGCTCGTCACCCTCCGTGTCGGAAGAGTCAGCAACGTCCCCTTCTTCACTGCAGCGGTTGAGCAGGTGTACCTGAGAGTGACGGTGAGACCTGAGGGGACGGAGGCCACGGCTGGCGACGAGAAGCGTTTCCTCCACCTCCTTAGCAACGGGCAAGACAGCACGGACAGCAAGCAGCTTCAGTTCTCCTGCCCATCTGCAAACACCCACGTCACCGTTGAGCTCTTGGCCGACAAGTCTCGTGGCGACTCGTCCGTCTCTCTCCTCCTCGGAGGCTTCAGCGTGCGAGTGAGCGACCTGATGAGCATGGGGGGCAGCAAGGAGTTTCCTCTCTTCGACCGCGACTTGGCGCGAGTGAGGGGAGGGAACGGGGAGGAAACACTCGTGATCCTCTCGGTCCTTCAGTGAGCTCCTCCCGGGGAGGAGGGAGGGGAGGAGAGAAGAGGAGGATGTAACATTAACATGGTTCATTGTCATAGCGCTGGCTGTGTGTAGCTCACAGGAAACCACCCGCTTGCTGCCGTTCTGCGATCCTCTCATTTCCTCTCCCTCTCTTCCCTTGCACCCTCTGCCACTCACCGCAAGTTCTTTCCTCGCCACCACCCGCTCGCACTCTCCTCCAGCACTTCGATAGTTTCACCCTGGTCTCCGTCATCCTGGCACAAGCCTCCTCCTCCTCCTCCTCCTCCTCCTCCTCCTCCTCCTCCTCCTCCTCCTCCTCCTCCTCTTCGTCACCGGTTTCACGCTGAGCTCCTCCGACGAGCTCGAGACGAACGACCTCGTTCCCTCGACGAGCTTTCGCTTCTCCTCGTCCTTGTGCCCCTTGTCCTCTACATTCCTCCTTGGTTGCCCTGCGACAGTGGAAGGAGGAGACGCAGAAAATTCTGGTGGGGGAAGGCTTGGAAGGGGAGGAGAGTGAAGAAGAGAGAGAAGCTGGGGGATCACTTCTTGTAAGCTGCAAGAGTCAGAAATCATTCCTCAACACAACAAGACGAGGGGCAGGAGACATGGGAGAGCAGGTGAGGAGGCGAGATGGAGGTCAGAGAGCAGGGCTTGAAAGAGGAAGAGGAGGAGGAATGGTTCACAAGTGCAGGACTGAAAACGAAAGTGGAAGCGAGAGGCTCAGGGGAGAACGGAGGGAGAGGAAGGAGGGGAGGAGGTCACCAGTGATCGAGCTTGTCTATGAGCGACTTGTCTAGTCGCGGCATCTGGCTGAAGGAACTTCCAGCTGACAACCAGCTGGCTAATTGACTTCGATGCCCTGCTGCTGTCAGCTGAGGGTCTCGTGGGGTCAGAAGTCTTACTGCTGAGGTCGGGGAAGTCGCCAGGAGCAAGACGAAATTCTGAGGGAGAACAGAAAGTGAGAGGGGAGGGGAGGGGAGGGGAGGGGAGGGGAGGGGAGGGGAGGGGAGGGGAGGGGAGGGGAGGGGAGGGGAGGGGAGGGGAGGGGAGGGGAGGGGAGGGGAGTACCTTGTTGAACCGCTTTGAAACGACATCGAGGTGCTCCAGCAAATCTCGCTAAACAGAATTTAAGGGAAGGACGAGCAAGAGCAAGAGCAAGAACATAAAGAGCAAACGAGATGATGATAATGATTTCAAACAAATGGAGGCAGAGGATTGGAATGATGTCGACGATGAATGTGACAACAATGGAATAGCAGACGGCGGGAGGAGCTGAATGAGGCTGAGGGGGAGCAGAAAGAGAGGCACGCGGTAGATGACGTTCACCTCCTTCTGCTGCTTCCCCCACAGCACTGGCATCATCTTCCTCAGACACGCGCACACCTATTGCAGGAGCCCCGTCACAGGATCATTACAAGAAACTAAACCCACAAGCGCGTGTGTCTTGGCCTGTCTCGCTCGTCTCACCAACTCGTTCACCCTCCTGCCGCCTCCTTGTCATCCTCCGCCTCTTCGCTGCAGGCAGTTCGCATCCTACCTGATGAGCATGTTGCGAGGAATCTCCCGCAGGTCTCTCATAAGCTCCGCCTTCTCACTGTCGAACAGCTCGCGTCCTGCTCGCCCGCTCTCCGCGTACTCCTCGTCCCAGAAGGAAGACACATACACCCGGCAGACCTCGGGCGTCTTCAACACTTTCCCGAGGCTCCACATGAGGGCGCCATGGACGCGCATGAGCTGGCGGGGGGTCACCTGGTCCGACTTGTTGAGGATGATGCGGATCTTGTCGTCGTGGTCTGCGAGCGCCTGGATGACCTCCTTGAGCTCGTCGCTGATGTCCAGCTTGTGCGCATCGAAGAGGATGAGGATGAGGTCTGATCGCTCTGCGAACCACCGGCAGACTTTGGGCATGTCGTAGTTCCTCCCGATTCTCTGCGCCTCCCCTGATAACACCCCAGGGGTGTCGATGAGCGTCACGTCGCCCAGCACCTCCGCCTGCATCTCCGCGCATGAGAACCTTTGAAGGAAAGCGTTGCCGAACGCCTGCAGCCCCCTGAACGGCTTCCCCATGTCCGACGCCGCCGCGTTGCCAGGTAGCACCCGCGGTTCTTGTCCTTGCATAATGGCGACGAAGCCATCAGTCGTGGGCTCAGGCCCAACACGGGAGCCGGGATATCCGTGAGATCCAAGAAGATGATGGATGAGGGAAGTCTTGCCGACGGAGTACTGGCCGAGGAGGAGGACGAAGGGCTTGGCCTCGATGTCGCTGTCGGTGAGAGGAGGAGAGAAGAAGTGAGCAAAGTTGTAGTGCAGCTCAAGAGGACGAATTTGCTCCTTGTAGATGCGCTTGAGCTCATCGCAGACATGGCGAACCTGAGCAGACCTGGCGCTACCTCTCTCCTCTCTCTCCTCTCTCCTCCCAAGCATGTCGTCCATGTACGTAGTCATCCTGCATGCCAGGGGCGTACAACCAAACCCACCTCAGGGAGGCAGCATTGCTTGAGAGCCATATTTCACTAGTTGGTAATCACTGCCCCAGTACAACACACAAAGGCTTCCATGCTGCCATCAGTCCTGATAGTTCTGAGCGCATGTCGCTCTCCTCCTCCTCCTCCTCTCTCTTGTCGCTCTTCTCATCATCATCTCTCTTGTCACTCTCCTCCTCCTCCTCTCTCTTGTCGCTCTCGCTCGCGCTTCCCTCAAGGTCGACTTGCTAGCATGAAGTCTGAAAGCGAGGACTACAAGGACGATGTCAGCCTGCCTCTACGACTGGCATGGAAAGGAGCAGAAGCTCTTGGTAATCTCGCCGCGTTCGTTCAGGGACGAGGAGGAAATGAGGTAGAAGTAGAACACAAGGTGGAGGCAGGAGCAGTTGTGACCGGGCAGGATCTTCTTCAGAGGTTGCAACTCGAGTATGAGAAGAACTATTTCTTGTCGGGAGACATCGACGTCTCTCTCTATCACCCTGACTGCTTGTTTGCGGGTTCGTTCGTTCTTGTCTTGTTTGCTTGTCTTCTCTCCCTTATCTTCGCTTTCAGACCCCTTCGCGAGCTTTCGGGGCCGCGAGAGGTTTCGGCGCAACTTGAGCAACCTGGGGCTCTTTGTGCTCAGCTATCGCTGTCGCCTCCTCTCCCTCGCTCAGGACCCCGTCGACCCCAACGTCTTCCGCAGTTGCGTCATGGTCAAGCTGCAGCTCAACCTCCCCTGGCGCCCTGTCCTCGCGTGGCCGTGGCGCGTGTAAGAGGAGGAGGAGGAGGAGCAGCAGCAGCAGCAGGAGGAGGAGCAGAGCAGGAGGAGCAGAGGAGGAGGAGCAGAGGAGCAGCAGAGGAGGAGGAGGAGGAGGAGGCGGCGGAGGAGGAGGGTTCAGGGGTCCTGGGGAGGGGCGGATGCTGAAATCTGACTACAGGAAGCATGTATTCGATGAGAGTGGGAGGATGAGGGAGCATGTGGAGTCCTGGGATGTGAGCGCGGCGGAGGGAGTGGGTCAGGTGATGATGAGGAGGAGAGGCGTGCGTGACTGGAGGAACGGATCTTTCGAGCAAGACCAAGAACAGGCTTCGGAAGCTAGAGTGAGAAACGAGATGAGGAAAGAACGCTTCACTGAAACAGATAGATACCACTCTCTTGCTCCTCCTCTTCATCTCCAGCCACCTACCGAGTACCTCCCCTTGTCTCTTCCTTCTGCCTTCACACTTGGGACACGCTCCGCTGGTTTGCCAAGCTTCGACGACAATCCTACACAGCAGTCAACTTCTTCCCTCTCTCCTCCTCCTTCCCTTCCCCCACCTCCTCCTCCCCGCCCCCCTTCTCCTCCCCTTCCCCTTCCCCTTCCCCCGCCTCGTCCCCCTTATCCTACCTGTCCTCATCCTCTCGCGTATCCCCGTTGGAGGAGCAGGGGCCGTGCTGGGACGAGGCTGCGATTGAGGTGAGAGGGAGAGCATGGGGATGGTCAAGCGATACCTTGACGTCCTTCACGTCTGCTCCTCTCCTCGCGTCAGCGCTGGCGTCTCGCTTTCTTTGCCTTGTGTCTTCGCTCTTTTCATGAGAGATTTCCTGTTTTGTCCTGTGAGGAGCCCGAGAGGAAGGTGGAGGGAGAGGACAAGATGAGCATACCTTGTTGAACTTGATCTCTACCTCGGAAGGATGGCGACGAGGCGAGAGGATGGGAGAGAGGACGGGAGAGAGCACTGCGTTCTCCTTATTGCTGGAGACTGTCGCCCTTGGAGAGAGGAGGCCGCTGAGACAACATGATGAGCGGCAGGAGGGAGAAGACTGAAGATGGTGGAGGAGCCTAGAGAGGAGAGGAAGGAAGAGAGGTCATAAACAGGATGACCTTGTTAGTGAAGACTTGTGGGCGAGGGTGGCGTGTCTGTTCGCCTTCAGCAGCTTGTATCCGTTGAGCTTGTTCGTTTCCTCCTTGTCTCGCTCTCCCTGCTCATCCCCAAGCATCTCCGACGAGCAAGAGGAGGACTTGAGTGAGTCGATCAGCAGCTCCTGCAAGTGATTCATCTCCTCCCTCCCTCTTCGCTCCCTCCCACCTTCTCCTGCAGCCTTGACCCCAAGCTCTGAATCCACTCGTCACTTCTCCTCAATGCTGTTCCTCCCCTCACCTTGTTAGTTTTCTCTGCCGTCGAGAGTTCCTCCATGGCTTGCTTCCTCGCCTGTTCACTCCCTTCACTCTTCTCTTCTCTTCTCTTCTCTTCTCTTCTCTTCTCTTCTCTTCTCTTCTCTTCTCTTCTCTGCTCTTCTTCTCACCTTCTCGGATGCCTCCAATGCGATCGCCTGCATCCGCGTTCACTTCCCCCTCTCATCCCTCCACCTTCCCCCACCTTCTCCTCCAGTCGCTCTCGCAGCTTCTCTGCCTCGGCCTCTGCTCGCCTGCTGGCATCTGCACCTCCGTCAGGGGCCCAGCAGCAGCACGCGGAGGAGGAGCAGGAGGGAGGAGATGCAGGAGGAGGAAAAAGTTTTCAGTACCTCGCAAGGCCTCCACCTCTCTCTCTCTCTCCCTCAGCTTCACGTCGCTTGCTCCATCACCTCGCCGCTGAGCTCGCCATTCAATGCTCACCTTGCTCCCCTCCACTCACCTTGGCAGGTCCCAGCACGACGTTCCTAACGCGAGACGCGAAGTTGAGCGAGCAGAGGGTCTCACCAGCGTCAGCCTGTGCGAGGGTGTGAGAGGCAACAAGGGAGAGAGGAAGAGGTGGAGATGCAGGAAGATCAGAGGGGAAGGGGGGGGAAGAGAAGGCAAAGAATGGAGTCGTGGTCAACCATTGACAAAGAGGATGATGATTGAAGATGATGATAATGATGATGATGATAATGATGATGACGACGACGACGATCAGGAGGAGGAGGAGGAGGAGGAGGAGGAGGAGGAGCAGAAGAGGAGGAGCAGAGGAGGAGCAGCAGGAGCAGAAGAGGAGGAGCAGCAGGAGGAGGAGCAGCAGGAGGAGGAGCAGAGGAGGAGGAGGAGGAGCAGAGGAGGAGGAAGGCTGAAAAGAAGGAGAGATTGCAGTGAAGCAAGGAGGCGGTCAGGAGGAGAGACAAACAACCTCCTCAGAGCTGATGCAGACAAACATGAGAGCCTTGGCGTCGCCTCCGAGAGAGTCTTGCAGCAGGAAGGTCAACTTTGAGTTCCTGTACGGCACGTGCTTCGACTGCCTTCTCATCAGTTCCTCCCTCGCTCTCGCTCCTCCTCCCTCACCTTCGCCACTAGACTCTGCATGCAGTCGCCCAGCGCGCTCAACGACTTGTTAATGTTTTGCGCTTCTTTCAGTCGCTCGCCCTCTGCGCATGTTCGGCGCAGCCTCTCTGAACCCGCCAGGTCGATCAGGTGAAGTTTGCCGAAGCTGCGGGTCCCGGTCGCCTTGCTCGTTCCCTGCAGTCTCGTCAGCCTCGCAGCCTTCCTTCCCTCCCCTCGCCTCTCACCTGCGTGTAGACGGTCAACACCATGTGGCTGCGAGACGAGTGCTCGTTCATGTCAGTCCCTGCGACGCTTCTGTTCTGCTCTCCTCGTTGCAGCGCCTGCATCACTTCTTCCATGCTCTCCACCTCGCTCGTCAAGACGCCGGGCACGCAAGTTCCTCCGTCTTGTCCAAGTTTTACATCGAGCTTCTTTTCCTCCCCTGATAGAGAGACGTAAGCTCCTCCTCCTCCTCCTCCTCCTCCTCCTCCTCCTCCTCCTCCTCCTCCTCCTCTCACCCTTTTCGTCGAGGGGCTCGAGCAAATCGCGGATGGTCTCGTTATAGATCTCCAGGAGGCTGATCTTGATCTTGAAGTCATGCTCCTTTGCTCGCTCGGCAGCCAGCGCAAATAGTTCGCCCAGTGCTCTAGTGTTGACGCCGGGGGAGGAGGCAGTGCCTTGCATCGTGTGTGTCTTCCCAGAGCCCGTCTGACCGTATGCGAGGATGCAGACGTGATAGCCATCGAGTACAGAGACCACAAGCGGTTGCGCCTCCCGAAAGATCTCATCTTGCTGAGCTTGAGGCCCGAAGGTTGCATCGTAACTGTCGCAAGATCAGTGTCTTGAGTCTCCTCCTCCTCCAACAAGAACAACAAGAACAACAAGAACAACAACAACAACAACAACCTCTCCTCCTCTCTCTCTCTCTCCTCCTCCTCCTCCTCCAACAACAACAACAACAAGAACAACAACAACCTCTCCTCCTCCTCCTCCCTCTCCTCCTGCATTACCTGAACGTCTGCGACTTTCCTCCTGCTTCAACCAGAAGCTCGTTTGGAGCGGGGTAGGAGACTATGGGAGGAGCAAGAGAGCTAGACCTAGCTGGTCGAGCTCGGCAGAAGACGCGGATATTTCCTTTGAGGTCCAGCACCAGGTTGTGCAGACGCTTCCTCTCCTTCGTCTCTCCTGCGAGTCGCTCGCTCAAGCACGAGGCCTCCTCTTTCAACTTTCCTGTCTCCTCCTGCACTCGATTCGTCATCATTGACTGCAGGGAGTTCAAGTTGGGTAGGAAGTTTCTCAGCTCTTCTGCTGCCTCCCTCAACCCTCCCAAGTCTTGCTTCACCCTGTCCAGGTTTCCTGCCACCACCCGAACAGAACTCTGAAGCATCAGCTTGCTCTGCTCCTGCTGCTCGCGCTCCGCTGCTCGTCCATCCTGCTCGGCATCAAGCTTCCCGATGATGGATTGGTAGTATTCCTTCAGCTCCAGCATCTGTGTCTCGTACCTGCTCGCTGCCTCCACTCGTTCTCGTTCGCTTTCCTCCAACTCCATGCGCAGCTTTTCCTGCCCTTCCGTTTTTCCTCCCTCAGGACTTGCCTGTATCTTCTTCTCCTCTTGCCTAATTTGTTCTGCTTGCAAGCGCATGAATGCTTGAACTTGTCGGACAGTGTCGTAAAGGGCCCCGGTCTCAGGCAGGTACGAGGCTCGAGCTCGGTACTCGCTTCCAACAGCAGCAAAGCCGATGATGTCTTTGAGCTTTTGCAGTTCATTCTGACACATCTCTCGCTCTCTCATTAGAGTTTCCAGCTGCTCTTTCTCCGATGCTGTCAGGTCTGGGATCGCCTCGTTGCTGACAAACTCAAGCTGCTGAGGAGGAGGGGAAGGCATCAGCTTGGAGTCCTCAGCAACGATCAGGGTTCCTTCGCCCCTCGTGTCGTCAGACAGCAGCATGCTTCGAGAGGGGCTCGGGTTGTCGTTCACTTTGCACTTCCGCTCCAATCCTCCTTCCCACAGAACGACAGGATCTTCGTCCGGACCGGATGTGTCCTGCAACAGAAGGTACTGGTACAGGAATTCGGCTTTCTCGGGGATGTAGATCGCCAGGCACCAGGTGCCTCCCTGTCCTCTCGCCATCTTCCTCGCACGTTTGAGGTCCCAAGAGCCCAGGGACGGGAGCGACCCGGTGATGTACATGGAAGCGTCTTGCGGCGAATCCTCGTGGATGGCTTGAAACGTCACCTTCACCAGCGTGTCTCGGTCAGGAACTCCTTTCGGAGTCGACCCCACATGAGACTGCTGTGCCTTGACGCAGCTTGCGGGCGTGCTGCTGCCAGGATTCGGAGAGTGACGCAGAGGGCTCGCAACGCTCTTGGCGATGGGCGAGAGGAAGTTGACAGCAGCTTGTCCGAGCTCAGGGAAGTGTCTGAACATCTCGAAGAATCGCCTAGGGCGACGACACAACCTTCAAAGCAAGGATCAGGATGTTTCACTCTCCTCTGTTGTCCTTTTCTCTCTCTGTCTAGTCACTGCGTCTTTCCTTCGGCTTTCTTAATCTGCCTGCATATGTAACATACCTCACCTACGTTCTCTTCTCATCTCTCCTCCTGTTTATTCCCCTCCTTTCCTGTAGCTCTTTCCCTGCCTCCCTGTTTCAATCTTCTCCTGTATCTCCCTCTATCCCTCTTCTCTTCCTTCTCTCTCCCCCCCTCTCTCTCCGCTGCCTTCGCTTCCTTCATGTCCCGCAGGGCACCTCCAACGTTTCGAATTCAATTTCTACCCGCCCCTACTACCTTTGGTCGTCCTTACACTACCCCTCCTTTGTCCTACCCCATACTTTACCACAACCACCCCTTATTCAACTCTAATGTTCTACCCCTACCCCACCTCTCTCCTGCATATTCCCCGATGAGAAGGTCTCGTATTCCCCCAATTCAAACCTCCACCCCCATGATGCTCCTCTACCCCACCCCCTTCCAGGTCCAGCACCTTTCACTACCCCTCGAGACTGTGGAAGCCTTGCATGCACCTTCACACGCCTGGCCCGCCTCACAGGATATATCCGAGCGCACTGCTGCGCAACTCTCAGTCAAGTCGCTTACACTCGCGATCGAGGACTGAGGGTGTTGAGAGCGGTCGAACAAGAGGTGACTCAAAGAGTGATAACGAACAAGGTCGTCAAAGTTTCTCAACGATTCTAAGCTTTGCGCTACGACTGCGAGGATTCTTCTTGGTCTCCTCGGTTGTTGCTGTGATCTGGTTGCAAGGGTGTTAGGAGAAGGCAACAGGATGGGGGGGGGATGGGGGGGGGGGGGCTGAGAAAGAAGCAAGAAGAAGGGCAAACTATAGAACGAGGGTGGAGGTATAACCGGTCTTTTTGTCACCAATCGAAAACTCCCGCTCTGGGGATCAGCGATTTCTTGCGCGTACCTACCAAGGAGTGAACAAAGGCAACGGAGGAGAGAGCTCACTTGTTCTTGTGCGCCTTGTCCTCGTCCCCTACCACATCTCGGAAGGTCTGCTTGACGATCCTGTCCTCCAAGGAGTGAAAGCTTATCACCGCCAACCTCCCGCCCGGAGCGAGCAAGTCCATGGCCTGGAGAGCACACCAGCATAAGTCAAGGAACGCAAGGGCGAAGAGCTCAAGGGCTGCACCTGAGGAAGCACATGCGTCAGCACATGCAGCTCCCTGTTGACGGCGATGCGGAGGGCCTGGAAGGTGAGGGTGGATGGGTGGATGCCCTTGGAGAACCTCGGCCCTCCGATGATCTTGCACAGTTGCTGACAAGGAGGTGAGACATGCGGGGGATACGCGAGGCACAAGACCAGGGTCGTTGAGATGGGCTTCTCAGTCCTCGCAGTGACAATCTTCTTGGCTATCGATCTGCTTTTCCTCTCTTCGCCGTATTGGTAGATAACCTGAGAGGTAGTCAGATCACGACATCAGAGCAGAAGCAAACCTCCGCGATCGCCTCCTCACTCCAGTTGTTCACGATGTCTGCAGCTGTCAGCAGACCGTTGGGGTCCATGCGCATGTCAAGAGGCCCGTCTCTCATGAAGGAGAACCCGCGAGCTGCGTCATCTAGCTGCAGGCTCGAAGTCCCGATGTCCAGGAGGATGCCGTCAATGCTTCTTTCCTCCAGGCCGTTGGCACTCGCGATGCTCTTCATCTCCGCAAAGTTTCCTCTCACTAGCTTCACTTTCGGGTTGAACTTTTCTAGTCGCCGTCCCGCCATCGCAAGCGCCTCCGGGTCTTGATCTATGCCCATGTACATCTCAAGCGCACCATGATGCTGCTCGAGGAGCGAGGCCGCATGGCCGCCCATACCCAGGGTGCCATCAATAAAATATCGCAAGTTCCTGCCCTCGAAGGCTTACTTCACTTCCTCGAGAAGAACTGGCAAATGAACTTCGTCAGGGTTGGTCGAAACTTTGCTGTGCAACCGAAGCCTTGAGGTCCTGTACAGCACTTGCCTGCTCCTGGTAGAGATAGAACGTTCAAGACCCACAAACTTTCCCACGCGAGGGAAAGGGATCTTGTTCTGTATCGCAACAAAACCGCATGCAACACTCGGAGTTTTCTTGGCCATTGAGGAGATGCATTGCATGTAAAAAAGAAAACTGCCTCTTGCGTTCATGGAATTCGAGAAATGGTTCATTGAGCTCCTGCCTGCTGGTCTACCTCCTGATTCTTAATGCTTCCTCTTCCCTCCAGCCCTCTCCCTTGCTCCTCTGCCTCCTGCTCCTCTGTCCTCCCCTCTCATGCGGCTCTGCACCAGCTCTGCACATGCGCATCTAACTCTGAGGCGGCTATAGAGAGGACATCAATGCAAATATAGGGCCAAGTGACATTCTGCCTTTATTCATTCATAGCTTCTCAACGAGGCAGACTGTAGATAAGTAAAACTATTTTTCCTCATCGCGATGCTCAGGTGACAGGACTGAAGCAAGGAGATGGAGAAGGAGGGAGAGGTCAAGTGAGAGGAGAGGAGGAGAGGGCGAGACGAGCAGAGGAGAGCAGAGAGGAAGTCAAGGATAGAACGAGGTCCATGTCCAGGATGGAAGACAGCGAGACATCTGAATCCTCCTGGTCCATCGAGACTGCTGACTCAGTTCATGTTGGCGGGAAGCTCCTTGTCCGATGGTCAGCAGCCACCTCGCAGAGCAGCATTCGGAGGGACTTCATTGCTTGCTACACCTTCGGGTCATCTTCGAGGAAGTACATCGACTACAAGCAGGTGGAGCGAGAGGGAATGATAGGGGGAAAGATGGAGTTTGCGGCACCTTCGAAGCCCGGCAAGTACATCTTTCGCTACCTCAGAGCGGACTACTCTGAGATGGCCTCGAGCTCTGCTGTCACTGTGCGTTCAGCTCTTTCCGTCCTATTGGAGGAGGTCAAGTCGCAGGGGATGAGGGGAAACACCGAGGCGGTGCTGGAGATGTTCGAGACCATGATGCTGCAACTGAAAGCAAACGACGAAGCCTTCCATAAGCAAGCGCTCGAGAGCTGGAGAGAGCTCCAGGCGCGTCGAAGCAATGCACAGGAAGAACCTTCAGCTCCTGATCGACCAGAAAAGGAGTCGGATGTCAAGGAGTCGGATGTTGAAGCTTCATCGGAGAGGTGAGGGAGCGCGAGAGATTCGGTCTCGCAGTGACTTGCATGCAGCACTCAGTCGGCGGAAGACTCAGAGGCGTCTGGCTTCGGCCATGAGAGATTACTGCGGTTGAGGGTCAGGGCAGCGGATATTACTCGCAGGGGCGAGACGCGCAAGGAGATTCCCGCATGGTGATGCTGGGAGACAGCGTGATGGTGGAAGGAGACTCAGCAGCCGCTAAGAGTGCGGCAGGGCTTCACCTCCTCGTCCTCCGCCTCTCCGACCTCTGCTGCCTCTTCTCTCAGTGCTACGACACTCACCATGACGGCACTGCAGCTGAGAGGCTGTCGGCAGACATCTCTTCAAAGGCGCTCGAAGTTGCAGAGCCTTCACGCGTGCTCGTGCTCGTGACGTCGCAGTACGCGTGGGAAGGATACTTCTCCTCTCCTGTCCTCTGCGACCGACTCGCTCGCTGCGGTGCCGATCTTGATCGCCTCCTTGCCATCCAGAGGAACTGCTCTAGCTGGATTTCTTCGCGCTACTCGACCCCGTACGTCCTCGTCGGCATCCCCGGCAGGCGGTCTGAGCTACGATTCAGCGCGGAGATTCTTGGAGGCTCGCAGGGGAAGAAGCAAGCGGCTGAGCTGGAGCTTGTGCTCGTGAGGGGGGGGGAGGATTGGCTGCCTGTCGCTGTGAGGAGCGGAGGCGACAAGCCCTGGATCTGGTCACTCCCCGACCCACCCGGCCGTGAGTCTCTTTCCATCGATTCCTCCTCCTCCTCCTCCTCATCCCCGCAGAGCTCCACCGTCGTTGCTCCCGGATCGCTTCCTGCGCTAGGGCACCTTGCTCTTTGGGCACTGCTGACCCCTCCGTCACTGAGGAACGACAAGTTGGTTGCCCTGCTCGCTCCCTCGCATGTCTCCTGCTTGCGTGCTGCGATGCTTTCGCTGGGGTCGGAAAAGCGTCAACTACTCAAGGAGATCAGCTTCAGCGCGGGCCAGGTGCGGCCGATGGCCCTGCTGGTGTCCCTCCATCCTCATGACGTCCAACTCCTGCGTGCCTTCACGTCCATCTTGAAAGTGTGGATCGAGACGCCTTCCTTCCGCTCCCTCCTCCTTGACGAAGCTCTTGACGTTCTCATCAACATCTACTCCATCTCTGACTCCGGTGCTCTTTCTCTCCTCTCTCCTCCTCACGTTTCTTCTCCTCTCTCCTCCTCAAAGTTTGGAGAAGATCGTCCAGAAGTACCTTGACAGGTCGATTGCAGGAGATGGTGAGATGTCACGACCTAGGGACGAGCTGAACGCAGGTAAGGAGAGAGCGAGCAGGGGAAGGAAGTGACTTCAGTGAGCAGTGCGACTGGACGCAGCTCAGCTGCTGTGTCACCTCATCCACGACGACAAGTTTTCTCTCCGTCGAGAGATTCTTGACTTGTATTTCATCAAGGTGATGCTTCGCTGCCTATCCTGCCTTTGATTCTCTTTGTGCCAGACCGTTCGCAAGGAAGTTCAGCGAGCTCTCATCCTTCGTATCTCCAGCCTCTCCAAGAATGCCGACATGGCAGCCAAGATCGTCGCCTCTCCAGCACTCAACATTCTTGCTGATGCTGTCATTCCGCCGTCTCATGTTCGCATCTTCTCGTCCCTTCGCCTCCATCGATGCTCTCAGCTTCTTGTTCTTCTGCAACTTCTGTTGTTGTTGACTTCCTCCTCCCCTCGATTCTTGTTCATTTCTTCCAATCTTCATCTCTCTTGCCTCATGTCTGTTGTGTCCTCCAATGTCTCTTCTTTTCACCATCTTCGTGTGCTGTTGGCCCATCTCATTGTTTCATTTCTTCCTGCTGCTCATTTCATCTCTGCAGAAGTATCAGCATGAGCGTCGGGCTCGTGCAAGGCAGGAGGAGGAGGACGACAGAGAGCTGCGGTCAGACGCCCTTCTGGGTATCGCCAGGTCTGTCGGAGAGGCCCCAGGGGAGGCTCTGACCCTGCCGTGTGCAGCCTCTGCGTATCCCATGAGATGAGGATAGAACTACTTCGTCTGCAGATCCTCGACCCTGTGATCTCTGCGCTTGTAGAGAGCGACCATACCTCCTTGGCGCTAGAGGATGCTTCCTTCTCCTCCGCCACCGATACCGTTGCCGCCGCCGCCTCTGCTGCTTCCTCTTCCTCCTCCTCTTCGACTTTGAGCTTTTCTCATTCCTCGCCTCACATCAACGCGCTCATCATCATCAAGAATCTGGCGCAGACAGATGTAGTCCTTACTAAGTTGCACGTGGAGGTGCAAGAGGAGGCGACAAGGGAAGGAGAAGAAGCGACAAGTAGCGACAGAGGAGGACAAGGATCAGGACCTGTCACGACCTCGCACTTGGATGCTGCGGATCTTGCTGAGCTGGAATCTTTCTCAGTGTGGGGAGTTGTGGCCGCTGGTCGTTGGAAAAGAGAATTCAGAGGAAAGCTGGCGATGATCGCGTCCTCCCTCCTCGAGAAGGGGAGCAACTTTGTTTGTGACCAGGGCGACGTCGCGCTCTTAACGGGGCAGCAGGTGAGAGGAGAAGTAGTCATGGCCGCTTCTGATTCTTCCCCCAGCCCTCGCGTGAGGCAGCCGTCGCTTCTATCCGCATGTGCCAGCAGTCGGGAGCCAGCGCAGGTGAGTCAGCTCAAGCTCCTCCCTTCGTCCTCACGAGCTGTTGGCAGTCATCCTCACACTTCTAGGAGGAGCAGCACAGTATCCCGTGCTGCAGCATCTACCTCGCGATTTCGGTGACGTCACCATCCCCGTCATCTGCATCCCCAAAGAGGAGGCGTCACGCCTGCAAGCGTACGTGGAGTTGAAGAAGAAGCAAGCCGCCTCAGGTTCGCAGGCTCCTGTCCTGTGCTCCCTCCATGTCCCGGTGGAGTGTCGTCGCAAGCTTGTCTTCCGCGCGCTTCCGCTGCTGCACAAGCTGGTGAGGCCAGGAAGTTGCAACACTGAAGTGACGAGGCTTGCAGCTGCGGGATGAAGGCAGCAAGCGGAAGAGGGAAGATGAAGCGAACTCCGAGGAGCAGGCTTCTAAGCCGACTGAAGCTCGGAGGAAGGAGGAAGAGGAGTGGGCGAGGACGAGGGGCGACATCCTGAGGATCCAGCGGCTGCTCGGCGACAGTTCAGCGAGGACTCTGTCTGGAAGGGGAGTGAGAGTGTTGGCCATGGACGGAGGAGGAATCCGAGGGCTGGTGCTGGTGGAGCTGCTCAGGAAAGTAGAAGCAGACTCGGGGAGAAGAATTCATGAGATCTTCGACGTGATCTGTGGGACGAGCGCTGGGGGGCTGCTAGCCATGGCCCTCACCATAGGGCGAACGCTGGAAGAGATCGAAGAGCAGGTCCCGGCAGGTCTTCTCAGCTTCTCCTCTGCCTGACTCTTCGCAGTTCTTCCGCATTAGCTCGAGCATCTTCCGGAAGGGTTGGTTCACCACGGCTCAGCAGCTCACGTACACGGGCTCCAAGGTTAGGAGGGGAGGAGGTTGGAGGCGTCGGAATGAAGTGGGGGCAGTACGATGCGAGATTGCTCGAGGACTTGTTTCGCGAGCAGTACGGCAACGGCTCGCTCCTCGACACTCCAGCCAGACCCTTCTGCTTCATGACCTCCACCCTCGCCTCTGTTGTCCCAGCTCAGGTACCTCACGCGTCTGCCGCCTCCCCTGACGTCTCCCAGCCCTTCATCTGGCGCAACTACGCGTATCCTCTTGACGCCTGCTCGCGCTACCCGGGAACGTGCGACGCTTCTCTCGTTACCGCACTGCGAGCGACCTCTGCGGCACCCAGCTACTTCGACGATGTCCAGCACGAGCTGGGAAGGCACCTGGACGGTAAGCTGCTGCTCTGCTGGGAGCTGCTGACTCGACCGCAGGAGGATGCGTTGCCAACAACCCTGCGGCCATTGGGATACACGAAGCCAAGTGTCTGTTCCCCAACACACCCATCGAGTGTGTGGTATCGCTTGCTACAGGTTCCCCTCCTGTCCGGGCGCTTCCTGGAGCAGGAGTTGGATGGCAGGTGAGGCTGAGGAGGAGAGAGGAGGAGCGATCTCAAGCTACGGCAGGGGGTCTTGAATACAGTAATCTACAGCGCCAGCAGCGTGTCGAGAATCGCTGACTGTCTGGAAGACGCGATGGCGGAGGGAAGTTACTACCGCTTCTCGCCCGAGGGGGATGCGTTTGACGTTCCGCTGGACCAGACGAACCGAGGGAAGATAGAAGAGCTGCAGGGAGCGACGCATCAGTACATCAGCATGCAGGCCTCCAAGTTCCACTCGCTCGCTCACAAGCTGCTCCTGCCTCGCAGATGAAGTAGAAACATAAGATGGTAACATGTGCAGTAAAACGATACACCTGAAAGCACTTGAGCGAGAGGATCAGCAGCAGTCTGACCTCCCATGCCCCATTTCTCTCAGTGTCGGAATTTCCGTAGGTTTCATTTAGGGCCGCTCGATTGGAGAGAGGGGCAGGGGAGGGAGGGGCAGGGGAGGGGATGGAGGAGGCGGAGGAGGCGGAGAGGATGGACGAGAGAGACGGAGAGGAGAAGGAGCACGACGACGACGGAGGAGGAGGAGGAGGAGGAGGAGAGACAGCGACAGATGAAGTGACTGATGGAGCTAGCGCGATCAGAAGCTTGATGAGAGACTTGAAAGACGCCGAGGACATCGATCGACGGCTGTCAGATCTGCGAGGGCTCTGTCTCAGGGCCGATGACTTGCAACCTTGGACAGGTGGCAGTTGGGAAGCAAGCATACAAGACAAGGAGAGGCAAGAGATGATCGCCATGCATGACAACTTTTTGTCTGTGATGCGAGAGGCGCTGTGTGAACCTTGTCGACACCTCGCTGCCATGAGGCTCATGCATGTGTTAGTGTATAAGAATGAGAGAGTGCAGCAGTACCTGGTAGAGCAGCAGGTTGTGTCTGTCATGGAGCAGCAACTTTCACAATCACCGCAAGTGAACGAGCAATTGTCTTTCTTTCGATTTCTCTTCCTTCTTGAGGATCATCTCGCCAGGCCTCACCTTGACAACCTCCTGCCTTCCCTCATCGACCGACTCGCTTCTCGCTCGCGAGACCTTCAGCGCATCTCCGCGCTTCTCATCCACAAGTTTGTCTTCGCCTCCCCTCCTGGCAGCGCTCTCGCCGTGATCGAAGCCTGGGAGCTGTTGGAGAGGTTCGTGAGCTTGTTTCAGCTAAGCAAGGACCAGCCGGTCAAGCTCGCAGCGCTAAGAATCATTCATCAGATCACCAGGTTGAGCGCCAACAAGCTGCATAGCGTGGAGACAAGCTCTGTGCTAGCGGTCATGGAGCGAGAGAGTTTCTTGCTAGCGGTGATGGCTCAGGTCAGAGAGAACCTGACACAAGAGTTCATCCTCACGGCCCTCGAGCTTTTCAGTGAGAGCTCCTCCTTGCCTCTCTGCTCCTGACTTGTCTCTCAGAGTCGCTGCTTCCCTTCTGTCAAGGTCAGACTGCTGTCAAGCAACTGATGGAGGGTCAGCTGGCGAAGGATCCTTCCTTGTTCGCAAGCACCCTCGCCGTGATCCTCTTGTTTCCGATCGACAAGGTGCGAGTAGCTGGACACGAGCTGGTGGTCGCGATGAGCTTGAGGGACCTGATGTCTGCAGCTCTCGTCTCGCCTCTCCTCTCTGCTGCCGCTGCTGAAGCCCACGAGGCTTTTGGAAGTCGGTTCCCCCCGCTCGATTCTCAATCGCAGTCTGGGGATGATCCTTCACCCCTGCCAGCCATGGCCAAGGGAAGCAGCTTGGCGAAGGCAGTGCGAGGGTCAGAGGAGCTTCACTTCTTCCTTGAGACGACGAGGGGAGAAGACCCCACGAGGATGGAGTTGCTGCTGTGCTTCTTGCAGGCCAACCCCTCGCACATCAACCGCGAGCTGATAGCTGCTGCCAAGAGGTCACTCGAGCGACGCGTGAAGGAGAGGAGCTGGAAGGAAGCGAGCTTGTTGAGTCGGCTGCTGGATCAGATGCTGGAGGGCAGGACGGAGGAGCTGGTGGACGAGGCTCATCTCGATCGCTCCCTCAAGCTCTTGCGCTCAGTTGTTGGAGGAAGCAGACGCGCGGGTGACGGCGGGGAGGAACTTTCATGCATGAGAGACTTGCTGGCTCGCCTCATCTCCTCCAACGTCTTTGCGGCCCGAGTCATGCGGGAGAGCGGAGGGGTGGACTTGTGTCTCAATCTCCTCTCCTCTCCCCTCTCCTCGCACGCTCCTGCCGCCCTGACGCTCCTGCATGCGACCTACAAGAGCTCAGCAGCAGCTGGCCTCAGATGCTTCGACGTCGAAGAGCTCAAGGTGCTGGTGCCGCACGTGAAAGAGAGCATTCGCAGCTCGCTGATGCGCGGGGGTGAGGACGTGGGCGATGGAGGAGTGTTGGACCTCTGCCTCAACTTGTTCATTGGCGCCTTTCAGCATCACCTGCCGGAGCGCAAACGATTTCCGATGACACCGAGAGAGCTGACGTCAGAGTCCTGCTGTGAGAGCTTTCCCTTTCGTGAGCTCGTCTCATACGAGCTGCAGCGGGACTTGTGTAAGCTCCTCGTCTCATCTCTCAGCTCCATCCCTTGTCGCTTCGAGCTTAGGATCGCAAGGCTGCTGACCGTCATCGCGTACCTCCATGCCTTTGACCTTCACCGGCAACGCACCAACATGTCCTCTGAAGACGTTCAGCTCTTGCAAGGTCTTGTCAGCTCACAAGCGATGCTGTCGCTCTACTCGGAGACGTTACGAGGCTGCTTGAGCTTGTTTCTTGCCGCCATATCCGCAAAGAAGACGCAAGAACTGCTCACCGACGAAGTTGTCCGTCGCTTCTCTTACGCGTTCGATGGCAACATCAACGTAGAGATGCAGCTGCTTGAAAATTCAATCTTGTTAGTTTGCAGAGCTGAACCGTCAATGAGGTTGAAGATGTGTTACCCTGCGGTCTTGGACGAGATCTGTCTCAACGTGTGCAGGGGCGTAGAACGAGACGGTGTGTCTGCGAAGATGTTTCAGAGTCTTGTCACTACTGAACTGCTTGGGGAGAACAAGCTCGACAAGATTCTTGTGATGTTCACAAGGCCTTGTATCCGAAGCATGCTGCAAAGATTGCTGCAGTACCTCAGACGCTCAGACAGGGCGCCTGACATGACAGGGAGGTACACTGACATCATCTCAAAGATGTGCGAGATTTCTGACATGCAAACATTCTTGTTCGGACAAAACTTGTTTGAGGTTCTGATGGATGCCTTGAAAGACCGTGACATGATGAACGTTCAGCATGTCGTCAAGTGTCTTGCAGACATTGCGAGAGGAAAAGACAAGGAAGAGATGAGGCAGCGGCTGGTGGATCTTGGTCTGATACCCAGGTTGATTCATCTTCTTGACAAGTCTCAACTGCTGGGTCTCATGCTGGGGATCGTTGAACTTTTGCCTCTCCTTTCTTTGCATCTCTCGCTGCAAGAGGAGAGGGTTCGCCTCTTGCTCGCCCTCTTCCTCACCTTCAGGTCCAGCTCGTCGCTGCTGCTCACGAGGCAGCTACTGCCTGCCATAGCGTCTTTCATTCAGAGCCCAGCTGACGCCCACCTCTTCGTCGAACATGGCGGAATGGAGATGATGCTCGAAAGGGACGGGAAGGTTCACCGCTCGTCAGAGGCGCTGAAGATGATGAGAACAATGCTTGTGCTTGCTCGTCGAAACGAAGAGAAGGGGAACGTCATAGTTGAAGAGATCGCTACACAAGAAACGATGACGCAAGTCCTTGACCTGTCTGAAACCTCTGACTTGAACATCTCCAAGACCAGCCTCAAGGTCTTTGAAGAAATCCTTCAGCGAGGTATTCCATGCACTCAACAATTTCTTGACGATTCATTCAACCGGTTGAAGGACAATGATGGGCAGAAACGATTCGAGCAGCTCCGGCCTTACATCTTCGTCAACATGTGCTTGCTGGCGTCGCTTCTTGACGACAAGAAATTTCTTCTTCTCCTGCCGAGGGTCAAGCAGTACCTCCGAGCTGACAGCGGCAAGACGGTCAAGGCAGCCCTCAAGAGCATCGTGTGCTTGGCCAAGTTCGAGAACGTCAGGTCCCAGCTGAGAGGTCTGAACCTCCGCGACCTTCTGCTCCTTCGCATGTCTGCCTGTCGCTACGAGTGTCGCCGCGTTGCTGCTCGAGTGCTGGAGGTGCTACTGGGACACGACCTCAGCTGGCGGCTGGTCTCTTCCGACCTCGTGCTGCGGCTGCTCGAGATGCTGAGCTCTCGTTTGGAGTTTGACAACTTGGAGGCCTTGAAGGCTCTCAACCAGGTGCTCCGCCTCCCTGACAGCTTCGCCGATTGTGTGAAGCTGGTCAAGCCTGCTGGGGGTCAGGATGGCCTGCACCTGGTGAGCTCCCTGCTGCATCGAACTGAGTCAGAGAGGATTAAGACAGAGTGCTGTAAGTTCCTTCGCCTCGTCGCCCGCGACAAGTCCTGGTCGTTCATCGTGTGCCAGCTGTCAGCTGTGGTGGTCAGCGAGAGCCTGTTGAGCTCGAGCGAGAGCTTGGTTCTCTCGTCTCTCCAGTGCGTCGAGGAGCTGATAGCAGAAACAAGCAACTTCGCGCTACTCAAAGCTCAGGGCATTCTCGTGATCTGCAACAACTTGCTTGAGATGGCGAATGCAGCTGTTGTCGTCAGTGCTTGCCACGTCATCGCTGCCTTCGCACAAGACGAGAGCAGCAGAAAAGCAATGCTGGTGTGCGGGACCATGGAGAGGTTGTATGAGAGGTATGAGGGGGGGGAGGAGCGAGTCTCGCAGTCCGTCAGCGTCTGCCTGCAGCGCCTCATGGAGCATCGCGACATGTCGCTGGCGTTTTACGAGCACCATCGCCCTCAAGCTCTCCTGCTGCCCTTGAGCCAGCCCGTTTCAAGTGCAGCCAAACGATCAGCAGCCAAGGTGATGGCCAAGTACCTGCGACATGTTCCGTTTGAGAGCGAAGGCTCGAGCAAGTCTCTGACCTTGGCGAGGGAGTTGGTTCAAGCCTTGCTTGCTGAACCTGATATCTCCGTCGCAAGCGAGCTCTGTGCTGCTGTCGCCGCAAGCATCGGCAACAGGAGCAGGCACAAGGAGGGTTACAAGAAGCTTCTCGTCGATGCTGGTCTGCTGGTGGGGGCCAAGAGGCTTCTGCTCGCTGCCTCGGAAACTTTCATCCTCGTCGCTGCCAACGTCTTGCTCAAGCTCAGTGACCTGGAGCAGTGCAGGCAGTTTGTGCTCGAGCATGGTCTCATCTCCGCCCTCAAGGACGCGGCTGCTTCTCATCGCTCCTGTGCCATTCCGGCGATGAGGGCGTTGGCTTCCTGTGCGAGGGGACACGTCGGGCTGAGGTTGCAAGCCCTTGAGTGCGGAGCTGTGGAGGCTGTGCTGGCCTCGCTCAAGTCCCTGGCAGTCAGAGGAGGAAGAGAGGAGGAGGGCGAGGAGGAGGAGGGAGAGGAGCATGTCAAGAGGAGCGTGGATGGGCTGGTTGGACTGCTGGAGTGCAAGCGATGTCAGGTGTTGTCTGAGAGCGAGCATCACTTCCAGGCTAAGTTCCAAGGTGAGATTGTCGTCCTCCGCCAGTGCCTCCCTCGCTGTTCGCACGCCGACGCCTGCAGGAGCTGCTTGTCCCTGGCTCTCGAGAATGGAGCCCAGCAGGTTTGTCTCCAGCTGCTGCAGCACGGCAGCTGGAGGATGCGTGAGCTGGGAACGACTTTGCTCCTCTGTCTGCTACCTGCAAGGGAGTTCAAGAAGGAGCTGAAGGAGATGCTGGCGGGGGACGAGGGGCTGTTGGAGGGCGTCACAGCGTCACTGGAACACATGCTGGGCTCGCGTGAGAATGTCCAGTCAGTCAAGATGGCGGCTCGACAGTCTCTCGCTGCCCTCCTCGCAGCTGCCGTCTGCCTGGAGGACGACACGCGACTGAGGCTGTTGAGGTCAAAAGTCCTCAGCCTCCTCGTCGCCTGCCTCTCCTCCACCGACTTCCCCACCAGATGCTGCGCCTCCTACGCCCTCGCCAGACTCTGCGCGAGCGACAGGTTGAGCTTCTACTGGAGCAGGCAGCGAGAGGTCGCTTCTTGGGAGCTGCCGCAGGAGCTGCGGGGATATCAAGATTCGTCGGGGCGATTGCTGGAGTTCAGCGAGGAGGAGGTCAAGTACGACCAAGAGAAGAAGGGCTTCCGTGTGCGAGGCGTGTTCAAAGCGTTCGAACGCATCCTCGTCTGCGACATTCTTCTCAGCTCCTCTTTGACCTACAAGTCAAACGCAACTTTCTTCAAGCTCAAGGCTGACCCGCGCGTTGTGACAGACAAGATCGTGCTGGCAAGCATGACGGACATGTTAGAAGGAGATGTCACAGAAGAAGCATACCTCTATGCCGTCGAAGCCATCATCACCCTCTCTCGCTTCCGCCTCCCCAAAGAGTTCTTGCTCAAGCATCAAGTCTTGACTAAGTTGATTGACAAGTTCAACCAGGCAGGCGACGCGTCTTTGTTGAAGGAGAGACTCCTGACAGCAATCGTGTCCATCATCCCCGACCCGACTAGCGTTGAGATCCTTGAAACTTGTCGCTTCCCGCAGCTGCTCATCACTTTGATCAAAAGCCAAGCATCGTCTCGCACGCTCATTCAAACAGCCTCCGTGGCTCTCGCCAAATTGTGTCGAGACGAGAACTTCAACCTGCGCAAGCACGCGGCAGACTTGACGGAGCTGGAGCTGGAGACGTTCTCTCGTAGCGACGAGCAGCTCTTCGTCTTCTGGCTCGACCTCCTTGTTTCTCTCTCCTCCTACACCACCTGCCAGTCGGAGCTCGCGCGGTCAAGCCTGCTGCCTCAGCTGATCGCGAGGCTCAAGGAAGCAACGGCTCTCCCCGTCAAGTCTCGCCTGCTCATCGTCATCACCAACTTGGTCTCGTTGCAGGCGAACATGGTGCAGGCGATCGAGTGTGGGATCTTGCTGCACGTATCGAGGTTGGCGGGGGAGGAGGAGCTCAGGGTGGTCGTGCTGTTGTCCCTGCTGTCGCTCTTGCGAGAGAGGAAGCTGCGAGATCAAGCAGCAGACCATAACCTGCACCTCCTCTGCTGCGACCTCACCGACCGTCTCATGAAGCCGCAGCTCTCATCAACGCAAGCAGATCAGCCGGACAGTGAGAGCGAGGATGCGAGGAGCAATGGCGATAGATCAGACGGTCAGGTCATGACGCTGATCGCGAGGATCATGCTGAGCATGTCGAGTGGCAGCGCTCAGAGTGTGAGGAGGGTGGCAGGGCCTGAGAGTTTCGCAGCCCTGAAGCTTCTGCTGTCGCGACAGGAGCCAGACATCCAACGCGACGCTCTCCTCGCCCTCCGTAACTTGATCTCTGGTCGCTCCGACTTGGCGGCGACCCTTGAGGAGGAGGTTCTGGTCAAGATCGCGCGGCTCCTGCAGACTCCTCGTCCTCTCGTTCAGCGCGAAGCTGCGAACCTGATCATCTCCATCTCCTCCTTCCCTCGCGTTCGCCCGGTTCTTCTCCAGCACGGCACCTCCATCGGGCTGCACGCCATGCTCGAGTCTGGTCAGCCTGAACTGAAGGAACTCGCAACGCTCGCCATGCGACGGCTGGGGCTGCGATAGGAGAGGAGGAAGAGGGTTGATAGGAGGAAGTAATGGGAGGAGGAGGGGAGACAAGGTGATCTTCAAGTACATGTACTACTTCAACATGGTGAGCAGAGATGGTCTCGCTCCTCCTTCACTCGTCCGGACCCGCTAGGCTCAAGCGGCTGCTTACTCCATACCTGATCTCCAGACTTTCCTCGTGCTCCGAGTCTTCTGACTCTGATCGCCTCCCCTTGGACCCGCTGCCGTCTCTTCGCAGGGCTGAGAAGCCGACGGTTGGGTTGCGGATGAAACTCTCCCGCATCGTCTCCACCTGCTCCTCCGAGACTCCGTAGGGAGCGACGGCATAGTGCGAGAGCACCTGAGAGTTGGTTCGCCCGAGGCGGATCAGCCTGATGATCTGCTCCTCCACCTCCTCCGACATGCTGGACTTGCTCCTCTCCCTCCCCCTCCAGCTGTCGCTTCTCTTGTTCGCCTCGAAGCTGTTCGCCCTGCTCAAATCTGACTTGCTCATCGACCGACCCGCCAAGCTATTCATGCTGTGGTACTGCTGCTTCAGCGCGCTCTTGGGCGACTCCCCCGCGTCTTTTCCTTGTCGACGCTGATCTACCGAGCTCGCACTGTGTCCGAGGCTTGCCAGCATCTTCGCTTGCGACTTGGGGCGGCTGAGGCTCCACTGGTCAGCCTCCTTCACGCTCGCTGGGTCGACAGACTGCGGCCGTTTGAACTTGCGACGGTCAGAGTTGAGACCCTCAGCCTTGAGACTCAGCAGCTCCTTCTCGATCCTCTTGATGGCCAGTTGCCGCGAGTCTTCCTCCTCCGAGAGATCCTCGTCGGCCTCCTCCTCTCCCTCCTCCCTCGCCAGTTGCTTCCAAGCGTTGAAGCAGGAGATCACCAGGTACCTCGACCACGTGCGGGCAAGCATGCGTAAGATGGCGACAGCTCCGCGTCTTCCCAGCAGCCTCTGCCTCATCGCAGCAGCATCACCCGACTCCTGCGTCGCATTCGAATGTCAGTCAAGCCACTTGAGGAAGGGAATTGCCGAGACCTCTAGGGACGGACGAGACCCCATGCTCCAAGACGCGAAGTTTTCTCTGCGAGACATGTCTGCCTTGTCTCTGCCATTCACGCGATCGAGGTGTCTGATCTTCACCGGCAGGTTGTCTTCATCGCTCTCCCCCTGCCTCTCTGTCAGCATTCGCCTCCTCCAACATCCTTTACCTTGAGTCGGTCATGGCCGCCATGACGCCCGAAGACTTCGAGCCCTTTGACTTTACCTTGCAGGTCCAGCAGTTGTCCTTGACGATATTGTGCCAACTCTTCCTCTTTCTGTAGAGAGCTCTTGGTTCTTTCCAGCTCCGACTTTAACCTTTTACACTCCTCCTGCACCTGTACTCGAGTGAGCAGATAGACCATCAAACGAGTCTCAACGTACTCCCACTAAACTGTCATTCTCTCCCTTGACGATCAACACCGCCTGCTCCAACTCCTTCAAGGCAAGCCCTTGCTCTCGTTCCCTTTCTTTTGCATTCGACAACTGAAGGCGAAGATCGAGAATTTGATGCATTGATTCAGACTTCTCCTGGAAAACAAGAAGTTACAGGTTTTCAAAGACTCCGTGACTTCATACCATTTCCGTCATCCTCAAACGTTCAAAGACTTGCTCCAACTCGTATGCGACCATGTTCTTTGCTTGAGAAATCGATTCAACTTGTTGAGAAAGCATGGCAATAGCTTCTCTCGATTCTTTCAGTTCGTTTTCAAGAATCTGCGCTCGGCTATTGTCGATTGATTGGCGGTCCTTGGTTTGCCTGTCTTTCAGCTCGACGATCCTTAACTCCAGCAGCTCCAACGCCTTCTCCCTCTCCTTCAGCTTGATCTGCATCTCTTCCATCCTCCCATCAGCTTTCATCTTTTCAGATCTCACGTTGGAGTTCAGCTCCTTGAGCGTGATGATCTCTCTGTTCAGCTTCTCGGATTCCATTTGAGCTCCACTCAACGCCGTCTGCATCCTCTCTTTCTCATCGCTCATAAGCGCAAACTTGGTGTCCATCTCCCTCAGCGCTTTCTCAGCTTCTTTCAATTGCTTCTGCGTGACTTCGAACTGTTGAGAGACTGTTGCGATTTCTTTCTCCAAGGTGCTGACTTTTGATGACCTGCGCCATCAAGTCATCAACGCATGCAGATGCTGCAGCATACAACTCACCAACGCAAACCTGACGACCTGGATTCGTTCCGCTCAGATTCTAACTCTTTCTTCGTCATTTCAAGGAGATCGATGGTGGATTGGTCTTCCACGGATTGTTGCATCTTCAACCATCACTATCAGTCTCACTTGTTTGAGACGTGGAGATCATCTTGCCTGTGCCAAGAGTGTTGCCTCTCGTTGGTTTGCCTTGAACAGCTCATCTCGTAGCTCTTTCAGTGACTCTTCAAAGTGTTCTGTGCGATCCCTGAAGGAGGAAAGCGATCAAAACTCGAGCAGATACACAAAGTATGACATACTTCAAGACAGCACGAGCGTCTTCCACCTCGACTTGCAGGACAGCAACCCGTTGCTTCTCTTTTTCACTGCGCTCCAATGCAGCTTTCAAATCGCCCTCCAATTTTCTTCTCAGCCTTGCTTCAGCTTCAAAATCCTCTTTCATCTTGCGATGCTCTGTTTTCAGTCTTCTGTGCAATTCTTCAGCTTCTCTTGCCTAGATATCAGGTGTCAACAAGTGTCAGATCAGGAGGAGACCCTGCTTACCTCTCGATGCAACGTCGTTATAGTTTGATGGTAATCAGCATTGATCTTTGACAGCTCATCACATTTCATCTCCAGCGAGTGTATCTTCTCTCTCTCATCCTATCAGTCAAGTCATCTCTACCCTGATAATGGCTGCAATGTACCGTCACCACGTCCTTGCGCGAGCTGCTCCGATCCCGTGCTCCATTCTTGGTATCGAGTCAGATGTCTCGTTGTCATGACGAAAATTGTCAAGGTCGCACCTGTTGTTCGTTGTGCATCTTCATCCCCAGTGGCCCCCCTTGCATTTTGTCGTTGGGAATGACTCTGGTGGCTGATTGAGATCTCAAAGTTTGATGTACAAGTGCGAGCTCTTTGAGCCTTCCCAACATGATCTCTGCTGTCGCTACCCTGTTTTGAGGTCTCTTCTGCAGAGCTTGATCTAGAATGCCTCTCAACTGCTCCGAAGATCGCCCCCCAGACACTTGCACAATGTTTGGAACTGGCTTCGTACAAATCTCGTTCACAATCACCTTTCGAAACAAACCCGTCAAGGGGGACATCAAATCGAATTCGATGTGAACTCACTTGCAAGGGATCACCAAGTTTCGCAAACGGCAGAGTTCCTGGATGACAATTCAGCGACGCTCCAGAAAAGAACTTAACAAACCTGTGACGCAATGATAGATCAGAACGCCAACAGCCCACAGATCAGTCACGGTGGTGATCTCAGCACCCGAAATAGTTTGCTCTGGGGCAAAATACATCGGAGTTCCTACGACATTCTCTCCTGTCAACAAAGATCCGCCGGACAGTTCTCTTGCAAGGCCAAAATCAATGATCTTGACGTGCAGGGTTTCAAGGATGACGAGGACCTGGCAATGATCGGTCACAAGTCCCTCTCCGCATCTCAAGGCAACAACTTACATTGGCAGGTTTCAGATCTCGATGAACAACACCATGCGCATGGGTACAGACAAGGCCTTGTAGAATTCCGATGACTATGTTCACGGTTTCTTCCTCTGAAATGAATCCTCGCTTGTCTAGGATTTGCTGCAGGTCCGGGCCGTTGATGGCTTCCATCACCTACAAAAGGGGACATGCTTTTAGATCTAGTCTAAGATCAGAATCTACAGTACAATATATGATGTTCCATCCGGTTCTGACCCCATATCGATATATGAGATGATATTCGGATGCTGTAAAGATGCAACAATCCTTGCTTCCCGGTTGAAACGCTTGGAGTATTCATCAGTACTTGACGAGGCTGTTATTCAAGTACGGATACCTCTTGTCTTTCTTTTGATGCTCCATTCTGAAGCAGTTTTACAACTACCTCTCTGTACAGGCCCTTACTTGCTGTATCTTGAGCTTTGTAAACTGTACCCATTACACCTCCCTGCAGCCACAATCAAAGATCTTTAGGCAGTCTCTTGCAACATGAACCTTGTATCTTTTCACCTCCTTATACCGCTCACGGATGCTGAGGTTCTTGCCATTATCTAGACCTTTTGAAGGTCCAGCTTCGATCAGATCTCCATCTCTTATAACACTCATGATAACATCTTGATTTCTCAATTCACAGCCCATCACAGTCAGTGACTGGACCTGGAGGCTAGTGAGTAAATGCAGTTATGCTAAGGTTGGCATACTCTTGTTCCAAATCGTGCCTGAATCACATCCACCAGCCATGACACATTTTGACTTGTATCCGGTATTGAAATCACTTCTGTTTTGTTTCCAACTTTGCAGAACACCCGCGCCGCTTGGTCAGCCTAAGGAACGTATGAGCCCTCAATTGATACCCAGTCACATCGTCTCAACACCTTGTTGGAAGCCCTCGAGGAGGTGCTCAAGTTGCTTGCCGATCCAGCAGAGAGCATCATCTTACAGTTATTTCAGTCCTGGTATATGCTACCGTTCACCACATAAAGTACCTGCCGAGAATCCATATCGCTGAATGAATTGTTATCCCACTGTTTGTCTACGACTTTACCATTCTGCCAATCTCTTCCTAAGCTAGTCGTCATGCTGATCAGCTCCTGAAGACAACCAATCTCAGCAGAAGTTTGGTTGCACTGAATTCCATCCAGGGCATTTACTTTCGAGTGACTCACGCGTCATTCAACGTCATGCGTTCATCTTCACTGCAGGATCCTCTCCTCTCCTCGCTCCTCTCTCCTCTCTCCTCTCTCCTCTCTCCTCTCTCCTCTCTCAGGCTCCCCTCCTCACGCTCTGTGTCTGCTCCCCCTCCCCTCCTACTCACCCGTTCGCCATGCGATCGCACTGTCGAAATTTAAAAGGGTGAGGTACCCCACCCTACCTATGTATCTTTGCTGGAGAAACAAGATAAAGTTGGGGGTACCTTGAACATATGAAGTCGAAACCAAGGGTGGGGGTGCTTTGAAAACTACAATGGAACTGGGGGAGGGGTTGTGTACCCCACCCCTCTCATCCCCCTCATGGGATTGAGACAGGGGGGTACAAGTAGATACGGTCAACATTTGTCTTACCGTATCTTCATAGCGGAACTATTCCTAGCACCTGGTGCTAGCCTCCTATGATTCAAATTAACATGCTGCAGTATTCCTAAGAAGATCCTATGACCTAGCCATACGAACTTCAGGCCCTACTAGACCATCAAAGGGACCGTAACTTTGCATGTCGTAGGCAGTGTAAGATTTTCCTAGGACCAATGCCATAGGGTGGTGTTAGGTGAGAACCGTTCGGGCTTGAAAAGCTTCCTAGCACGGGGTCCTATAGAAGTCTTAGGCAATTAATACTTCCTAGGGACCAGATACTTTTTTTTAGTGAAAGTGTGACTCGGGCAGGCTGAGTGACTCGGCGATGCCGTAGCGGCGGCCCGGCCCCGGCCCGGCCCCGGGCCCCGGCTTGAAGGTTCATGCCTTCAAGATTACCACTACTGTCCTCCTGAGATACCGTGCGAACTTTGGAATGGCGGAAGCGCGGGAGGAGGAGGAGGAAGAGGGAAGAAGAGATGCTGAGAGGCAGAAAGTGTAAGGGACCTGGTCGGAGAAGCAAGATTCACCTTAGGAGGAGCCATTACAGGAGAAAATATTATCACATGGCTTGACTATGAAGAGTTCAGATGTGAGCCGGGTATTGCCGAGCAGGGAGTGCGCGATCGGAGAATGCTGTATGCGCGAGGAAGAGCAAGAGAGATCTGATGAGATTCTCTCCTGCCTTGATGTCGACTTTGATCCGATCTGGGGTAACGTAATATCATTCCACCCGTTCCCACTTGATCGGGAGGGACCGAGGGCCCAGGCTCATGGTGACAGCAAAGTCATCCAAGAGCCTATGGCAGAGGGATGTTGTACAGGAATGCTGATGGATGCCTTGAGGAAGCGTCACCCAGAGACACAGTTCGAGAGCTACGTGCCGTCCAAGTTCAACAACAAACGATTAAGAAGCATTCACGAATTCTCTAGCGACGAGATGGTGTCTTCGATCGAAGACCTTGAGCTCAAAGACAAGCATGGCATGAATGAGAGAATCTGTTTCTTGCATCTTCAGGATAGCGACTTTGGAGGTTCCTCAACACAATCTTTGTTGAGATCTCTCAACAGATTGTCTAACTTGGAAGTCGTGATCTTAATTCGAACTGGATTGAAATCCGTGAAGGGTCTTGAAGTCAGATCACTCCTGTACTTAGATGTCTCAAACAATCTTATTCAAGACATAGAAGAGGCCTTGAGAATATTTGACAACAGCAAAGTCCTGCAATACGCCGATTTCTCAGGAAACCCTGTTTTGAGCCTGATGCCGAATTCAGAAGACCGACTCCTCGCAAGCGCGCCATGGTCATTGCAAACGCTGAATAGAAAGCCCGTGGAAATCTCAAGAAAGGTGGATGCAGTGCGCCTGAACACAAAGGATTGCGACCGTGCGTCACTTTCTCACGATGTCTGGGACTATCAAGTTTGCAAGAATAAGACGTTCGCCAAAATGAACTTGTTCAAGCCTGAAATGATTCGTCATCTAGATATATCATGTACTGGGATTTCAGTGTTTCATGTTGGATTGATGTCTTCGCTGGAGCATCTTGACCTTTCTTGCAATCGAATCTCTTCTATCAAGGAGGGAGGCATCGAGCAATTGAGAAAGTTGAGATTGTTCAAGGTGTCGAGGAATGATGTTTGTGATCCGATGGAACTCCTTCCTCTCGCTCATCTCACTGCCTTGAATTGGCTTGAAGTTTCTCCTCAGAATGAAAGAAGCTTCTTCGTAGACAGCAAGATATACAGGCTGGCAGTTGTATTGCTCACAATAGATTCCAAGGGCTCAGAAACCAAACCTGGGCTAAACTTTCTTGACACTGACACAGCACAACACCATCGTGAAACCTCTGGGGACTGGATAGAAGTTACAACGCAAGAGAGACTAGACGCCATTGAGATCTTGTTGACAGACCGATTGCAAGAGGATCTGACAAGCGACGTCTGGAGCAGTTTGTTTCGGTGTTTCATTGAGGTTCAATTGGAAATTCTCCAAAAAGAGGCCGATCCTCGAAGAAACCTTTCACAAATTCTTCAAAAAGAATTTTACCGTTGCAAGTTGATATCGCTGATTGGGCAAAGGTGAACGATAGCTTGATTGATTGTGATCAAATGTTTACAATCGCCTTGTCCAGATCTCTTTATTCGAACGACTTCGATCGAATAAGATGTGTGGTCCTCAGGAAGTGTGATTTGAAATATGCGAATGTTATGGGCATGAATTCTTTAGAAGTACTTGATTTGGCTGAAAACCATCTTGATCAGGTAAGCAGCCCCGCACGTGCATGTCACGGATGAATTCTGATGCGTCTCGGCAGGTGATAGGCCTGGAGCGCTGTCAATTTCTTCGTTTACTCGACATATCAAAAAATTTCGAATTTATTGATTTCGAAGCACTACAATTTCTTTATCAACAACTGAATTGCTTGCACAAATTGCGCTGCGCAAATGTTTTCAACTCCTACGAGGTCAACAAGTACTCATCGAACCAAACCAAAAATTTGAACATGTATGAAAATTGTTGAATTGGTTGGGCCATGTCATGATGAATTTTTCAGGAAGATGATAAAAGCAATTTTGATGATGCTCATCAAGCAGAATCCAATAGAGACGTTGAATGGCAAAGAACTGTCAATCCGAGATAGAGTCAGTGTGTATTACAACGAAGCAGGCTCGGAAGATTATCAGGTACGATGGCTTCGGCTTCATTTTACAGATAATCGGTTTTTCCGTGCAGATGTATTTGACTGAGCTGGTCTTGGCAACGAGTGTAAAAAATCAATGTCAATGCTGTAAGAGAAGCCTGCTGCGTTTGATGAGATGAATGATGAATCGTTTCTCAAGGCCGAGATCTGCGGGAGCATCCGAGGCTATCATACTTGCCCATGGCAAAACGTGCTTGTGCAATGGAAGGTTGCGTTTTACCATCCGATGTGAAAGTCGGTTTGCGGTATGATCCAGCCCGGGTGGAAGAGTTGAGCGACACGCATAGCTGGGGGCTCGTTTCAGACACTCTGAAACTCGTTCTTCCAAAGTTCACTGGTTCAGAAATAGTGAATTTACAGCGTGAGAACTGATTGGCTGTCAAGGTCTTAGGCGACTGAACCTTTCAAGAAATCGACTTGTAACACTGCAAGGCCTGGGGCTCGAATTCATGCAACAACTTGTCGTCCTTGACGTGAGTCGCTTCTTTTGAATGGAGGAAGTTTGAGGGGTATCGTTCAGGTCTCGAAGAATTCCATAAAGGATGAGCTTGAGGCTGTAGCTGACGTCATTGACTGCTTGCCTTCTCTGGTTGCCGTTGCACTCAGAAGCAACCCATGCTTCCGGATTCCATCTGATCGCCGTCGTTTGATGGGATTGTTGAAATGCTTTCACGACGTTCGCTGCAAAATCAGATTCATTGACAAGCTAGTGACCCTCGATGAGGTTTGCTGAAGGAGTTTGTTTTTCAAATGCTTATTTGTCTTCAGCGGATAGATGCAGGTTCTCAGTCTGGTAACACAAACCTCGACGGTGCTGCACGACTGGACGCAGCTGTTGCTCTCTGCTGTAATTCCACGGAGCAATCCATGGTCTCAGAGCTGCAGCTTATTGATTGCAAGCTGCGACAAATTCCGCGTAGTTTCTTCTCCAAATTTTTTAACCTGAAAGTTCTGAACCTACAGGTGAGGAACAGAATCCTTCGATGATTGGACTGACATTGTAACAGTCCAATTGTATCTCTACCATTCACGAGAGTGGTATCGAAAGTCTCGTGAGGCTCGAGCTGTTCGACATGAGAAACAATCGAATGAATGAGGTTTCCGAGATATACCAAGTTGTTCTGAGTCAGGAGCTTCTGCATGAAGTTGGGCTGAGAGGGAATCCATTTGGTCGCAGGTGAAATTTCCGAAAAAATTGGTAAAATTGGTTTCCTTACACCTCACCCTTGCTATAGTGTGATGCACGGTGAAGAATCTTTGCGGCAAGAAGTCATCGAATACTTGGCTCCAAGAAAATTGTCAAAACGAGGAAACAAGTTGAGGTTTCTAGATGATGTTGAGATCTCCATCGAAGAGCTCATAAGAGGTCTGTTTCAACTTTTCTCCCTCATCTTGGACCTGATGGTTCCCTGCTTTTCTTCAGGCACAAGTTCTGCGAAGCAGCAAGCAGAAATGATCCGATTCTTTGTGTCATTGGAGAGAGCTGTGCAAGATCTCCGGGATTTGAAACTTATACAGTCTGACAGTATCTCTCACGTAAGCGAGCTGGATATGTCCTGGAGGAATCTTTCTTTCGTGGACTTTTCGGAGATGACCTCTTTGACTGCGTTGAACTTGTCGCACAACCGATTGACTTCGCAAGGGCTCGAGAATGGACGTATCACTCGTCTCACTCGTCTTTCGCACTTGAACTTGAATCACAATGAAATTGCAGACATGAAGATCATGGGAAGCATCATCTCCATTGGCCAAAGCAACATGTCATTGCGATCGGTCTCTGTCAGTTTTAATCCGGTGTTTCCCTCTGCCAATGACGAGCTGGATCGCATTTCCTTCCTCAGGAACGAGCATGTATTAAGTTTCATATCACGCAGGCATGCGAGCCTGCAAAGTTTGAACTCAGCGGCGATCACTGTAGACGAGAAGTGCTTGGCATTGGGACAATCGTTGCTGGATGAAGATGCTTCCACGGTGCGAGAGTTGAGATTGGTTCTGCTCCTGGAAGAATACGGAGCCTCTGCAGTCACGCGAGCAGTGCATCTTCCGTATAGACAGATTGCAAGTCTACATTCTCTTGCATTCTACAAGAAGGTAGAGGAGTTGAACCTACAAGGCAACAGAATAGTTTCACTTGAACCTCTTTGCGCCCTTCCTCTCCTTATCCGCTTGGACGTCAGCAACAACTCGGTGCCGCGGGTGTCAGAAGCTGTCGGATCTCTAATGAAATGCGACGCGTTGAGGCATCTCAAGTTAGAGAAAGTCAGTCTTGACTGGTCAAGCTGGGCAAGGGAGCTGCCAGCCGACCTGCCCTTCCAGCTGCACATGTTCAAGTGCCTCCCAGCTCTCCTCGATTGTGATTCTATGCTCAACTTTGCGCCTTTGCAAGACTTCCAGTGGAAGTCGATCCTTAATCTTCGAAACCACTTCGCAATAGGTCCGAATCGCATCTTACGCATTGACCTTAGAGGCAAGGGGATCGATCAAGCAAGGTTTTACATGCTGAGAGATTGGCTGGCGTTTCTCCCTGTGGAAGAGCTCTACATTCAGGACAACCCTTTCTGTCGCACGCTGCAATCCTATCGCTACATTCTCATCAACGACATCAGGACTCTGCGAACGCTTGACGGATGTGAAATAACGGAAGAAGAACGGGTGAATGCCTACAAGAAGGTGGAGGAGATGATGCATGACCTCATCTACATGCCCCCGACCATCGACAGTTTGAAGCTGAACAATGCTGGACGCATGATGCAGGCGGCTATGCCCAAGAGTTCAGGGGCTGGAGCGTCGTCCCTGTGGGGCTCGCAGTTTGAAACTTTCTTCTCGTTCCTGCAGGTTCAAGGTTTCCTTCGCTCTCTCTCTGGAGTTCCGTGGGACTCAATCCCTCTGCTGGGCTCCACCCTCGACCTCCTGAAGCCCTTGGCCTCCATCCGCATCGAGTATGTCTTCCCTAGCGTGCAGTGCATCTGCTTTTGGGGCTACTTGCAGAGCGTGCTCTTTGTCGTCCTCCCCCTCATCTTCTGGGGCCTCTATAGGGTTCGATTGGACTGGACAGTCTGGGAGTATCAGATATTGAACAACGTCAGGGGGAAACTGCGAGTGAAACTCTTTCAATCCATGGCAGCTTTCCTGATCTTGGTCGTCATTTCCATAGCCATCGATTGCATCAACTGCATGGACAACTCGCAGTACGAGTCTCTTCCTCAGTGCTCGCGCTTCATGGGCTCAGGGCACTGCGTGGCTTGGGAGATGCTCAAGGGAGGCAAGGGTCTGCCGTCCTGGACCTGGGGATGGGTCTTCTTCTTTCTCTCAGTGATCGGCTTCGTTGACCTCGTCTGGCTGCTCGTCGTGCTGATCGCTCGCTACAAAAACAGGAAGAAGCACAACACGGGGTTCTGGCTGGATCTCACCAACGCGATCAAGAAGATCGGCATGCTCCTGCTCGTCCTCACCTACCTCCCTGTGTGCAACCTTCTCCTAGACAACGTGAGACCAGTTCTCCACCAGGGCGCAGACGGCGAAGCAGTCAAATGGTACTTCCCAGCTGGGGGATGCACGATGACGTCAGGAGTCGCCAACCGCCTGTGCAAGCCCTACCCCTCAGCGACCGACGGGCTCAGATCGCAGTACGTTGTCTTCTGGATCAGTGCGGCCTTCGCAGCCATGTACATCATCGGCATGCCGCTGTATTTGGGGTATCACATCAAGAACGCTGTTGACGTGGTAGATAGAAACAATCCTCGTCATATCAAGTTGCTCAACGATGTCAAGAGGCTGAACGAGCAGTTGGTAAAGAGGCGATCGAACGGCGAGAGAAACTTTGAGAAGAAGATTCGTCTGCAGCAAAAGCGATTGTTGCAGCAAGCACATTCTTTATATCAGCAGGCCGTTTGTGACTTCGATGACGCAAGGACGACTCTCTACTGCAGGTCAGCTTGACTGCGAAGTCTCTCCTCTTTCTCTAAGGATGAATTTCAGCTACAAGTGGCGATGGAAGTACTATAAGCTGATTACGCTGCTTGAGAAGGTGAGAGTCCTTTCTTGTTTTCTGAGCTCCTGACGAGACGGTACAGGTCCTTCTCCTACTTTACACTCTCTTCCTGTCTCAAGCTACCATCTTCCTCTTCTACGGTCACGACCCTACGACGTACCAAAGCGTCACCGAGATGCAGCTGCAGAAATGTCTCATCGCTGTCAGTGCAGGGATTTTCTTCGTCCTCAGCATTGTGATCCGACCTTACATGGACTGGCAAGATACGGTCAATGACGTGGCATGTAGAGTTTGCAACCTGTGCAATGCGCTTGTCATCTACCTGGCGTCAGACCCCAAGGACAACGGGTCGATCTTCTTCCCGCATGTGACCAACATGACCTGCGCCAGCTCCTCCTCCTCTAGCTTCGGCCTCGCCATCGCCGGCGTCAGCCAAGTCAACCTCACGGGCTCGAGCTCGTCGACCTCGGGGAACAACACATACTGCAGCTTTCTCTTCTACGCCGGGTACTTGCTGGGAGCGCTCAACATCGCCTGTCTGGTTGTGATCGTGTGCGGGCTGCTGGCAAGTCCCTTCCGGTGGTTCTACTTCAATCGCAGAGCTCAGAAGATGAAGGAGAAAGAGCTGAACAGTCACAAGAAGAAGAAGCTGCGAGCCAGTGCCCTCCTGGGCAGAACTTCAGATATTCAAGCTGATGGACTTCTAAAGCGATCAAATGCATTGAGACGATTCAGCTCTCTCCCAGCAGACTGACCCGGGCTCAGACCAGCGGCAACCTAACATGTACAAAGAAATGTCAAGTAAAATCTCATGACCATCCGTGAAGACCAATGGCCCGGGGCGTTGATACGGCGGCGAGAGCCTTCGGAGCTGAGAGTGTCACACTGACCGAGTGCTGCCATACCCGGAATTAAACTCGGTCTTTGATAAGCAAAAACTGTCTTGTTGCAGCTGAGGTCAACTGATGTGGTACAAGTCTAACAAACTCGTACCGTACCGTCCGTCAAGTACGGTCCGACGGTCTACTGAACGTCTGAGGGCCAGCGCAGTCAGTCCGGTATTCATTTTTTAATCAATATGTCTTAGTCATTGCCGGATAATATCCGGCTTGTGCACGTGGTAGTAGAGGCCATGGTGGGAGGGGCGTGAAGCAACGGCAAGGGACGAGGGAAGAGCGAAAGCAAGGAGACAAACAAAGAAGCATTCGAGGAAGAAATCAAATATCCTTACGTGAATAGCACAAAGCTTCTCTTTGGATTCAAGAAATTCGGGCAAGATGGTGTACATCAACAATTGGGACGATTTCATGCAGGCAGCGCAAGAGCTCTTGATCAAGTCTCCCGACAAGGTGTTTTCTTGAACATGACTGACATGCAGATTGCATTGATCATTGACGGCTAACACTTCGTGCAGACGAGATATCTTATTAAGTATAGGCATGTTGATGCACAACTGGTATTGAAGGTCACTGACGATGTGGTGGTGAGCAATTTGAATAGCTCGGTTTGTTGGCTTACGATGTGGCAGTGCATAAAGTACAAGACAGATCAGTCACTTGATGTCAAGAAGATGGAAAGATTGAATAATCTGTTTCTACGGTTGATGCCAAGCCAAAAGGTCTTGGGCGTGGCTTTGCCTGTTCGGTCGCGTCTGAAGCTCTCTGACAGATTGATGCTGAGGCGTCTTCGTCCATTCTAGCAGACATTGAATCAGGTCTGTAATTTGCACCTGTATGCTGTTCTAGATGTGAAGCTGACGAGATGAGCAGAAGCAGCGCAGCAGCAGGCACAGGCACAGACGCAGCATCATGTCCCTACCGAAGGAGCTGAAGGAAAGAAGAAGAAGAAGAAGGGAAAGTAAAGCTGTAGAATGATTGAAAACGATAATTCTTGCGTGATTGGGGCTCTGTCGATAATTCTTGCGTGCTTTCTTGGGGCTCTGTGAGGATGTTTGGCAGCGTATGGTACTTCATTTTCATCATCGCTGATGACATGTCAATTGGAATTCACGATCAGCTTGGAAATATCCATGAATTAGATGTTATGGTATATGCTTTGCCATGATAGAAAATATGCAAATTTAGCGATTTGTAAGAATATTTCGCAAGGCTTTGTTTAGTTTAGGCAATTGAGCTAGTTCTATTTAAGTTTAGACCACAGTCCACGAGTACCAAGCGCAAAGAACAAGCGACAGGATCAGTGCACACGTGTATGGCAGTCGACAATGGTCTGTGCGCACTAATCTTCTTGGTTGAAAGGTTCCTGTGATTGTCTCATGTGGATGCAATATCATCCAGAACAGTATCTGCTTGCATTAGCTACAGCTGCAACAGCTCAAGTGGTTTACCAACATCGACTTAACATACCAGGCAATCTATCAGTTGCTAACTTCATTCAAATCAAATTGAATTCGTATTCTGCGTAAAGCACAAGCACTTGAAGCATTACGATGAAACTAGGGGCTTATGATCTCTGTCTTGCGACAGGTAAATGGCAAGATTCAAATACAAATCATTCAGAGCCGGGCAGCTTGATCGCTTAGGCCTGATGCTTAACATAGAAGAAATCTGCTCCACCCTTGGTTGACCTGTGGATGTTCACAGAGTCAGACTGGTAGCATTCGGTACGTCACCCTCACTTGGAGTTGAGAATCTTGTCAGCAAGAGGGAAATCAGTGCCAAAAAGCTGCTGCGTGACCTGAGAGAAACAGTCAACAAATAGTGTCAGGATTGATCGAAAGTGAACAAGTAAGATATATCAACGAATCAACAAGTGACAAGATGCGATGAATGCATCAATGAACAATCATCTATTCGATGTAACAATCAGGATCCAAACGGGCGTGCATGTACAAGACCATCTTTTAAGCCAATAGAAGACTAGTTTTCGGTTTGCGACAACATCAAGAAGTGCACAGGCATCGATCAGCCCGCGACCAGCACGTCAGAACTTGTTTCGACGGTTCTCATTCTGGAAAATGTGCAGGAGGTCCTCGTGGAGATTAACGAGCACAAGGAGTGGTTGAGATAGAAACATCATCATCATTGTCATCATCGTCTCTACGGACCCTTCATGCCCACGAGCAAGCGCATCAAGGCGGTACCTGGCTCTGCTGGGTGGCGAGAAGCTCGAACATGGCGACCGGGTTTTTTGTTCTATTTCGGGAGTCAGCGAGGGGATGAGGCCCACAAGCATCTTTGCCTTCCATCGCTCCCTTGTAGCGATCGCGTTCACCTGAGCACGGCGACGAGGTCAGCAGCTGCTGACCTCGGAAGGGCGATGCGAAGCAGAAGAACGGGAGGGGAGGGGAGGGGAGGGGAGGGGAGGGGAGGGGAGGACAGCACAGTACAGATGAGTGCAGTTCGAGGCTCTTGTAGGCAGGAGGGAGGGGAGGGGAGGAGGATTACCGTCAGAGTGCTGGTAGGTGGAGGGAGATGGAAAGGTCGAACGGCAGCTCGGGGGGAGGAGAGTTGGACTCCAGGACCCAGGTAAGGGCAATTGTAAAGATCATCGCCCTCAGAAGTTGATGTATAAATGTTGTGGTGCTCTCCGAGATGTTCTGGTTTTCTCCCACCACTGCATCCTCTGGTTCTGCTCTCCTCTTGATGACCAGCGTCGTCCTGCTGTTTTCATTGTCGTCCTTGCCGTCTATTCCAACCCAAGCCCAAGCCCCTCGCTATTCTGTTGTGATCGTACATGAATGAATCATGCTCTCACAACGCTCAAATTGTTTTTTTTAACAAGTCGTGTCATTTCCTTCAACTCAATAACATTTGGCAGGGGCTTAGTTGAGTCTAAGTATATGCATTCGTATTTTTGAGTTTGAATAGACGATCTCTTCGTGGTATGCTTCCATTTTGCATACAAATATTATCGTATGGCACACTCTCAGTATGATTCGTAGTTGGTGAAAACCATCGAATGCTCTCATGTACACAACCGTCCTACCTTTGCAAGGAGAAGACTGTTTGCCACAGAAGAAGTCATGCCATGTAGCGGTTGCCTTCACATCCAAATCGTGTGTTGTTGCTTTCCTTGCATTACACCTTCGCCTAACTCAGTGTTTTCAGCAATTTTGCTGTGCCTTTTGCAACTGTGATCTATGAACGAAGACACCGGGAAGGCTTCTGCAAGAGTCTTCCTGGGGTTGCTATCCAGCATTACATGCTATTCAATATGCAATCGATGGACAAAGCACAGTTTGAGAGGTATATTCCAAAACTCTAAGGTAGCAACTCGTAGAAACGTCAACCAGCTTAGGTCCAGTTGAGGCGCATAGCATCGTTGGGCTTCTCCTTGTTGTCACCCGAGGACTTGTGCCAAATTCCCAGCTTTGAAAGACGAACGCTCTTCTTGGTAATCAACTTGCAGCCAACACCGTCAGGCTGAATCTTTCCGACGGCACCTCTCCACTCAATCTGCGAGCAAGTTAGACAAACGAGACAAGACACAATGAGATACTCACCCTAGGAGGAGTGGGGTTGCCCTCCTCATCGAAGCCTCCAGTACTTCCCTGCATGTAGACATCCTTGGGGAACTTGGTGAAGCCCCAGTTGCGAGAAACGTACACGAGCTGACGACCAGGGAACTTGAACTTGGCCTTGCGGAGAGCCTCAACAGCGGCGTCCTCTCCCTTGAGATGGGTACGGATGGAGATCATGATCTGGTTGATCTTGACACGAGCGCAAAGGCCCGAGGGCTTTCCGTAAGCACCACGCATACCAGTCTGCAGACGATCTGCTCCTGCACAGGTAAGCATCTTGTTGATACGGATGATGTTGTAGGGATGAAGACGGATGCGGATGTGGAAGTTATCCTTTCCGACGGAGTTGATCATGTGCTTGTTGGCACTGACACGAGCTGCCTCGAGGGACTCGGAAGAGATCTGCTCCTTCTCAAGGGAGAGCAAGTGCACACAGGCAGGGAACTGGTGAACACCAACTCTCTTTTTGCCGACATCAAAAATCTTGATCTTAGCCTCTGTTATGCATCATCAGAAGGGTTGAGAGCAATCAAGCGAGAGGCCAACCTGGCACACCACGGCAGTAGCGTGACTTGATGTAGGGCTTGTTCTTGATGTAACGAGAACACTTCCAGGGTCCTGGAATGTAGATGAGCACTCATCACAAGAGAGATCTCCACATCAGAATCATCATGACAGCGAACGAAACATGTAGTCCCACATCCAACCCTCAACCACATGGTCTGGAGGACGGCCGACATGAGGACGCCCAAGTGACAGGGGGCAGTCTTTCATGTAGCGTCCTGAGAAAGCCCAGGCACCACAACGGCATCTAAGCAAAGTGAAGACGCATAGGGCAAGATGCGCAATTGCACGCTTTACAAGAACAAGGGACGTATGTTGCCGCCGTCGACAGTAAGAGTTGAGCGAGCACGAACAAAGAGACATGCACACCATTACACAAGGAAACAGGAATGATGGACATGCAGGCATCGGTAAGAATGAGATTTTGTATCATCCCCAAGACAGGCATCAACAGCATTGTCATGATATTCCTTCGCATCCTGCACCTCCGCCTCTGCATCTTCTTACTTCTGCCCATGGCGCTTGTCTGTCTCACGCGCACGAGGAGTTTTTTTTAACCACCCCACCGCAAGGTGTCTGTACCCTACCACCTAATCATTGTTTTAGTACCCCCCACCCTTGTCATACCTGTCCTGAGCTAGACAAACTACCCCCTTATTTTATTACCCCTACCCCTGTTTATCACTACCCGTCCAAACACTGCGACGATATACCCCTACCCTCGAAAATATGTTGAGACCACCCCCTGTCCAAAATATTGAATGACTACCCCTCTATTTGCTAACAAGAATTCTACTGGTGGGGTGATCCAGTACCCCTACCCCTTGATCCTAGGCAGAGTACCCAGACAATTTCTCCTGAATCGCTTCCACCCCTTTGTTTCAGGGGTTTGGGACCCCTCGACACGCTGGGGCTCATACCGGCCACAAACCTTGCCAATGCAGTTGCCAATGGCGGCACAAGTACAGGGAGTGGCATGGCAGAGAGGAGGATGAGAAGGACAGAAAGTATGACAACGACGACGCGAACTCTCCGTTTCTCAAAAAAGATCCTCTCTGTGATTGATTTATCTGTCTGTCTGTCTGTCTCTCTTTCTCTCTGCATGGTAGAAAACGAATTCCAATTCCGATTCTCCGACACGTCGCCACTTTGTTGCACTTTGTTATCTTAAATCCCGAAGTGCCGCTCGCTGTGTCATAGACAAGCATGCGACTCCATAAGTTCCTGGTCATCTACGGTGTTGTCATCACTGTGCGGTTCGCTATGATCTACACCCATGGTTACCTACACCCGGACGAATTCTTTCAAGCCCAAGAAGTATTTGCAGTACGTGACCGAACCCTCGGTAATGCCTTGGCAGACATGCTGCTCATTCTCACCCAGACCTTGCAGATGTACAACTACCATGGGAGTTCAAGAATGACCGCCCTTGTCGCTCTTTCTTCATGCCCGAAGTGGCAGCGGGTTGTTTCGGCAAGGAAACATTTCATTGTTGACTGTATCTCTCAGGCCTGCCCATACGGCTTGCCGCAGCATTTCAAACTATGCTGGGATTCCGAATTAGCGCAGAGACAATTCTGGTCTTATTGCAAATCGTGAACACCTTTTGCTGAGATTGCTTGCATTTGTTTTAGCATGCACCGAGATACTTGGCGTTTGCTAATTCTTTTCTGTTGGACTATGCCGCTTGTGCGCTAACTTTTTGCTTGTATCAAGAGTAATGTGTTTTACAGATCATCTGTCTGAAAGATGCGGAGAGCACTGGCAAGCTGTCTTGCTCTGTCTTGCCACTTCCTGGCCGGTTTTGTTTCTATGCACACGACCTTTTTCAAACACGTGAGATTTTTTTCGGTTCAAGTTCGTTCTTCATGATTCGTTCCAGTTACGAAACAGAGATTCTCTGGCTAGTTACCCTTCTCATCACATCGTCGAGTAGGAACAGGTTGTTTGACTACGATGCAAATACAAGACATGATCCAGCAAACCCACAGGATCACAGCGATGTTTACTGGAGGTCTAACAGCTGTAGGTATTTCAAATTTGGTCCTTGTCTTTTGTGTTGGATTTTCAACATCTTCTTTCAGGTGTATTTATCAGATTTACTTTCATTCTTTACGCCTGGCCGCTATTTCTATACATCTTTCTTGACCAACAGTAAGCTGTCGAAATATTCCTTTACGTGACTCATCATTCTTTTCAAAATAGTGACAGGAAAAGAGCCCACATTGCCAGCCTGGTCATCAGAAAGTCTTGCTGAACTTGTAGTCTCAAAGTTCAATGCAGATACTGGGTTTCTTGTTCTCTTCGATCACATTGATCTTCCTGGATTCTCTGTATTTTGGAAAGATTACCCTGCACTGGGATCAAATGCAGCAGTTCTTCATCTCTGGCCACATTTCTGATATCCCTTCTCTGGCATCAAAACATCTTGTCATAAGCCCAATCAATTCTTTTCTGTACTTCAATTGATTTGACTCTCTCATTGAAAATCTGAAACCTTTCATAGATACAATCTAAACTCAAAGAATCTGGAAACTCATGGTCTCCACCCACGAATTACACACATTGTCGTCAACGCAGTGCTGGTATTGACTCCATCCTCATGACATTCCAACGCTTGACATTCATTTCAACTGACTTTATCAACCAGATGTTCGGGCCGCTGTACATTCTTTCTGCCACAACTCTTCTAAAGTCAGTGTACCATTTTTTCAAGTTTCAACAATTTCATCGCACTTCTTACAAGTTAGAAATTCACTACAAGGTTAGTTTAGAGCAAGACTTGCTATTTTTCCGAATGACTTGCGATCTGAAGATTCGAATTTGTTTGACTGCCATGGCAAGTTCTGGAATTTGCCTCCTGTCCCTCGCTCCGCATCAGGTCAAATGAAGATTATTGCTTCGATAGCTGATTTGAACCAGGAGCCGAGATTCCTGTTACCAATGATAGTACCATTGTGTGTCCTGTGTGGGAATAAAATCTTCGGAGCTGAAGGGATGAGGAGTCACAGAATTATCATGTGGATGATTTTCAATGCACTTTTGATTGTTTTCTTTGGGTTTCTGCACCAGGCTGGCATCACTAAGGTATGGCTCAGGATTCAGCCGATAGATTGAGTGACGCATGGCGACAGGTACTGTCATGGTTGGAGGAGGATACTAGCGCCATTTGCGCGAAGCGTGAGGGCAGGAGGAGCATGATAACGAGACACGTGATTTGGTCGCACACGTACATGCCTCCGGTGAGCTCATTGCTCTCCATGCCTTCTGCGTTAGGTATGCATGATGATTCGAGAGGAGTGTGAGGAGGAGTCATCTTGAGCTTTGCAGGAGTTCTTGATGTGAAGTGGAGCTCGCTCGATCTTGCAGGGGGGATTTGAAGCGTATTCAGCATGCGGTGAACACCATCAAGGTTAGAATTGACAGGAGTCGAGGTGTCTCAGGAGTCGAGCTTCTGACTTTCTGATGGACAGCAGGGAGAAGTCTTTGTGATTCTTCCAGGGAGTATAGACCATAACAACGATCTAGTGAATGGTAATGGGAATATTGACCATTGGATTGATACATAGAATATCGTTGAGATCGCAATCATCTGATTCTTCGTGGCAGGTTCAAAATGTATCTTGTATAAATCGATCTTTCCGCATTTGTCCACAGAAGATGCGCCATCGATGGGAGCATCAAAATCCTTACAAGATCAACTTACTTTAGACATATATGATTGTACAAAAAGATGACTTTCACTTTGCATAAAACAATTGATTCTACACAAATCTACATATGTTACAACTCACTGCTCCTCGTGAGACGTTTAGCTCAAATCGTTTGCAGCAGCTTGTCCCCGTTGATCTGGGAAGTTGTGAAGATTGAGCTGTTGCGTCTGACGATAGAGGTGTACGAGCTCCTATCGTTGAGGAGTGTCGACTCCGACCTCATCCGAGGTGCGAACGGCCTGATGGTTCGAGTCACGCACGAGCAGCGAGATGGGAGGAAGAAGAAGAGAGCTGACTTACGACTTCATGTGCATCTCCGGTAACGAGAGCTTCCTGTCAAGTCGCTTCCAGCTCCCAGTGTTGAATGAGCGATGTTGCAGGCTGTCTCGCAAGTAGTCGTGGACAGGCTGCATGGTCGCGTCTTGCTCTTTGAAACGAGTCTCGCAGAAGAGCAGGCTTCTTCTTCGGAAGGACTCGTGCGCATGCTCAACATGCATCTCCATCGTCGCCGCCATCGTGTCGAGGATTTGATCGTGGATTGACGACTGCTTCACAACCTTGAGCTTCAACTGCAAAAGCTAGTCAGTCGTGTCCTTGTCGAGCATGCGGCTGGAATGCCTTCTTCTCGATGTCCTTCAGCTGCCTGTCGTTCTCCTTGACTCTCTTTCTTTCCACAATCTTGGACATTGCCAATGCCCTCTCTTGTCTTTTGCTCCACTCTGCCATCCGTTGCTGTTCCTCTAGCGATCGCCCTATCAAACTTGTGGGAGTGAGGGGCGGGGGTTGGAAGGCATCACACCGTCAACAAGGCTTACTCGATCAAGCTAGCATCTGACGACGACGAATGCCGCATAGCGCTGGCTCGCATGTCAGAACCTCCTTCTGCCTGGCAGGACACCTCACCTTTGATCTTGTGAAACAGAAGGCGACAGGAGCTCCTTATGCAGAAAGCGCAAGGCTGTCTGCCATGAGCTCTTCCTCGCTCCTCCCTGCTCCTCGTAGTGTCTCGCCAGCTCCTCTGCTCGCCCACGAAGTCTCGACGCCGCCGCATCAAGCTCGGCCGCCCTCGAGCTCGCCGCCATTTGACCGCTCATTGACATTCTTTTTTTTCCTGGTAGTAGTAGCAGTTGTAAAAAAATAGTGCGCCTTGATTCACGATTAAGGCGCTGCATGCTGGAACGTACTTGAGCTTGAGGTTGGGGAGGAGGAGGAGGAGGAGGAGGAGGAGGAGGAGGAGGAGGAGGAGGAGGAGGAGGAGGAGGAGGAGGAGGAGTCGCTTCAAATATCGCACGCGCACTTTACTAAGAGATTAGCTTAGAGCAGGTGAACTTGCGACGGCCTGTCCTCGTCATACCAGCAGTGGCTGTTGCCGTCGAACAAGCATGACTCGCATCGCAGCTCCTTGCCCAGCCCATCGCCGGAGGTGAAGACGTACCTGCAGCAGCGGATCTTGCCCCTATCATCGCAGCATGAGCGTAAGAGGAGCAGCTCTAGTCGTTACTTACCCATAGATCGAGACCCGCCCCTCATCACGAAGGAAGATGCCAGATTCAGAGCAGTAGGAGACTTCACACCCCCACAGCTCCGCACTCCCTCTGTCTCGGAGGAAGACGCCATAGCCTGCGCTCAAACAAACTCTCTTCAGCAAGGGTCCAGCTGACCGATCGTCTCACATGAGTTCTTTCTAAGCCCGTACTCCTGCACCGACCCTGCCGTATCGATCCAGGTCCTCGGGAGTTCATAGAACTCAGGAACGGCTTTCCCAATCTCTCCTTCACCGCCCAATCGGCATCTCTTAGCTGCTACCTAGCGGGCATGGCGTGAGCTTCTAAGAACGAGCATGCACTGCCATAGCTTGCTCACCTCACCATCCCCTTCAACCCTCACAGCGCTTGCATGCCCACATATCAACGAGCAGTTATCCAGATACTGTTGTTTCACGGGCATCAATGCAAGACATCTCACGGAAAGAAGAGAGCACGTTACCAGCTTGCCTGAATCCACTCTCACACAGCTTTGTCCGGCATCGGTGATGGTGATGTTGCTCATAGAGCAACTCACTTGTTTCGGAATCACCAGCATCCCTTTCAAGACGGTTCCAGATTCACCACAGAGTGAGACATCGCGCATGAGCTGGAGGATAGTGTTCCCACTCTCCTGCTTGCCAGCAATGACGTACTGCCCAGGATTCGAGCCGACAATATACTCTCCTCTCCGCAGCACTATCACCTGGTTCGGGAGCGCTACTTCCACTGCTTCTTTCAGGGTTTCCACATGGTCAGGGACGATGATGGGGACGAAGCGCAGGATCTCCACGAGGATGTCGCCGCATCCGAGGAGCTGGATGCAGCTCTCCTCTCCCAGCCGCCCGTGCAGCCCGCAGGCCATGGCCAGTCTCGCATCCCTGGCGCTGATCGCCATGATGCCTTTAGGAAGGTGGAGGTGGACGGGGTGTTGGGTGGGAAAAAATGGGGTAGAGGTGGTGCCATTTTTACTTGTGGGGTAGGGGGGTCATATTTAGTACTGCAAATGGAGAATTGCTCGAGGGGTGGGAAAATAAAAAATCCAAAAAAGAAAGAAAAACAAAAAAAAAGAAAGGGGAAGAATCTGAAGTCGAGCATGCATTGCCAGGGCGCCAGGGACGAGGAGGAGAGAACGAGAGGAGGCAAGGAGGAGGAGGGGGGGGGTAAGGGAGGAGGAGGAGGAGGAGGAGGAGGAGGAGGAGGAGGAGGAGGAGGAGGAGGAGGAGGAGGAGGAGGAGGAGGAGGAGGAGGAAGGCGTTGCAAGGGAGTTCGACAAAAGCGTCGATATCCTCAGATTTGATCTTGGGATCCTTAGATGAGGACGGCATTCTACACGCTGCTCGGAGCTGTTTGTGGAGGGTTGCTGGTCCATTCGTATCACAGGTGAACTCACCTGCCAAGGTTTTTAGAGATGGGTGACATGTCGTGCAGGATGATGAGCAGAAAAAAGAAGCAGCGGTGCTGATATCATTTTCTACATGTCAGGCTCTGAAAGTTGAGACCAGGTTGATGTTTCGAACGAATGTGAAGAAAGACAAGCTGGAGCTCTACAAGAGGCATCACAAAGGTGACGAGTCGTGGCGATAGTGATGGCCGATGACCGAGACGATAAACTTTCTTGCTTGATTGCCATGATGAGGAGATTTTGTTGCGATAGTGATAACGATGATGAGAATGGGATCTGCTGCTTGTGTGTCGGTGCCATTCGTTCGACTCCATCATCGCTCAAATGTTCTCAGGTGTCTGGCCGGAGGTTGAGAGAGGACTGCGGAAAGCTGGAGTGAAGCTCTTGTCGGTAATGAAGACAGCGGAGGGGAGGGAGGGAGGGGAGGGAGGGGAGGGAGGGGAGGGAGGAGATGGAGGAGAGGAACGGAACAGCATCATACTGTTGGTGGTGGTGGTGGTGGTGGTGGTGTTGGTGGGTGTTACGACAACCATGTTGACGATGACGACTTTCACAGATTCATTGCCCATCCGACGGAGGCAATGCTCTTCAGATGTACATCGAGCTTGAACAAGGCGTTGACATGGCACGAGATCTTGGACCTGGATCAAGGTGGTTGACCTTCCCCTGCCTCACCTGCCTCGTCTTGCCTCGCATGTTTGAGCAGTACTGAACGCAGAGGTCGCAGTTACCGATCGGTGGAGCGAGTGAAGGTGTGGGAGGAGCTTATGTGTACTTTCTTCGAGGGCGGGACTTGGACGATGCTCGATGAGCTGTACACGTTGACGGGGGAGACGTCTACCAACAGCCTTCCCGCCATGTACACGTGAGACGCGGGTCCACGCTCCCTTCTCCTCTCAGCACCTCTCCTTGTTCCCTTGTACTCTCAACTCTTGCCCTTTAGCTCCTCCAGTTCCGACATGAGCTTCTGAATGATCTTGTCGCTTCTCGCGATGTTCGCCTCTTTCTTCTCCACCGTGTCCTTGAGCTTGTTGATCTTCAACGCAAGTCACCCGACAGCCGCAACATCACACCTCGACACACCTGCGCCTGCATCTCTTCGATTCCTGACTGTCCAGCCTGCAATGACCGGATGGTTTCTTCGGCCTCCTGCGGCGAATCATCGGGGCTGAGAGGATGCATGCTTCCGCTCTTGCTACCTCCACTCTCTTCTTGGATGCCTCCAGCTCCTGCGCTGTTCGCTCCCTCGCCCTATCCGTCATGTCCAGCTCCTGCCTTGCCGTCAACGCTGGCAGGGTCGAGGAGGAAGAAACACCTTCTGCAGCTTGTCCTTTGACTTCTTCATCTCCTCCAGTTGCAGCAAGTGATTTCTCTGTAGGCTCTTCCAGCAGACTATCATCCTCCCCTCTGATCCTCTCCCCCGCCCTTCACCTCGATCTCCATCCTCGCAGCGTTCGCCTGCTCGTTGGCCCCGTCAAGATCGGTGGCTTGTTTCCTCAGCCTGCGTCTCCCTCATCGGCAGCAGCAAAAAGCCGCAGCTGACCTGCGAAGCTCCTTCTCCTGCTCGTCGATGCGAACAGAGGAGGCTTGAAGTCGTTCTTTCATCTTGCTGGACTTCGAAAGAGTGAGGAGAAAGTGGGAGAAGGGGAGGCAGAGAGGAAGGAAGGGGGGGGGGCAGAAGGGGAGGTGAGGGAAGGAGGAGGTGAAAACCTCTTCATCCCAGAACTCCATTTGCTCCTGCATGTGCGCAATCTTTGATTCCATCTGAGGGTTGAAGTGAGAAGAGGGAGGTAAGGACAAGAAGATCGAAGAGGAAATGTGCAGGAGAGGAGAGGAGAGGAGGGTGGAATACCTGAGAATTTGAGAATTGTAACCCGCTTATCGTTGACTCGCTTTCTTTGAGTTTGACATCCTTGTTTTCAACTTCCTTCTGCTCGAACAAGATCAACAACAAAATCACCGCGCTCCCTTTCTTGTCCTCCTTCTCATTGATTTGATCATCATAGCATCGCAATCAACCCCCACTTCGAACAGACGATACACTTTTCACCGTGAGCTCGTGGATCTTCGCTTGCAAGTCTTTCACCTGGAAGGACATGAATGAGAGAACATCAGGTGCTGATCAACAACCTTCATCTCGCCCTCATCCAGTCTAAGTTTCATGTCACTTCCCTGCCTCTCCTCCCTCTCCTTCTCCTCTCTCAAGTCTGCCATCCTCTTCTTCAGCTCCCCCAGCTCTGCCTCAGCTGTCTTCCTCTTGGAGGTTTCATTCAGCATCTTGTCTCTCCACTGCTCCACCTCCTTGGAAAGAGCATCTACCTATGACATGAAAACATTCACACAGAGAGAATCATCATGACAACTCCTCAAAATGTTGCTCGAGAGAGGAGGAAAAAGGAGATCAGAGGAGAGGAGTTTCGAGAGCAGAGCGAGGAGAAAAAAAGAAAAGAGGATTATGGTTGCGAGATGAATTGATACTTTGCCACTCAAAACTTCCTTTTCTGATTTACACGCTGAAAGCTCTCCTTCAAGCTTGGTTACCTCGGACTTGGATTTGCCCGCCTGCGCACAAAGCTAAACTCAGGTGATACGATGAAAGAGGTTGAGAAAGAAGAGCAAAGGATGAGAAGAATGGGGAGAGAGAACGAGGAGGAGCAAGATGAGGAGGAGGACACAGACTTGTGATGTCGCTTTCTCAAGCATCACATGCAGCTCTGCAACCTGCAGAAACTCTCATTCAAGGTTGGATAATCCTTGTTCAGCAGCATTTGAAAATTGCCTTCATGGACATCAAAGGAACGATAATCATCACATCCTCGTAATCTCTTCCCATCCCATAGTTTCAAGTTTAAGATCAATCGACCATCAATCATGCAGATGACAGCAACAGCAGCATCAAACAACAGACAACAAGCGAACAACAAAGGCAATGTAAAAAAACAGCAAAACAAGAAACAACAGAAAACAGACGACATGCAACAACAAACAACTTGTTTCTTAAGAAGTTCTGACGTCTCTTGGGCTTTCTGCAAGTCTTGTGACAACCTGACAATCTCTCACTCGCAGACATTCATCCTACACCCCCACAACCTGCTCGAGGTTTTCTTGCTGCCCTCCAGCTCCCTCAGAGCTTCCCCCAAGTCCCTGCCGTTCCATCAGTCCCGCCACCGCAGTCGCCTCTGCTCTACTTCAGCTCCTTTTTCAACTGCTGCTCCTCCTTGCTTGCTTGCGTGACCTGATAAATGACAGCTCAGCAGGACTCCTCCTCCTCCTCCTCCTTCTCCTCCTCCTCCTCCCCCCAACACCCCTCACAGTCCCATCGCTGCCTCCTCCTCCTCTCTCGATCGCGCACCTGGGCCTGCAGTCTGGAGACATCCGATCGAAGCTCCTTCTCCACCTTCTCCTGCTCCATCCTACCATCGACGTCACACGAGCGGCCACGCGGGAGGAGAGGAGAGTTCACTTGCTGCGTGAGAGCAGTTTGTTCGCATCCTTCTGCTCGGCCACCTCCTTCTCATACGCTGCGATCTTGCTCTCGAGCCTGCAGCATCTCAGCAACAGCACGGAGCCCTCCCCTCCCTTCCTCACGTTTTGGCCCGCGCCTGAGACTCGCTCAGCAGAGTCTTGGCCTCCTGCAGGCTCTTCCTCCCTGCCTCGACCTGCCCAAGTGCAGACGCGCTCAAAGAAGGAAGCGGAAGGCAGACGAGCTTCACCTCTTGCATGAGAGACCTCTTGACTGATTCAAGGTTCTGCAAGCTCCCGGATTGCTCGACGGTCTGTTGCCGCATCTTCTCAATCTTGGCTTCGGCCTCCACGTAAGATTGGTTGAGCGAATCGAAGGCTTCCTTCAGCTGCGGGTATTTCTCCGCCTTCCTCTTCGTCTCATCATCCACTGCTCGACTCTCTGCCTCCGCTAACGTCTTCTGCAGTCGTTGCAGTTGCTCTTTGTCTTGTTGACAGAGAGTGGAGAGTTGCTCGAAGTTCCTTTGTATCGCCTTGATTGTGATATCGCGGTTCTCAATCTCTTTCTTCTGCTCAGCGATTTTCGATTCAAGACTCGCCACCCTTTTCTGATCGTCTTGGGATAGAAGTTGTGCTTTTGCTGAGATGGAAGAGGAGCGAGTCAAGCCTTCCATCGTTCCCTTACCTGCTCCTCCCCCACCCATTATGGCTTCATCAATTCTGCAGCACCAAATTCGAAGTTAGAGGTTCAAAAGTAAAAATTAATCATGTGAGGACACGAGCTGCAACAATAAGGCAGCATAACATCGAAGTTTAGTAGTGAATCTTCCACCCCTGTATAGATATAATCCCACAGTTCTTCACTTTCCTTGAAAATGCTCCTCACTTTAGTTGCTTCATCCCCTCCTCTCTTCCCTCTCTTTCTGCCCACACTGACTCTCGTCCATACTGCAGCATATCTACTTGTTGGAACTCAACCATCCTGGCCAGGCTGCTCCTGATCCCGCGGCTATCCTCCCCAGCTCAGCCGCCACCCTGTCCGTGAATTTTCGCACTTCCGTTGCCCCGACATCTTAAAACGTTTTTCAAAGAAATATGGAAAAATTTATAATTACGGCAATACAATAATATATTGATATTTTTAATTTGTTGAGAATAACAATATTATTATTTGAAGGTACAAGTTGGTGGTATGATGTATTTTACAACATTTTAATTTTGATTCTCCCCTCTCATGCTACAGGGCAGTCTCCTGGTGGACCCCATGAGATAGCGGCGACAGGTCGAGTTGCCTCCTCCTCCTCCTCCTCCTCCTCCTCCTCCTCCTCATCCTCATCCTCCTCCTCCTCTTGCCTCTCCCACCCAAACTCTTCTAACTCTCCTCTCTCCCATCCTCCACGATCTTCACCTCGTTTCCTCCTTATTCTTTGCTCTCGTTTCTTCTGCTTTGGAGATTTTCAAGGACTTGCTGTAAGGAGATGATCTGCCACTTGACTGTAAATTTTTATCGCTCAAGCTGATCTCCTCGTTGCTCGAGGTTGTTTGGAGCCTCTTGACTTGCTGGAGTCACTCACTCAAATATTCAAACTGTCCTCCTTCACCTTCAGCAGGACTATTTCAAAGAGGATGTTCCGTCACGCCAACGATGCCGGTGACATTGAGTTGCTGAACAAGTCGCATCGGCGATCATCAGGGAGGAGGGACGTGTACGAAAGCTCCGATGACGACGAGAGCACCCCTCTCAGGTCAGGGGAGCACCTCGGGAAGGCCGGTCGGCGAGCCTTTTATCAGCTCCTGAATCCAAGGACATGGCTGAGGATGTTCGCATCAAGGAAGGAGGATCACCATCAGCCGAGGATCATCCCTATGAACGGGTGCAACCTCTACTCACAGAACGGCAAGCTGAAAGAGAACGTTCTGCATGAGGAAGGGTTTGTGGCTGGTTTCGCCGTTCCCAATGTGGTGAGGAATCAGAAGTACAGAGCAGCGACGTTCGTCTTTGAGGTCTTGTACGAGCAGTTCAGGTTCTTCTTCAACCTCTACTTCCTCCTCGTTGCGCTGTCGCAGTTCATCCCCGAGCTCCAAGTTGGGTTCCTGTTCACCTACATCGCTCCTCTGGTCTTCGTGCTGTCCGTCACCCTCATCAAGGAGGGTTACGACGACTACCAGAGGTACGTGAGAGACAAGGAGGCCAACAGCCAGCGATATGAGAGGCTGCATGCGGACGGGAAGAAGAAGAGCGTCCCCAGCGCCGATCTCAAAGTCGGAGATGTTGTTTTCGTGCCATCCGGGGCCCGAGTTCCCGCTGACATGCTGCTACTACGCACGAGCGACAAGAGCGGAACGGTTTTCATCCGGACGGATCAGCTGGATGGAGAGACGGACTGGAAGCTCCGGCGAGCTCTTGCTGGGACGCAGCGATCGCCAACTGACGACGCGATCATCAACGTGCGAGGATCGGTGTGGGCAGACAAGCCGACCAAGGAGATCGATTCCTTCATAGGAAATTTCACGCTGGAAGACGACGGGCTCGATGATCGTCTCGAAGCTAACTCCCGCGGGCTCGAGCACGTGGAGCCACTCAGCATCGACAACACTCTATGGGCCAATACCATCGTGTGCGGAGGCAGCGCCGTCGGCCTCGTCCTTTATACCGGCGCCGACACTCGCGTCGCCATGAATGCCGATCCTCCCAAGTCGAAGGTCGGTCTGGTAGACATTGAGATCAACAGGCTGGCTAAGATGCTGTTCGCGTTGAGTTTGGTGTCCTCGTTTGTGATGGTCCTGCTGAAGGGTTGGACCGACACCTGGTTCCAGTCGCTTTTCCGCTTCGTCATCCTCTTCTCAAGCATCATCCCCATCAGCTTGCGAGTGAACGTGGACATGGCGAAGACGGCCTTCTCCTACTTCATGATGGGCGACAAGGAGATCCCTGGCACCATCGTCCGATCTTCCTTCATCCCCGAGGAGCTGGGGAGGATCGACTACCTGCTCTCGGACAAGACTGGGACCCTCACGCAGAATCAGATGGAGATGAAGGAAATCCACATGGGAGAGGTCTCCTTCGGCAGAGAGGCGCTGGACGACGTCAGGTCCCTCCTCCGCAAGGCCTTCGAGATCAAGGAAGAGACTTTCCGGGGTCGCCCGCCAGTCCAGCTGAGGACCCGCCGGCTGATCGAGGCCCTCGCGCTGTGTCACAACGTGAACGTGACGCTGGAGGGAGGAGAGGCGATCTACCAGGCCTCCTCCCCCGACGAGGTCGCGCTCGTCAACTACGCCAAGCTCACCGGCCTCGTGCTCGAGGACAGGACGCTGACCGCCATCATTCTGCGACGGCCGACGGGGGAGCAGGTGGAGTACGAGATCCTCAACGTGTTTCCCTTCAACTCGGACACGAAGAGGATGGGGATCATCCTGCGCGAGAACGAGACCGGGAGGATCCTCTTCCTCATGAAGGGAGCAGACGCAACCATGACGCCGATAGTTGAGTTCTCGGACTGGCTCGAGGAGGAGTGCGGAAACCTGGCGAGGAAGGGGCTGAGGACGCTGGTGATAGCCATGAAAGTTCTCTCCAAGGAAGAATACGCCGCCTTCTCACAGCGGTACGAGCTTGCCAAGAGGTCGCTGCAGGACCGCGACGCCTCGATGAGGACGGCGGTGGAGGAGCTGGAGTGCAACCTGACGCTGCTGGGGCTCACGGGGGTCGAGGATAAGCTGCAGGACCAGGTGAACTCAACGCTAGAGACGCTGAGGAACGCAGGGGTGCGAGTGTGGATGCTCACAGGCGACAAGGTAGAGACGGCGACGTGCATAGCGATCAGCTCGCATCTCTTCGCAAGGAACGCCCCCATCTTCCACCTGCTGGCCGCCAACAAGGAGCAGGCGGAGGAAGAGTTCAAACGGTTCCAGAAGAAGCCCGGGGCCTGCCTCGTCATCGACGGCCGCTCGCTCTCTCTCTGCACAGATAACTTCCCTCGGCAGTTCATCGAAGTCGCTTGCAAGTGCCCCTCGGTCGTCTGCTGCCGCTGCCTGCCCACTCAGAAGGCCCTGATTGTGAGGCTGCTCAAACGGCACGCCAAGAAGAGATGTGCGGCGATAGGGGACGGGGGCAACGACGTCGCGATGATCCAGGCGGCGGATGTGGGGATAGGGATAGAGGGGAAGGAGGGAAGGCAAGCCTCCCTGGCGGCTGACTTCTCGCTCACCAAGTTCAAGCACGTGAGCCGCCTCATGCTCTGGCACGGGAGGAACTCCTACACGCGGACAGCTCGGCTGTCTCAGTTCGTCATCCATCGGGGCCTCATCATCTCCATGATCCAGATCGTCTTCTCTGCCATCTTCTACTTCGCCACCATCGCCATCTACTCGGGCTGGCTGGTCGTCGGGTACAGCACCGTCTACACGATGCTGCCAGTCTTCTCGCTGGTGTTCGACGAGGATGTTGACCCGGACACAGCTTTCATGTACCCGGAGCTCTACAAGGAGCTGCAGAAGGGGAGGAGGCTGTGCACGAGGACGTTCTTGGAGTGGACGTTCAAGAGCATCTACCAGGGGGGAGTAATCATGCTCCTGAGCATCTTTATGTTCGACGACTCCTTCCTCCGCATCATCTCCATCACCTTCACGTCCCTCCTGCTCACTGAACTGCTCATGGTCGCCCTCGAGATTCAGAAGTGGAAGCTGCTCATGATCGTCTCTCAGATCCTCAGCCTCGCCGCCTACGTCCTCTCCTTCTTCCTCCTGCCGACCTACTTCGACGTGGGCTACATCTTCTCTGGCAGCTTCTGGCTCAAGGTCACCGTCATCACCCTCGTCAGCTGCCTGCCCGTCACCATCGGCAAGTGGCTGCAGCGTCGCTGCTCGCCTCCGGCTTATCTCAAGATCGCAAGGAGCCGCGATGGCTTCGACTTCTGAAGCCTCACAGTAATACAGGGCACAGCTTCACTTCTTCTTCTTCCCTCCCTTCTTCCCCTTCTTGGGGTTGCGGATGTCCGACAGGGTCACCCGAGCGACGTGCATGCGGTAGTTGCACTGCAGGAGGATCGAGGCCTCCAGCGATCGCTGCTCGCCCGCCGCCCTCGCCGCCTCCTCCTCCCTCTGCTTCCTCTGGGCCTCGGACTTGAGAGCTCTTTCCGCCACGTCACGGTCATACGCCTCCTCGAGCTCCTTGAGCCTGAGCAGGACCTCATCTCTCTCTGTCCTCATGATCTCGAGCTTGTTCTGGAGCTCAGAGGTGTCCTTGTCGTAGATCCTGTCGACCTCCTCCTCCCGCCGAGTGTTCTCCTCGATCTTCTGCCGGAGGAAGCTCTCCTGGTTCGCGTGAGCCTTGTTCTCCACATCTATCTCCCTCTGGCATCGCTCGATCCTCCCCTTCAAGGAGGAGACCTCCCTCGACCAGATGCGCTTCTCGCACTCTTTCAGCGCGTTGGCGTCTTTGTTGATGTACGAGATCATCATTGTGACGTCATGGCGCTGGTTCACAAGCTCCTCCTGCACTCAACACGACACGCTGAGTCCTTCACTCCAACATACCTGGTGCCCTACCTTCAAGTCTGCGATCTTCTCGTCTTTCATGGTGATAATGCGGGTCTAGTTGTTCATGTCAGTCTCGACATGTCGATCAGTGCGAACAGGTCACCATCTCCATCCTTTCTTGTGCCAGGCTATCGCGCAGCTCTGACGTCTTCTCGCTCAGTTCCTTCTCGCTGGAAGCAACGGGTTGAGGAGCGAGGACCATGTCAGGGATGGAACATGTCACCGAGCGATGGTGTTCATGATGTGCGTCCTCCACTCGCCCTCCTTCTCCACCTTGATCCTCACCGTGTCGAACTTGCCAACCTTGAGCGAGCAAGGTCACTTTCAGAGCAACTTGCAAGGAAGTTCCTTGCCACCTCCATTTCATTGATGGTCTGTGAGAGGATTTCTGTCACACTCTCACACGTCCTCCTGATCTTCGATAGATTTCCTTCCAGATCAACCTGTTGTAAGGCAACGCAATGAGAATGTACAGAGGCAGGAAATAAAGCACATTCTCTTGCAAATTCCTTGTGAGCGTCTTGGTAGCCTTGAAAGGTTTCAGACAGGGATGCTCATAGCAAGTGTCAGACAGGACAAACCTGTCTCAGAGAAGAGGCGATGTTGCTGATTTTTTCTTCGTTGGCGTTGTACTGTATTCTCGAGCCCCCTGCCAGTTGCTTCCTCATATCTATTCCGTTCTGGTACATGCGCATGAGAGCATTGTGTTGATCTAGGAGAAGGGACGTCAGCACAGAGCTGCTCGAGGAGCAGGAGGATACCGAGGAGCCGTCCCGCTTCGTCACTTCTCATCTGTATCAGCTCCGCATGCGAGCCATCCGTCTCGAGCATGGCCAAGACTGCCGGAGAAGGTCAGAGAAGGATGCTGAGAGGAGGAGGAGCACGTGAAAGCTTGTCCACCGCATCCTCTACGCATGCCGTCAGTCGCTGCGCCTCGAGTTGTGTCGCGCCGTCCGCCATGTCGCTGATTCAACGGACCGAAAAAAAGTCAAGTTGGGATTGGCACATTTCGAATGAAATGAATATTATTCGGTGATTTTGAAAATTCAGCATTATGGTTGAAATTTTTTCATAAAATGAAGTCAATAATTGGTGGTCAATCCCTCTCTCTATGCGGTGAGACTGAGCGGCCGGGATGGGGAGGCGAAGGCACGAAGGAGAGGAAGAGGGAGGGAGAGGAGGACGAGGATCAGGAGGACAAGGAGCAAGTGAAGGTGGGAGATCAGATCAGGAGAAGATCTGAAAACACAAGTGGAGTGTTCAGATGCAAAGAGGTCTAACAGTTCGATCCCACAAGTGAAGAAAGGCGAGGAAGGACAGGCGGCAAGATGAGTTTCATAGATTTTGATTCAAACAAGCTGCATCAATCTCTCCTCAGCGCCTCCTTCGACTCTCTCTCAGATGACCACCAAGATCGGTCCAAGGGGAAAGGATCTCTGTCGGAAAGCTCCAAGGCCTCAAAGGAAATTTCTCCTCCCCACTACGATAGTGGCCTCGGGGATCCTGTCAAGGAAATCTCGTCCCTGCTGCAGGAGGGCATCAACATCGCTCGCAAAGTCCTGGACATGCAGGCGAAGTCGTCAAGCTCGGGCTACATCGTCGTTCCCTTCCTGAACGCGTCGGACATCCGGGCGGCCCTCAAGTATGGCGCGACTGTGATCCACAAGACCCACAACGGCTACTCGCTGACGCCCTGGGCGTCTGTTGTTGAGCTGACGCAGAAGTTCGAGAGCCTCTCGCGCGTCCTCCTCGCGGTGCAGATGAAGACAGGAGCGATGCGAGGACAGCTCAAAGCTGCTCTGTCCGGCAGGCTGCGGGTACAGGACCAGATGAGGCAGATGGAGGAGCGAGAGGCGAGCAGCCGGCAGGAGATGTCGAGGGCGGTAGAGCGCCTGAAGGCGAGGGAGCTCAGCATGCAGAAAGAGATGAAGGAGGTTGTGAACAACATCAAGGCGCAAGTGGAGGCTCAGCAAGAGCGAGTGATGCAGCAGAGCCAGGAGGAGCTCGCGGTCTTCCACCACAACGAGCTAGTGGAAAAGGAGGCCGTGATCAGTCGCCTCAAAGACGAGCTGAGGAGCGCGGAGAGGAACCTGGAGCACTGCAAGAGGCATCGAGGAGAGCTGGAGGAGGAGCTGGCTAGCGAACGGGAGCGGTGCTCCAAGGAGTTCCACCAGCGATGCCTGCTGGAGTCGCGGCTTCAGAGCGCGGCCATGGATGCTGAGAGCAGCAACAAGAACTTCGGGGCAATCAAGTCTCAGCTGCTGGCCGAGATCGAGCAGCTGAAGCTGGGAAGGAGGCAGGAAGCGGCAGAGGTCGAGGCCCAGCTGAATGAGATTGCGGAGAGGATGCGAGCATCGGCGGACCAATGGACTGCAGAGCGAGGGATGCTGAGAGAAGAGGTCGAGGGTGATGCTCTGTAAGTGCGGGGGGCTGAGACGTGCTGCAGATCTCGAGCATGAAGAAGGAGAATCAAGCGCTGGCCAAGGCCAAGCTGGAGATGGAAGACAGTCTGGTGCGGTTTGACAAGCCTCTCAACGGCGATCCTTGACGGTTCGAGCCAGAGAGCAGCAGCAGAGAAGGAGGTGCAGCTGCAGAACACGATCCTGGAGATCGAAGGTGAGCAAGCAGGCACTGAGTTCGACCCGATGAACGTGTTCGATGCAGACAGGTTGAGCCTGTTCGCTGAGCAGAGGCAGAGGGACCTTGCAGAGGGAGAGAGGAAGACGAGAGTGAGAACCACGAGGTGTTAGGGGCAAAGTCTTGATGCTTCTGCCCACAGGAGCTGAATGAGCTCCTGGGAAAGACGAGAGATCGAAATCACGAGCTGGGCGAGGAGGTGAAGGGAGGAAGAGCTGCTGCTGAGCAAGTGACTCCCGTCGCATCCCAGCTCAAGGACTTTCAGAACCTCGCAAGGGCGCAGAAGGCAGAGATCTCGACCTTGAGGATGTCCCTGCAGGACGAGTCAGCTCGGAACCAGGTGAGGTGGAGGGGCTAAAAAGGAGGAGGAGCAGGGTCAGAGAGCTGGAGGGAAGGGGAGGGAGGGAGAGAGGGAGGAGAGGAGGAGGAGGAGGAGGAGACTCTGACTTGGCCATGACAGAGTGAACAGAAGAACCTGCTGGGGCAGATCGGCACTTTGAAGGAGCAGGTAAACTTCGTGCCGGCCCCTCAGGTGGTGGTGACGGCGCTGGTGGCGTCAGGTGTTGAAATCGAAGAATCTGCTGGAAGAGGCGATGAACGACACGAAACTGCTGGCGAGTGAGAAGGTCGAGATGGGCGCAGAGATTGAGCTGCAGAAGAAGAGGTCACGTTGTTTCCTCCTCCTCCTCCTCCTCCTCCCACCTTTCTCCTTCTCCTCCTCCTCCTCCTCCTCCTTCTCCCACCTTCCTCTTCTCCTCCCTGCTTCTCCTCTTTTCTTCCTCCACATATCACATCCTTCTGTACAATATCATCCGCCCTCCCGAAACCGACCCGCTCACTGTCCTCGCTCCCCTCCTCTCCTTCACCTCTTCTACCACATCTCTCCTAGCCATCATGGCCTTTCTCACTTTCTTCGTCTCCTCCAGGCGCCGGGACGCCGAGGGTCAAATCAACACCTTGAAGAAAGCAAAGGATGTCATGAAGAGCGAGGTGATCGCGAACCCCCTGCTCCCTTCCCTCCCCTCCTTCTTCCTGTCCCACCTCCGTGAAACCCACCCTCCTGCTGCCTTCCTTCTCTCCGTCTCCTCTACCCCTCTCTGCTCCTGTCTCCTCTCCGTCTCCTCTCCGTCTCTCCTCTCCTTCTCCACCATCCGCGCCATTTCTCCTTCCTCCTTCTCCATCTCCTCTCCCTCCCTTCTCTCCTTGACCTGCCAACTACCCAACCAGCTGGAGCAGCTCCGGCTGGCCCACCAGAAGCACAAAGAGGAGGCGAATGAGCTGCGGAGGAGCGAGGAGGTCTACAGAAACTCAGTCAAGTCGCTCAAGACTGAGGTGCGCCATGGCGGGTGCCAGAGATCGGGACTGACACGTCCCAGCTTGAGCGGCAGTGCCTCCTGACCGACGAGCTGCGAGAGGAGATGGTCGCGCTCAGGAGCATCGAGGCCGACCAACAGAACCAGTTGGCAATCCTGAGGAGGAAGCTGGAGGGCGCGAGCAAGCAGAGGGCGGAGATGAAGGGCGAGTGGGAGCGAGAGAAGGAGGCGATGAGGCAGGAGGTAGCGAGGAGGGAGGAGGTCGAACGGTCGCTGAGCTCGAGGATCGTTGAGCTTCAGCAGCGGGAGGCAGAGCTGATGAGGACGGTAGAGGGGTTGAGGAATGATACCGCAGCAGCTGAGGACGAGGTGAAGACCATCAGAGCTGAGATGTCTGACAAGGTACTGCTCACGCCCCTCCTTCCCTTTTCCCTTCCTCTGCTCTCCTCCTACTTGTTGTTTCCTCCCGATCCTCCCCTTCCCCTCCTTCCCTGCCCTTCCCTCTTCCTCCTGATCCATCGTCGCTTCCTAATCCCTTTCCTCATTCGTTTTTGCCTTCCTTCCGTCCAACTCTTTTCCTGCAGCTACAGACATTCAATGAGATCGAGAAGGCATTGCAAGCTCGCCTGCAAAGTGAGAACAACGATAATGACAATGTTACGATCATGATCACGACGACGATGATGACGATGACGATGACGATGACGATGATGATCATGATGATGACACTGACGATGATTTCACAGAGTCTCACAAGCTGATCGAGGAGGTGGAGGCTTCCCTTGCGCAGGTAGGAGGAGAGTATACCTCTCTCTCCATTTCGCTTACATAGGCTGACAGGAGCGGATCCTTAAGTTCGAAGCAGAAACGAAAAGTAGGAGGCTGCAGGTGCTGCAGATGTGCCTGAAGAGGAGGAGGAGGAGATGCAAGAAGATGAGGCAGAGGAAAGAGGGGGAGAGAGGGAGTGTGTTTGGGCTGGTAGGCGAGGGGGAGGGAGGGAGGGAGGGAGGGAGGGAGGAAGGTGAGAGTCAAAGGGGGAGGGAGACTCAAGTTGGTCCCAGGAGGAGCTGGATGATCTTCAGACGCTGCTGCATGTCAAGCATATCAAGAATAGGTTGGAGAGACCACAAGGAGGAGGAGAAGGAGGAGCAAAGTAAGTGTGTTTGCAGGAACGGGAACGAGGAAGAACTCGATGATAGCGGCAGCAAAAGATCCTCAAGTAGGAGGAGGAGGAGGAGGAGGAGGAGGAGGAGGAGGAGGAGGAGGAGGAGGAGGAGGAGGAGGAGGAGCTCTGATAGACTTGTGATCAGAAGAGAGCAGCAGCAAACAGAACGAGTCGATCGCGTCACCGGGATGGACGATGCTTGCCTCCTCTCCCCCGCCTCCTGCTGGAGGCAAGACCGTGACCTTCTCTTCCTCCCAGCCGGACCCCAGCACAACTAAGAGTCTGCTGGAGGACTTCTCGTCGCTCCTCCTGTCTGAGAGGCCCGAGCCCAGCCGGAGCAAGAAGACTTCTCGCAGCTCCGTCTCCTCCTTCATGGCCAACGCGCACAAGGAGTTGAGGAGATGAGGGCGCGGGGAGGACGCAGTCGATCGTGTTGGAGAGGATGTGAGGAAAGGGACCAGCAGTAGAATCATGACGAGGACAAGGACAAGATAGGGAAGGAGGAAGAGGAGAAGGGAGGGGGGGGAAGGAGGCAGAAGAGTCACAGGCTAAATTTTCCAGGGGGCTAACCATTTACACTATGTTAAGAATATTTAAGAGCTCAGCGAGCTTGAGATGATTCCTGCTGTACAAATCTCCTGATTCCTCGTCTCCTGATGAATAGAAGCTCCTGCATGCACTGGGCAGGTTTCCAGGATGTCTGATTGCTTACAAATAGAATCAATTTTGCCGATCACGCAAAGTTTGTCAAGATCTCGATGACAAGCCGTCCTGATGGTCTCAGAATGTGACTTGCCATTTCGATGAATGTTCAGATATGTTCATGTGCCTTGTTTAAATGTTCTTATGCTTGCTCGATGAATGTTCATATACTTGTTGTCACTGGTCAGCTCGACAAATTAAGTATGTCTGTCTTCGTCTTCATCGTCGTCGTCGTCATCGTCGTCGTCGTCATCATCATCATCATCATCATCGTCGTCGTCGTCGTCGTCATCATCATCATCATCATCATCTTTGCTATCACCAGCACCGGCAGAATCAGCATCCCCCTCATCATCGTCATCGTCATCGTCATCGTCATCCGTCAGAAATCTTTGAAACTGCGAACCTGGATCTTTCTATCAAGACTAGAAGAGACGTTGCCATGGCTCACCAAAGGCAAGGCAGAGGTTCAAGACGCCAGGATAGTTGTCTTCCATCCTCTCCTGAAACTGTCGGGCCGAGATTCAGGTGGAGAAATCGGACAAGAACACAAGTAAAAGGCAGAAGACCCAACAGGCAAGCAGGAGCATCGTTTCATACGCTCACATCATCATCCGCATGCACTGCAATAGTGAGACAACAGAAGGAAACCATGGAAAGCCCCGAGCCCCACACGAGACCCTGATTCAAACCAACCAGTCACTTGCTGTCGACGGCACTTGTTTCTCTTCAATGGCAGCTCACGTCAAGCAGCGAACTCACCTTCCGCGTCAAGTGTGCGATATACCAGAACTTCTGCATTGGGTTCAACCTTACCCCCTGGTCTGCAGCTCTATGTGTAGAAAGCTTTGGTCGCTGACCCAGCAGCTGTCATAGCATTTGTAACTCCCTCAAAACCACCACCATCCTTCTCACCCTGCCATTCCGCACGATCTTAAGAGGGGGCTTGCTGCTAGAGGCGTGCTGTGATGTTTCATCCACTGGCAGTGTCGAGAAGAAGCGTCCTAGGCGCTTCCGAAGACTCGACTACCAAACATCAGTCAAGTCGCCCAACATGGTGAGGTAACTTACGATGATTTGAGGAGAGGATGAGAGATTGCGCATACCGTTCGGAGAGAAGAAAGGCATCGCTAGGACTGCTCCTGCTGTCTCTTTCACGGCCATCAACCCTCCTCTTCCTCCTCTTCCTCCCCTCACCCTCCACATTCTTCCTTCTCCCCGATTCCTCTCAAACGTTCTGGGACCCCCCACCCCCTATTTAATACCGTACTACCCCTATCCACCTATTCAAATTGGGCTTCTCAAAAGTTCGGAACTTCAATGGCTTGGTTGCCGCTCCCGGGCCCGCCCGGCCGCCGGCGGGTTCCACCGGCGGGCCCCGGGCCCGGGGTCTTTGACCTCTAAGTTTCTCAGTAGTAGCTCCACCCGGTGACCGTCGATCTGTTCTGCCCCTGTCCTTCAGTTCGGTCCGTCGGGCATGGCGCCTGGTGGAGGGCAAGAGGAGGAGGGGGGGAGGGAGCTTGGGGGCAGAGCCTTGTGAGAGGTAGGGGTATATCCGTAATACAAGCCCGGCCTGAGCAATGGCGTCGGCGACCGACCGCGAGATCCTCGAACTGCTGCGCAAGCTGAGAGCGACGTCGTAAGTTCAGCTTCAGAGCTCGAGTCCGTCTGTCAAGATTGGCTGACCCCCCAACAGGTTCTGGGAGTTCAGGGCCCAGTACATCGCAGAGCTGGGAGAATGCTGCTCAGCGCAGAAGCAGTCTGGAGCTGTAGTAGACCCCGAAGTCATGCAGCAAGTCGTTGCTGAGATCGCTCAGAAAGCAGGTAGGCATTGCTCGCAGCCCCTGGTATAGCTGACCACCTTGTCAGGCGACTGGAGCGAACACGTGCGGGCGGAATCGCTCTCCTCCCTCGGCATCGTTGGTGCATGCGGCTCGTCGCAGCTTCACTGACTGAGAGGCAGATCGGGGAGGTCAATGAGCAAGTAGTGGCTGCCCTTTGCGAGGGGATGAAGGTTGGTGGTGCTGGCATCAAGGGACTTGCTGTCTTGACTGTCTCGACAGGACCAGTACGAGAACGTGCGTAACTCTGCTGTTGCTGCCATGACCAAGGCCGTGCCGCAACCCAACGAGGACGTACTGAGGAGATTAGATAGCGTGCTCTTCAGCTTCTATGAAGACGTTCGCGAATGCGCTTTGAATTATTTGGTTAGCACTGCCAGTCCGGAGACGACAGTGGAGGCGCTGGCGAAGCTGCTAGGTAGTGACAGTCAGGAGCAGAGGTTGTGGGCTGTTGCGAGCATGGGGAAGCTTGCGCTGCACGAGGATGGTATGAAAGACAGTACAAGTAGGAGTTTTTGACAAGACGTTGCAGGAGGCATGAAAGCTCAGCATCCTTACGCTCGTCCTGTGGTGGTACATGCCTTAAAGTTGGTACAGGACGAGCAGTGGCAGGTTCTTGCTCGAGGGCCTTGGAGTGTCGCTGAGAGCTGGTCCCAGGTTCAACGGAAGGCGCTGGGGATTGTGAGCAACGGTGAGTACTTGGATGGCGTCTGTCCGATCTCTGAGGGAGATGCAGTTGTACAGGCTGGATACTCTCAGATGGTTGAAGATCTCTGCGATCCTCAGATTCTGCAGGAGTACGTCGACTCACCACAGGAAGTAGTGCAGATGATCGTCTCAATGCACAAGGGCGCTGCTTCGGACGAGTCCTCTTTCGTCCACCAGCAGAATCCCTTCCTGGAGAGGCCGTTCCTCCACGACGAGAGCGTCTTGAGAGTGAGGCTGAACAGGGCAGAGAAGCTCCTGTCCAACACAGTCTCCGTGTACAACGCGCTCTCACCTCAGGTGGGGGGCGTCCACAGGAAGAAGTTCACCTTCTCCATTCCAAGACACAAGTTGAACTTGAGCCGGATGGACGTCAGCATGAACTCCTCAAGAGAAGACAGAGGGAGGGCGACCTCGTTGTCCCCTCAGCTCCTCCTCGGCTCCCCAGGCTCGAGGCAAGGCAGCCCCAAGGAAGTCTCGCCCAAGGACACGACTATCTTGAACTCGCTTGTGCAAGGGAGGGCCGTCGGTGACGACTCGAGGGCGCGGTTTGAGTTTCAGAGGGACCTGGAGCGAAATCGATCGTTCTACCAGGGGTACAAGAAACCTTCCTTGAAACGAGTCAACAGGAGCAAGTCAAGTCTTGACGGATCCTCTCACAAGAGCCCGACGTACTCGCAGGTTTTCAACCTCGCCGACCTTGACTTGTTCGAAAAAGACATTTTCATGGAGAAAAGGTACCAACCGCCGTCCAAGTTCACCATGGGACGAGCGCCGTCACCTGTTGTGAGGATGGAAGTGGTACGAGGACATGCGCTCAGCACGACCAAGGTCGTGAGGGATCATCTATCGCAGATGTGCAACGATCAGTTGAGGCAGCTGCGAGAGATTAAGCTTCATGATATTCTTTAATGGTTTGTCCCAGTCAGTTGCTTCAAGTGGGATTGCGAGTGGAACTCGATCTTGTTCATTTGTCAAAAGCTTGCGCTGTGCTTCTTGAGCCACTCATCGTTGGGCGCGATGGCTTGAGCTCTCTTAATCATCTCCTTGGCCTGACAGCCCAGACGTCAGTCTTCAGCGTTCGCAGCATTAGACCACCTTGTTATGATTCCCAAACGCGTCGCGAAGCAGCAGAGCATAGTTACAGAGTGTGTCGACGTGGTTCGGGTCGATCGAGAGTGCCTGCCTGTACCTAAGAGCATGCATCAAGAGTGTTTGCGGCAGCCAGCAAGGCATCACATCTCTTCAGCCGTCTTGTACTGCTTGTGGACGGTCTTGAGAAGCGCGCCATAGTTACAAAGAGTATCAACATGCCTCGGGTCTGCCTGAAGCGCCTTCTGGTACCTACGGAGTATCGTCAACGCATTGAAGCGCGTGAGGGAAGAGCCTGACATTTTCTCAGCTTCATCGAAGTTTCGATGAGCATTCTCCAGCAGCAGACCATAGTTGTACAAAGTGACAGCGTCGTTTGGATCGATGTCAAGCGCTTTCTTGTACCTGCAAGGCCTCACATGAGTTTGCTACTACACTTTTGCAGTTAACAACATCTCTTCGGCTCTAGGGTTGTCTTGTCTCGTGTTTTGGAGCAATGCTCCATAATTGCAAAGTGTCCTACAAGTGAAAAGGTCAAAATCTGCACTCACCGCTAACCCTTGCAACAACACCTCAAGTGCTTGGGATTGATACTGAGCACCTGAACAGTTCCAAGTGAGATGAAACTGAGTTGGTCTGCTCAGCAACCTGTAGATACAGCTCCTCTGCTCTCTTGTGGTCGCCAGCAAAGTAGTACGCAGCTGCCTGAGCATGCAGCGATTCCGCTGTCTGGCTCTGGTCTTGGTTGTGAGAAACTGCAGCAAGGAGAGCAGATGGTGTACCATAGCAGGGGCGGGAGCGGTGGTTGGGGCGGGAGCGGGGGCAGGTGCCGGGATAGGGTTAGGAGTGGGATTAGGGGCGGGGGCAGGAGCTGGTGCGAAGGCAGGGGAATGAACGGAAGATGGGGGAGGCACCAGGTTGCGATCGAACATGGGTCTGGTGCCCAGGGGCTGCCTTTGAGACTGTGAGTGCAGCAGCATCGAGACGATATCATTGTGATTGTTCTCGATTGCGAGGCTGAGCGGTGTCTTGCCGTCTGCCCCCTTGATCTGAGGGCTGGCATGGCGCTTGAGCAGCAGCTCCGCCGACCGGGAGCATCCGTGCTGGGCGGCGAAGTGAAGAGGAGTGCGACCGCGCACATCGAAGGTGTCCGCCTTCATCCCCGGGGTTGAGAGGATCTTCTCAATCATCTGGACATCATCGTGCCTCGCAGCCATGTGGAGGGGGGGCAAAATCTCTGGATGGATCAAGTTCCCGAAGCCATCTTGCTTGGAGCAGCAGTCGAAGGCGGAGGACGCGTTGCCCCTGCGACAGAGTCAGCACATGGCTGGCACATGCTCCATGTTCTCACATTGTTCCTCTCTTGACCTCGTCGCTCCTCCTTCAACTGAAGAGTTTGCGTCGCCCCTCCTGCATTCTCTGACCAGAGACACCGGGTACTATCACCCACCCACCAATCAAAATATCTGAAAATCACAATGAAGTACCGGGTAGAGGAAGGAGATTTCGAGGGGTGGGTTATTCTCGGGGGTGGGGGTGCGGTCGTAGATTTGAAATGAATGATTTGAGTGGGCCTGATTGGTGGTGGGGTATGTCAAATGGGGGTTGGGGTCAAAGTAATCTCTGAAGAGGTGGGTACTTATGTGCTCAAAGATAGGGTACTTAAATTGATTGCAGGGGTCCAGGTCTTCATGGCTTCAGTATAGGAAGGGTAGGGTCTAGTCAAAATGAAAGAACGGATCTTGGCTGATCATGGCGATAACCATTGATGAAGAACGAATGGAGTAGGAGGAAGTGAAGGAAGAGAAGGGAGAGGAGAAAGGAGAGGTCGGCAACTCAGAGGTCGGCAAGACAGAGGTGGGTAGGGAGTGAGCGAGGAAGGTATGCAAGAGAAGACCTTGCTGTTTGACAGGGAAAGGAGCGCCGCAGTGGTGTAGGGAGAGGGAAAGAGGAGGAACCAAGGACGACATGGAAACAAGCCGAAAAGCATGCGAAGACAGGCAGATCGATATGTATTGAAAGAGCAGGACGAAAAAAATGTGGTGGATAGAGGCAAGATGATCGGGAGAACCTAGAATATGTAATGCTCGGATGTTTAGCGAATGCTTTTTGCCTTCACTATGTGTTCTTATTTTGACACGGCAATGCTCTCTAGATGGTGAATGGAGATGGCACCGATGACTCAGATTTCGACTTCGATGTGGTTGACGAAGTGGCTCATCGTGAAGTGGAGGTGTCTTACAGCACGAGGAGACTGTTTCATCTTACCCAGTGACAGGATGACGACTTTGACCCGATCGACGAGGCGCTCTCCAAGTTTGATTCTTACGTATTCACAGAAACGAAGAAGCTGTATCAGTCCTTGATCTCGGCTGGTCTTGACATGGACACCTCCATGAAGCTCTGCGTCCAGGTCGCCGAACAGTTTCAAACTCTCGTCGAACACCGCAAGGTCCGCGCTTGTGACGTCCCGGCCTCATCACGCTGATGTCGTTGCAGACTTTGCAGACTGGTTTCCAAGAATTGGATGTGAGGAGCAGGAAAGCGGCGAAAGAGCTGGTGGAGTGCCGGGAGAAGATAGGATTGCAGGATTCGTTGATCGAGCAGCTAAGGCGGGACGTGTCCGACCAAAGATCGCAGAGAGAGGACGCCGACAGACGGCTTGCTGATGCTGAGCAACTGGTGGTCAACGATGCTCTGTCGAAGAGAAAACCTGATCGTGCTGCCTAGATCAAGTCGCAAGAGGCAGAGATTCAGAATCTGAAAGAAGACAACGACGCGTCAATGGGTTCGATGGATCTCCCGATCTTCGAAGACGACCAGAAGAAATTGAAGCAGGACAAGCGCGTATCGGACAATGGAGGTGCTATGTTGTTAAGGACTGACATGTGTGTTGTTCGCTTGTGCTGACGAGCTCCACGTCCAGTGAACGAGTACAAGGAAAGATGCAGAGTGGCAGAGCTGGAGGTCCTGGCACTGAAAGTCGACCTCGAGAATGCTGTCGAGAAGACGAATCAGCTCGAGAAAGACAAGTTCAACTTGAGAAAGAAACTCGCAGAGGCTGAAGAAAAAGCCATGGAACGGATGAAGGAAGTGGACGAGGTATCGGGGGGGAGAATGGGCAAGTTGGTGTTGTTGATGTGACTGTTGGTTGGTTGGCAGGGGAAGGCAGGGGATATCAAAGAGGAGGTGAGTTTGTTTCTCCTGAGTTTCCTCTTGTGATGCAGAAGACGCAGAACAAGATTCTGCAGCAGCTCTTGAAGGAGAGGGAGGCTGAGGTGGCTGAGCTGAGAAGGCAACTAGATGACGAGACGGTTGCTCTGGAGGATGTGAGGAATGCGAGAGATGACTTCGAGGAGGCCCTGAAGCAAGAGAGAAAGAAGATGGTCCAATGGTTTGCGAACAAGGAAGAAAACGACGATGGCGAGGGCGAAGAGGGTGAGGAAGAGGACGAGGAAGTTGTTGAGGAGGAAACGAAGGAGAAAGGGAAACAAGAGCCGGCTGCTGATAGAGTCCAAGTGAAACAATCCTCGGTGATATCGTCCTTTATATGTCCTTAGAGCTCATACATGCTGCAGATACCTCCGAGAGGGTTGAGGCCGCAAGGATCCGTCGGCTTCAAGAGGAGGGCGCCAGCTCGGCAGGAGGCGATTGAACAAACGTTGGTTGTGAAGATGTCAGAGGAGCTAAACAAGGCCAAGGCGCAGATCTCCATGCTTCAAGCCAAGCTGAAGGAGCAGCAGGACAAGAAGGGAAATGAGAAGAATGAGGAGAAGAAGAACTTGGAGAGGATCCGGGAGCTCGAGAGTCACATCGTTGTGCTGGGAAAGGAGTTGAAGCAGAAGGAGGAGGCGGTCCTGAAGCCGCAAGAGCAGAGCAGCAAGTCGGGGTTGAGCATACAGGCAATGAACTTGCAGCAGGAGCTGGAGGCGACGAGGAGCGAGCTCTGCAGCATTCGAGCGGAATTTCGAGAGAGCAGGAGGGAAGACCTCAAGGCCAAGAACGAGGCGATGCAGCGGCTGCACCGGGCACAGATTGAGCTGAAGGAGGAGAGAAAGAGGGCGGAAACGCTGCAGGTTGAGAAGGAGAAGGCAGAGAGTGCAAGGAAGGCCTCCGCCGCCCTGGCGGAAGAATTCAGGAAGAACATGGAGGAGACGAAGAAGAAGTTGGAGATGAAGAGCAAGAAGTTCGAGAGCAGCAAGAAGAAGGCTTCCAGCGTGGCGAGGGAGGAGTGGGAGCCGAAGCTCGAGATGCTCGCTGAGAGGCTTAGCAGGGCCACCCTTGAGTGCTCCAGCAGGACGGAGGAGAGGGACGAGGAGAGGAGGAGGAGGACACTGGCGGAGGCGGAGAGGGAGGAGATGGAGCAGCTGGTGAAGGAGGTCAGGATGGGCCTCCGATCTCTGGTGGAGCAGCACAAGGACCTTCCACCTCACATTCGCAATGCCCTCCTCACATTCCTCAAGTCACTAAGAAGGAAGAAGACTCTAGGTACCTTCCCAGCCCTGCCCTGCCCTGCCCTGCCCTGCCCTGCCCTGCCCTGCCCTGCCCTGCCCTGCCCTGCCCTTCTCTTCTCTTCTCCGTTTCTCCCTCCAACCTCCGGCCCCTCTTGTCTCGATTGCGCTCTGAATTAGTTTTGGCAGGGAACTCGTTCCAGACGATAGAGGAGGACGTGAACTCTTCCTCCTTCCTGCAGGTCGACGACCCGAGCTTCAGGTTCAATACGTTGATGGTGCAGCATCCTCCTCCTCTCCCCCTGCTTGACGACATCGAGCGACCTCTCGAGCAACCCCACCGAGGCTCTCCCGAGCATGTCGCGGCCTGGCTCAGGATGGAGGGCAGAGACAACGGGGACGTGGAGGCCGAGGAGGGAGTGAGGAGTACACAGGGAGCAGGAGAGCTCGGAAATTTCTTGCAAGAAGGTAGAACAGTGAAGGATGAGAATCAGCAGCGAAATGGACAAGGAGGAGGAGGAGGAGGAGGAGGAGGAGGAGGAGGAGGAGGAGGAGGAGGAAAGGCATTGAAAGGTGGAGGAGAGGAAGCGGGAGGAGGAGAACGAGAACAGGCAGGAGGACAGGGAGTTCTGCTAGACGATGACTACGGAAGCAGCTCTCACGCAGACGACGTTCGATCCCCTCCCAAGTCATCCTCCACATCACGGGAGGAGGGCGAAAGTAGCGAGTCGGGGAGAGCCGTCCTGAAGCAGCGGAGGATCAACCTGACAGACTTGGAGGCAGTCCTCCACATCCTGGAGCAAGGAACCATCGCCTGCCACAGGAGCGCCGCGACCCACTGGACTTCCAAGCTCAGCAGGAGGCAGCAGGAGGTGCTCAAGCCCCTGCTCTCTGCTCGAGGGCCCATCCTCCATCTCGACCTGGCTGGTACTCCTTCGTCCCGATCTTCTTCCCTGAGCTCTTCCCCAACCACATGCCGCACAATATCTTGCTTTGTTCTCTCACTTTACCCTCCACTTCTCCTCTCTTCTTCTCCTCGCTCCTCCTCTCATCTCTTCACGGCAGGCAACGAGCTCTCAAGTGCAGCAGGAGAACTGCTGGGCCTTGCTGTCCGTCGGTCGGAGGTGAAGGAGCTGAATGTGCGGAATAACATTCTGGGGGACGGGGGGGCGGAAGCGTTCGCTGCTGCTCTCTGCGGAGAGACTTCGGCCGAGAGGAGGGAGAGGAGGAGGAAGGGAGAGAGTATCAACTCCTCCTTCTCCTCCCTCGACTTCTCCAACAACCAGCTCGGCGCTCCCGCAGCTGCTGCGCTGGGGAACATGACGAGGGTGTACGGGAGCCTCCGAAGGCTCAACGTCTCCTACAACTTCCTGGGGGACGAGGGGGCCCGCTCCCTGTTCGAGAACCTTGTGGGAGGGAGCCTCTGCGGACTGCAGGAGCTGATGATGAGCTGCTGCAATCTCGGGCCCCCGTCCTGCTCCTCCCTCGGGCAGCTCCTCCTGGGCCCTCTCTCCCTCCGCGGCTCCTCCTCCGAGATCACCAAGGTGAGGAGGAGCATCGACCGTCCCGACCTCAAACTGCGCGCCGTCGACCTGAGCGGCAACCCAAAGATCGGCGATGAAGGAGCCCGAGCGCTCGCCCCCTTCCTCATCCGCAGCGCCAGCATGCAGCTTCTCAGCCTCTCCTCCTGCGGCGTTTCGGACGCCACACGCTCGATCCTTGAGTGCGCCCTCGAGCAGCGCATCTCCGTCTTCTCCAACGCCGCCATGTACATCCAGTGCGATGAGCGCATGCTTGGCTCGGCTCCTCCTCCTCCTCCTCCTCCCTCCTCCAAGCGCTCTTACGCCGACGACTGGCAAGGCCCTGCAGTCTGCGGCGCGTGGGTGGGGATGAGCGGGAGGAAGAGCTTCTGGGAGACCCCCGAGCAGGTCAAGATGCGCAGGAGAACGAGTAGGGAGGAGGAGGTTGCAGCGCAGGACCAAGGCTGGGGGGACGTGCAGGGGAGCAGCATCGGGAAGGTTCTGGTGATCGCAGAGGAAGGGAGGAGGGATAAGGTCGTATCGCCCTCAGCCAAAAAGAGGATGCAGCTGCTCAACTGCAGGCCGAGCGAGGGGCTGACGCTGATGGAGACGTTTGCGAGGGAGGAGAGGACAAGGGCGGTCGACGGCATCGGCTCCTCCTCCCGTCCTGCTCGCACGTGGGTTGTCGGCGGCAGTTGAGGCGAGCAGAGGCAAGCATAGAACTCAAATCTCCCTCTCCCTCTCCTCCTTTCTCGCAACAGGTGCTTTCATTTTCGTCTTTGTCAGTTTCCCTCCCCCTCCCCTCCTGCTAGCCCCAATGGATCTGCTCGTCAATCCGACTCCGTCTCCTCCGTCTTGACCTGCACATAATCGACGTGTGAGCCTCTCCTGGCGCTCGCGGGCTCGCAGCTAATGTACACGTCCTCCTCCACAGCCTGCTGCCTCTGCCGACGATGACAAATCAGCACGTGAGGAGGGAAGAGGGAGGGATGGAAGCTTGAAGGAGACGAGAGGAAGGCGCTGCAGGGGAGATGAGGTCTGTGGAAGAGCAGGAGGGAGGGAGGGGAAAGGAAGAGGGTCGGAGAGGGAGCAGGAGGAACCAAAGGAGAGCACGACGTGTAGACCTCGATGGCGTTGCTGCTCTCCCTTCGCGGCGGCGGGATTCCGGAAGGGGGCACAACGATCGAGCGCGCCGGCTGCTCAAAACTTCTCTCCCTCCTCACAGGCTGCTGTTCCCTCTCGATCCTGCCGCAGAGCAAGCGTCAGGAACAAGGAGGGAGGGGAGGGGAGAGGAGGAGACGGACCTTGGCCGGGGAGGGTCGACAGGAGGAGGCGAGCGAGCCCTGGGAGAGGACAGTTGCCGCGATTCATGTGCTGTGAAACCATGAGGAGAGAGTCGATGGAGGAATGAGAACAGAAGAGGGAGGAAGCGGACGAGGAGGAAGAGGTGGATGGGAAGGTGCGAAAGACGTGTCGATGCTCACCGCTGCTCTTGCGGAAGTTGTCCTCGTACCTCTGCAGCCTCTGGCTCAGCAGGGCGATCTCTGCCTGCTGCTTCTTCAGCATCTCATTCGCCCCCAGGTTCTCCTCCTTCCTCTTCCCCTGCCACGAGACCGTCAGTGCACCTTACCCGCACGCTCTGTCTACCTTCTCCTCCTGCCCCCTCGATGCCGCGGGCCGCGGCCGCTTCTTCTTTTCGTCCTGCTCCATTCTGCTGCCCCTCCTCTTCTTGATCTTGTACTTGAGCACCCCATCCTCGTCGGGATCCAATCCTACGTCCTGCTGTCAGTGCACCCAACACTCCTCCTTCCACCCTCCTCCTCCTCCTCCTCCTCCTTACCTTTGATCTTCTTCTCGCTCAGCAACATCCCAAGGATCGCCCGCACAAGCTTCCGTCCTGCTCCATTCATCATCTTCAGGCCTCTCCTCCCCCTCCCCCTCCCTGTCTCCGTCCCCCTCCTCCCTCCTCCCCACCTTTTCCCCCCATCCCTTTTTCCTCTCACCTGCATTTGCCATCCCCTGCGAAGGAGCCTTCTCGATGTTCAGAATGTCTTGAATCTTCTCCCATCTCAGCCACCAGCGCCATCCCTCACCTCCTCCTCCTTCACCTCCTTGACCGACAGCCCTTCCCCGTCGCAACAGCTCATCACCGAGGAGACGGCTTCTTTCAGGTTCACAATCCCAACTGAAGCCTTCGCCTGCTCCCCCGTGAGCGCTCGTCCCCTCCTCCTCCTTCTCCTCCTCCTCCTCTCCATCATCCCCAACCACCACAACCTCCCCCACCCCCACCTTCACCTTTCCTTCCCTAGCTCCTCTCCTGTCCAAAGCTCCTCTCCTCTCTAAAGCTTCCCCCCCCACACCCCCCCACTTCCCTCCCCCACTTGCTCCTATCTTACTCACCATTGCCACTTCGTCCTTGACATCGTGGTGCTTCGGCACTGCCTCTGATCTGCTCGAGTCATCCGACGAGTACTCGAGCTCCCGGGAGCCATGCTGTGGGATAGGATCAGACGCCTCTGACCTCAACGGCGACTCGCACGACACTCATCTCTCACTCTCACAGCAGCAACCGGCAACATGACTTCATCGTACCTCCTTCTTCTTCGACATGCTCACCGGATGGCTGAAACCTGCAGGACTGTCAGGTCAGACAGCAAACCTTCACCTTCTTACTCTTAAAGTGCTCGGCGTTTGTGCGATAACAATGCTCGCCAAAGCGGCACATCGGCACGCCGGCCGGCTGCCACACTACCTGCCCATCAACTGGAGAGTAGAATGGAGAGAAGGAGGGAGAGAAGGAGGGAGAGAAGGAGGGAGAGAAGGAGGGAGAGAATGAGTTCAGCAAGGCTCGACCTAACAGCAAGTTCGTGTCAAACCTGAGGAAGAAGTCTTGTCCGGACTCTCGTCACGATGCGGCTGAGGATTAGCAGGACGAGCTCCTGCCATTTCCTTCTGCGGCTTCCTTCGGTCGTCCTGCACCGAGCGATCTGAGAACGCGCCCCCCTGCCTCACGTTGGATCCGTTGGTGACTGCCTCCGTTCGTGACTTGCTCGTTGACTTGGAGGAAGAGCTCTTCCTCTGCTTGACCACGTCTTCATGCTGAGCTAGTTGAGCGAACGGGTTCGAGACCTTCGAGCCTTGCGCAGTCACAACGTCAGGCAGGTCAAGTTGCAATCCGCGTCAAACTCACTGCTGGAACCTGGAGCACCGTCGTCTCGCTTCGAGCTGTTCAGCAACGATACTTCCGCCCACACGTTGTCATCGTCTTCATCGTCGTCGCTCTCTGACGAGGACGATGGGGCTCTTGACCCTGAAGCTTCCCTGGTCGACTGCTGCTGTGAAGCTGTCGGAGGAGGAATCTTCTGTTTCCTCAAAGGCCTTCCGGCAGCCTCCCACATGCCAAGAGCTGTGATCAAGCTCACCTGCTCGAGCTGTCAGCCTTGCATGCTCTCTCACTCTCCTCCCACTCAGCATCACCTTGTGCTCATCCTGGATCTCCTTGACCCGTTTTGCCCTCTTCGCTGCCAGCTCCCTCGCTCGCTTCCTCGTCTTCGTCATGTTCTTGCATCGCAGGTAGAAGTGCCTCTCCAGCTGCTTGATCGTCTTGATCCCTGCTACACCCTCCACCTCCTCCACGTTCGCCTTCTTCGACATGCCAGCTGCAGCGTCTCCAGTGCTAGACTGATGTCTTCCGCTCCAGGAAGAGAGAGCTAGGGCGAATCTTGCGTGAGCTTGTTATTCATCTCATCGTCCTTAAAGTCTGGCCTGTGAATGCGGTCAGATCCCTTGCACACCTTCCTCTCTCCTCTTCATCATTGTCCGTCTGTTCTTCTACCTCTCATACCTCAAGCAAACTCTCATTTCATCTGGAATCTCTCCCCCACACGACGAGGACGGTTCATTTTCGTGAGCTCCCCTCTTTCACTCTTGCTCTGGGCGACTACCATGCTCTTACCTTGCACTGATTTCTAGATCGCAAACCTTTGTCTTCCACCCTCGCTCACCCACCTCTAGCTGTTCTCTTTCATCTCGAAGATCTTACCGTCACGTTCAATCCCCCTCGCACTACCTACCCTTCACCCTCTTTTCCTCTTTCTCTCCCTCCTCTAACATTCCTCTCTCCCCACTCCCTCCTCTTCTCTCTCTCTCTCCTCATCTCTATATCCATCTCCTCCCCTTCCCGTCTCTCTTCCTCTCCCCCCCCCCCTCCCCTTCGCCCCCGCTCCCCTCCTTCTCGCACACTTCGCCATCCGTGGTTCTCATGCATGCACTACCCTTCCTGCCAAGTACCTATCCAACTACCCCACCCTACCAAATTCACTTAATCAAACTAATGAGTACCCCTACTATTAAAATTTGAATACCACCCTACCCCACAATAATCCGGATAAAGGGGTGGTAGGCGGGTCTTGAAAGTGGGGGCGACCGGCGGGCCGGCCCGGGCCCGAAAGGTCCGGGCCACCACGAGTCACTCGCCTGTCAGGGTTGAGCTGGAGTTATAATCTAAAATGTTTTATGCTCATTCGGTCATCAACCTGCGATCTCAGGTACAGATCTCTCTTTATATACGTTTTAAGTGTCGACATAGTTTTCGTACATTTGTATGAAGCTATCTCCGACTTTACTCGATCCATGGAAGTTCGGTACAGAACTTTGGTCATAGCATATTAAGATCCATTACAATTGGTACTGATATTTCAGTTATAAGTATTTATTTCAGCTTTTTAAAACTATTAACCTGTTGTGCTCCATACAGATTCAGTTGCTGAGGATATTTTTAAACATTATAAATAGTTTTTTTGAATCGTGCTAAAAATCCCTTATAGAATTATCCCCCCCCTCACCGCCTCCGCCATGGTAGGCTGCGGTCATTTTGGTTCTTGCCGAGATGGTGGCGCGTTAACGAAAGATTATCTCCCCTTCCCAAGCATCTCCTGAAGGGTTTCGCGGTGTTCTCTGCCCTCCCCCGTGAAAGAGCAGGGAGGATGGGCGTTGTGTTGACAGAGATGATAGATGTTTGCTACTTCGTGTAGTACCTGCAGGGTTGGATAACCGGAGTTCAGAACATGAATCTTCAGCCAGCCTTCGTGCAGGCGATACTTTCCTTGCCAGAGAACCAGGATACGCCCAAGGTTGTTTGCGGGGGGTGCTCGATCAAGGGAAGGAGGCCACAGCAGGAAGACGTGCTGCTTTTGCATGTTGATAAAGCCTCCCTGCCATCATTGGTTCAGGGAGATGCGCAGTTTTCGGAAGGAGAAGGCCGAGGAGTCAGCATGGTTGGTGTTTTTGATGGACATGGAGGGAGGCGATGCTCAAGATTTGCAGCTCAGCACATCCCCACAAATTTTTATGCCGCACTGGCTGAAATAACTGCGAAGAAGATTACGTCTGGCGACGACAGCAGAGAAGCCTTGACGCATGCGCTACGTGCCTCATACCGAATGACGCATGATGATTTTGCAAGGATGGCAAGAGGCGAGAGTGAGTCGAGCCGACCCAAGACCAGGCAGCGACTGCACGATGCCATCGAGCGAGCCAAGACGTGGAGCAGCATGAGCACGTCGAACGATCGCCCGACGGTTCTGAATCACATGCATCGATCCTTTCCTTCCAACTCGCTAGACAACTCGTTCGAGTCTGTGCGCAACAAGATGCTTCAGCAGAGACTTTCTTTGGGGAACCGGGTCTGGGACGACGGGAGCACGGCCATCTGTTGTCTGGTGCAGGGGAACAGAGTCATCGTTGCAAACTTGGGAGACAGCCGAGCCGTGGGATACGTAGGAGGAAAGGTGACGCCCTTGACCATCGATCACAAGCCGAACCTGCCGTCTGAGCGCGACCGAATCCAGAGTGCGGGCGGAGTTGTTACTTGCATGTGAGCATGTTAGTGGACTGACAGGACCGGGGCTTATGATGCTTGTGGCAGGATGGGATGCCATCGGGTGATGGGGATGTTGGCGATGTCACGGTGACAAGCGGTGAGATGTGCTGCAAGTGACGCTGACCGGACGAGGGCAGGGCGCTGGGGGACGTGATGATCGAGCAGTACCTGAGTCAGGATCCAGATGTGTCGGAGATCGGGCTATCAGATCATGACTTCGTTGTGCTGGCATCGGACGGGCTGTGGGATGTGATATCCAACCAAGAGGTCGTCTCTTACATTCCTCCTGCTCCGCTGCTCCTCCTGCATCCCTCCTGCTCCTGCTCCCTCCTACTCCGTCTGCTCCTCCTGAACTTCTCTGCAGGTGATACAGATCGTGGCCGGAGAAGGTAGCAAGTGCGGGTGGAGCCCCGATCAGCTGTCTATGATCGCCAACAAGCTGTGCATGGAAGCGTTTAGGAGAGGATCGATGGATAACATCACTGTGATGATACTTCTAGCGATCAGCGAGCACGTGGCTCCGCCGCAGCCGAAGCCGGAGAGGCACATCGAGCTGCCGAGCATGGGGAAGCAGTCGAGGCATCCGCTGCAGCGCAGCCCTGCGGCCAACATGTCGATGAACGGAACGCATACCGACCTCCTTCGACCTCGGCATGACCGCATGGAGAACGCGACCATGGGCGTGGGCGTGTTCTCGCGCTTGCTGGGGGAAGGGGATGCCGTTAGGAAGGGGCTGCCAAGACCGAGCAATGCCCTCCAGGCCATGCTGCCGGCTGCCAAGCGATCGCATGTGGGGGCCACTGGGCCTGAGAAGTGGAGGGATGGCCTGTCGAGACGGATAAGACGAGGAGGGTTGTAGTCTGCGTTTTTGATGTAAATGTAATGACAGTCAATGTACATGTCCCAGCGTTACTTCCCTTCCTCCTCCTCCTCCTCCTCCTCCTCCTCCTCCTCCTCCTCCTCCTCCTCCTCCTGTCCTCGTCATTCGCTCATACGTTGTAGGAGCCTCCAGCCTGCCCCCCTCCCGCTCCCTTCCCCCCCTCCCCTTCCTCCTCCCCTTCCTGCACATCAGGACAGCAGCACCAAAAAAGAAGTCAAACGGGTCGCCATGGCGTGTAGCGTCGCTCTGGCTCATGCCGCTCTACTCTCGCGGTCGCTCGACGTGGACGACGGGGAATGGCGGCCGAGCCATCGCTCGAGCCATGGAGGAGCCTTGACGCATCTTGGCTTCGCGGTCTTCGGAGGGGAGAGCACAAGAATCTCCTGCGATCCGCATCTCTACGTGCTGGATACCCAGGGCATGCTCGCGCAGAGGTTTCCTGCATACTCGAAGCGAGCTCAGTGGCAATGGCTGCAGGTAAGGAGAGGACTAGTGCCTCTACCTCCTCCCTCCCTCTCCCTCCCCCTTCTCCTCCTCGCTCCTCCTCGCTCCTCCTCGCTCCTCGTCCTCCTCCTCCTCCTCCTCCTCCTCCTCCCTCCTCCAACTGCGCTGCTGGCAGGTTCCTACCGCCTTCCCTGCTGGTCTTGATCTGAGGTGACGTAAGAGGGAGGGGGCAGGGAGGAGGAGGACCGTGACAAGAGCGCAGGAGCCTCGGGCGATCTGGTCACTGCATGGTGTACGTGCCGGCGTGCGAGAGGAGGCAGCGAGGTAGAGGCTGCCCCGTAGAGGCACTCCTTGCTGCTCTTCACTCACCCCTTCCCAGCCGCCTCGCTGGTTGTGTTCGGTGGATATGGTCTGGGAGGCGAACCGAAGGTGAGAAGGTCGGAGGAGGAGGTTGGAGAGTTGAGGGGTAGGAGTTGCCAGCAACTGGAGAGCATCGGAGTAGTAGCATGTATGATAAGAATTTGAGCAGGAGGATGTAAGATAGGCAACTCTTCACCGTATGAGATGAGACTGCAGAACGACTTGTACATCCTGGACTTCGACTCCATGACTTGGTCAGTGAACGAGGCCCGTGGAACACGTCCGAACTTTGCAGTCCACGTCGTCTGTTCCTGACGATTCTCGCAGCGCCCTCCCCCCGTAGTGCCTGCGCAGCAGCGAACACGAAGCAAGGCGTCTTGATGATGGGAGGGCTTGAGGTAACAAGAGAGAGGAGGGCGAAAGGAAGGAGCAGTGAAGCCTCTTAGAGGATGGGAGCGAGCGTCTCTGCTGACCCTGTCCTCAGCTGGTCAGTCCTGTCTGCGATGTCCACCTACTGGAGCCTTGCGAGGAGGAGGGATCCAGGTCGTGAGCCTCTTCCTTGTCATCTCTGACGTCCGGGCAGGGGGTGGAGATGGAAGCAGGTGGAGGAGGCTGCGATGAGCGACGGTGACTGACGTTGTCGCAAGCCACACGTGCATGCAGTGCAGTGCTACCATGGAGCCTGCGCTCCTACCCCTCGGTGAGGAGGGGAGGGGAGGGGGAAAGAGGAGACAAGGGGATACGAGAGGAAAGGAGGACGTGAGAGAATGAAAGGTGAGATTGACGTTTGGTTTCAGCTATGCGCATGCATGTGTTGCAATCAATGATGACCAAGATGTTGTCTTCTTCGGGGGAGAGGTGAGACAAAAGCTGCGATGGAAGGAGCTAAGGGGAAAGCTGCAGGATGGTTTCAAGAGATACAACGATGTGTTCGTTTTCCACTCCTCCACGTCTGCCTCCCTCCTCTTCATTCTTCACGATCGGAACTCACTTTTGCAAGCAGCATGTCATGGTCGGAACCAGCTTGTAGCGGTCAGGTAACATTCCACCTCCCGCATGTTTGCGCTCAATTCTGCCCGTGGCATGTTCAGCTTCCCCGACCTGTCTCGCGCCATGCTCTCTCCAGCCTCCTCCTCCTCGACCGACAGCTGCTCATCATGACTGGTGAACTTGACACTTCCAAGGATGACTCCTGGTGAGAGCTGAGCAGGGGGAGAGCTGGGAGGAGGAGAGAAGAACGGAGCTGTTTACCTCCTCAACCCGTCGCACTGGACTTGGAGCGAGGTTAGTCGACTCGTGGCGCATCCTGAGCTGACGGGGTGAAAGCTGTCGATGTCAGAATCCATAGTTCCGTCGCTGAGAGTCTCGAGCCACGTCATGGTCACTCTCCCATCTCCGCCAGGTCCAGCGGAGGAGGAGAAGAAGAAGGAGAGGAGGAGGAGGAGGACAAGAGAGGAGGAGAAGGACAAGAGAGGAGGAGGAGGACGAGGAGGAGGAGGAGAAATGGTAAGGGAGGAGGAGGAGGAAGAAGAAGAGAAATAGCAAGGGAAGAGGAGGAGGAGGCGGGCGGAACTCTTCCTGAGCTCCGCTGCAGAGAGTACAACCATACCTCTCCTCCTGTTCGGAGGGAACTACTCCTGTCGGGGGATACCGATCTGCCGCGCCTGCCTGAGGAAAGGGGTGAAACGCCTCATGCTCGCACTGCGCTGGCTGACATGCTCGCAAGACCCGGCCGGACTGCAGGGGGGAGAAGGACAACAGACTTTTCAAGCTCTCCATCCCCAAATCTCTCTCCCGGCAGATCCTCGTCGATCTCAAAGCAGCCGACCGGAGCGAAGTCAACAGTCCCCCCTACAAGAAGGAGCAACAGGCCCTCCCTGCCACCAAGGACTCGCCATCTCCCCTTCCCCACTCCTCTCCTCCTCCCACGGCCAGCGCCCGCTCCCACAAGTCCGTCCTGTACGTCTGCGGGTTCGAGAGGGGCCAGTACAACTTCACCCCAGCTGCCTTCCAGCACAGCGAGCTGACTCGTAGAGGAATCTCCTTCCTCGCAGCTGGGCTCGAGCACACGCTGGCAGTTGACTCGGAGGGCTATCTGTGGGGCTGGGGGTCAAACGGGTCAGGTCAACTTGGCATCGAGGGGACAAAGACGTTGACAGCCCCTGAGCGACTTACGATGCTCTACGACATTCAAGGGCCTGCCGCTATGGTCCGTTGCCCTTTCCTCTTCCTCCTCTCCCCTCCTCGCCCCTCCTCTCAGCTCCTCCTCCTCCTCCTCCTCCTCCTCCTCCTCCTCCTCCTCCTCCTCCTCTCACCTCCTCCTCCTCCTCCTCTTCCTCCTCCTTCTCCTCCTCCTCCTCCCCTTAACTCCTTCCTCCGTTTGGTCAGGCACATTGTGTCTGCCTCCTTCCCACCCTTCAACATCACCTCTCTCCTGTCTCCTCTCCTCCTCATTTCTCCGCAGGTCGCCGCGGGCTCGGAGCATTCTTGTGCTCTCATGCAGACTGGAGACATCTACACGTGGGGTCGCAACGTGGACTTCCAACTTGGGCTGGGCCACCAACACACCTGCTCCTCACCTCAGCACGTCAAGAGCTTGAGAGGCAAGAAAGGTCTCATGATAACGTCTGGTTCCAATCACAACTTGGCCTGGGTCCTCCTTGATGGGAGGAAGGCCATCATGGCGTGGGGAAACAATGCTCACGGACAATGCGGAAATGGTTCGACAGGTGAATTTCTGCTTGATGTTTCTTGTGTTCTCCTCTCCTTTCCCCTCCTCTCATCTCCCTCTCCTCTCCCCTCCCCTCCTCTTCTCATCCTCTTCTTCCCTTCCCTCTCCCTCCCCTCCTCTCCTCATCCTCTTCTTCCCTTCCCTCTCCCTCTCCTCCTCTTCTCTCTCGTTCTTCTTTCTCCGTAACTCGCTGACCATGCAGACATGTGCAAGACGCCTGTGGCCTGGGGAGACGTCTGCTCAACATTCGCCCGTCCTCACACCTCACAAGACGCCCACAACATGCAGCAGCTTGCAGACTCTCTCCAGAAACATGCCGTCAGCCGCCTTGCCGCAGGTCAAAGTCACAGCGCTGTCCTGACCGGCGACGGGATCTTGTGGGTATGCGGGAGTTCTCGCCAGGGTCAGCTGGGGACAGGAGACGTGAGCTCATGCGGCTATCCTCGTCCCCTCTCTTGCCTGCCGCCCGTTGTAGATGTTAGGTGAGGCGACCCTGACTCCTCCCCCTCTTCCCCGTCCTCCTGCTCCTGCTCCCCGTCTTCGTCTTGCTCTTCGTTCTCGTCATGCTTCGTCCTGCACCTCTTCCTCGTCCTCCTCTGCCTCGTCCTGCTCCTCGTCTATCTCGTCCTCATCTTCCTCTGCCTCGTCTTTGGCTCCTGCTCTTCCTGCTCTTCTTCCTCCTCCTCCTCGTCTCATGATGCCTTGGAATCGCAGCTGTGCGACCAACGCGACCGTCATCATCACGTGCGAGAGGAAGAGTGACCTAGAGCCAGGAGTGTACAGGGTCTGGGCGTGCGGGAGTAACCGCAATGGCGTGCTAGGAGCGGGAAATGACGGCCTAAGTGAGCTTCACGCCTCCTCCTCCTTCCTCCTCACTGATCGCCGTCTCCTTCTAGAGCTCAGCTTCAGCCCCTTGGAGGTCGCCAGCGTCTCCAGCTTCAGCCCACGGCAAGTCCAGTGCGGGAGCGAGCATGTGCTTCTCTTCTGCGCCGAAGGCTTTGCGTTCGCCTGGGGCAGCAACGCGGCAGGTCAGCTCGGAGTCACGAACCGCATCACGGCCCCGGCTTTCTCCCCTCAGGTGGAGGAGCAGGCAGGAGCTCTTGTTCGCTGACGCCTCGCCTTCAGTTTGTGGGAGGAGGAGACGACACGAAGAAGAGCCCGTTCCGCGGCTTTCATGTGCAGATGGCGGCAGGAGAGCGAACGAGCTACTTGCTCTGCCTCTCACCAGACTAGAGTTTGGATGATCGTGAAGTTGTAAACTGTCAAATGTTGACTGAGAACTCTCCCACTTACCTCTGCCTTCCCTTCCATCTCTGTCCTGGTATCTCTCTCCCCCAGACTGAGTTCCTTTCCACACCCTTGGCATCAAAGTCCAGCCGGGTGGCCGCCGGAGACACTAGAGGACAGCGGTTAAAGGCTCCTGCTGCCTGAGTAGGGGATAGCGGCAAGGCTCCTGCTATCTGAGTAGGGGGATAGCAAGGCTCCAGCTACTAGAGGATAGCAAGGCTCCTCTCTGCACACCGCAAAGTCCTCGATTGCATTCGAGTACTCGGTCAAGAATTCCATGAATGTGGAGTAGAAGAGCTCGACTCTCTTCAGTTATGTTGCTCTTCTCGAGTTGCTCTGCTCGAACGGCAATAGGCCAGAACTCATGATTATCAACCTCCTCTGCGAGTTTTTGGGCTTGGTAATCAAGCCCAAGATCATGTCTTTCTGCGGAGGAATGTAAGTCTGATCTTGTTGATCAAACCTTCACGGAACACGATCCGATGATCAGCCAACTAGCACCAACCGATCAGTCACACTGCATTTTTCAATCAGTGATGCCAGGCGGCACCGTGTCACTGAGTCAGGGCCCAGGGCGCACGGTCCCCGAACTTCGGAAGTTCGCCCGGGCGAATTAGAGTTATTTTAAAAAATAGCAGGTCAATTTTAAGTGATAGATGATTTTTGTCATGATTGTCATAACCATTTTAATCGAAATCTTTTCTGCCGCGGCCCCCAGTCATCCAATCTTGAGATGACTAAAATTATTAGTACCAGGAACTTGAATTGACCTCTTTTTACACCATGAACTTTCATTGCCTCTTTTCATTGCCCAGTGAACTTTGGAAGTCAAGTTTTCAGTTCACTGGAGCTCTGACTGGCAGAGATGATATCAGATCTATGGTAGAGGGTGTGGCGACGAGACGAAAGTTGAAAGTTGAAGAATTTCATTCAAGCGATCAAACAGTTTACTGGAGATCTTGTCACCACGTGTTTGCCCTCACAAACCGACCGTACGCTAGGATCCCGTCAGAGGCTGGAGGCTGGCTCCGTAACTTGAAGAAGCTCGAGCATCCTGCTCTCCTGCCCGACCACGCCCCTATCTCCTCCAGGAGCTCGTCTGCTCTGGGTCTCTCTGCTGCCCTCCCTGCCCATGACTGCCTCATCATCTTCTGTAACTCCCTCGGCATCATACGCTCCCCAAGCACTGCTGGTCGAAAGTCGTACTGGGCTGCCATGAAAGCAACCGACCACCCGTCGATGTTACAGAAGGGATGCTCGCCGGCGAACATATACCACATCACCAGCGAGAACGAGTACACGTCAACCGCAGCCGTGTACCGAGGCTCTCCGCGGAAGATCTCCGGCGCCATGTACCGGTACGTCCCCGTCGCTCCAGTCAGGTTCACGCTGCTACAGGCGAAGGACAAGCGTTTCCGTGCGTCTGCTGACGTTGCATTCTTCGGGCTCGAGGGCTGCTCCTGTATCGTATCCACATACGGACACATGCGGCTGAGCCCGAAGTCTCCGATCTTCACCGTCCTCCCGTCCCCCGTCAGCAGCATGTTCGCCGGCTTGATGTCTCGGTGTATCACCGGCGGCTTCTGCGAGTGCAGGTACGCCAGCGCGCTCAGGATGTCCTTCACCCACGACACCGCCCTCCTCGTCTTGGGCCGCCAGCGCCGGTCGCGTCGGGAGCGCTTCTTGCCCTCGCAGTAGTGCTCGAGACTCCCGCCGGACATGAGCTCCATCACCAGCCACGGCAGCCCGTCGTGCTCGTAGATGCCGTAGAAGTCAACGACGTTGGTGTGCCGGAACGCGTGGCTCATCATGCCGATCTCCTTGAGCAGGTCCTTGCCCTCCTTGGAGCGGACGTCGAGCTGGGAGCACAATGTCTTGACGGCGACAAGCCTGCCGTCGTAGAGAGCACTCCTGACCTCGCCACAGGAGCCTTGACCGAGGAGTTCACGGACGACAAGGGAAGACCTGGGGATGATGAAGTTCTGACACCGCTCGATGCTGAGAGTCTGCAGCATGTTGTGATGGGAGGCGAGTTCAAGGAAGACAGGGCAATCTTCATGCAGAGACGAGGGAGTACGAGAGAAACCAGCAGGACAGGAGCCCTCGATCGAGCTCATCCTTTCAACCATGGAACGGAGTCAAGCACGGGGGACGCCAGAGAGGAAATGGGCACCAAGCAGGGGAAGGGACTGGTTGGGTTGATGATGATGATGATGATGATGATGATGAGGAGGAGGAGGAGGGGGAGACAAGAGTTCACGAGGAATGAACGGAAGGAGTCACAAGTTCGAGGAAGCAACAAGAGCAGGGGGCGGATGGGACTCTAAGGGCTGATCGGGTGGCCGGGAGGCTTGTGAGCACTGCGACGTTGTGCGGCACTGTGATGGAAGCAGTGTAGGAGCGATAGCTTGCCAGTTGAACTTGTGACGAGATCAAGAATATCAATCCTTTTACTGCCTGGCGTAATCTGCCCCAGGGAGATTGGTCATCAATCCGCGGCCCCCGAACCCCTCTAGGAGTAAACTGGTGCTGAGTAAAGGACACCAGGGCCGCGCTCCAACTGCCGAGGCCTAGGGAGCAGGATTCTGCCATTCGTGTTCTCTACTAATGTGTCTGAGGTGGGCTCTGCTTCACGGGGGAGTCGAACTCACCTTGTTCCCTGGTATTCTCCAAACTTGACTTGCAAGGAGTTGCTGACGGCGGCACTTTACTTCACCCGGCCCCGCTTTACTGCAGCCTGTGCTCGAACGTACCGACAAGGCTGCGTGCCGCCGGCTCAATTACTTTACACCTACTGGTGGTACCTCTTGGCTAGTACGTTGCCGATCGGATTCGAGTCGCCAGTCATTCCTGGTCAGCCTGTCCGAGTCTTTCCGCGGCCGCGCGTCACGTCGCCAATCCGAGGCTCCGAGAGTAAGCAGCGCGAAGCTTGGCAAGTTGCATGATTCAAGAAGAGCACCTTTCGACAAGTCCGAGTCACGCCGCACGGTACCGTGACCGCGGCGGCGCCTCAGCTGCCTAGTAAACGTCAACTGAGTGTCAGCCCCGGTTTACATAGATGACTGAACACTCAGATGACAAAAATGCTTGCCCAGGCTCCGCTACTAGTACGCCGGACGGTCTCAGTGTGACTCGAGCCCCCTCATCCCCACTGGCTGCCAGGGCTGGTACCAGTGACAGCTGAGTGACAGTCGGACCCCCGGGCCCGCACCGTCACCAAAGGTGCACCTCATCCAGCCCTCATAACCCTCATCCCTCCTCAGTCCCTGAGATTCTGAAATAGAACTCGGAACTTAGGTCCATGCCGGTGTCGCAATGCCGCCAGGGAGCTGCAGCGGTAGAAGGAGGCCCTGAGGAGAGAGAAGGAGAAGGAGCAGAGGAGGAGGAGGATCAGAGGAGGAGGAGGATCAGAGGAGGAGGATCGGAGGAGGAGGATCGGAGGACTGACAAGAAGATGACAAGAACGAGGAGGATGAGTGAGCCGGGAGGAGATCTCAATGAATGTCAGGATGATATGGTTGGATTTGAGCCTGCCATTGATCAGCCCGACAGTCTGCTCGAAATTTCTGCCGAACAGGACATACTCAGGAAAGATGAGGGACTTTTGCAAGGAGGAAGAGTGTCTGATGGGAGAAGCACACGTAGGAGAGCGCGCTGGACTTGAACAATGGGACGGACTGTTAGTGATAGTCTGCGAGATAATGTGATAAGTGAAGGAGCAACGCAATGTTTGCAAGCAAGCAAGGAAACTTGTTGAGATGGAATTGGAGAAACGGATAGAGCAGTGTGAAGGTTTACAAGAATCGACGCAAGTCGTCCAATCAATGTTGTTGTGGATTCGAGTTATGTTAGCGCAAGGTCAGACTACAGCTGATACGACTCTGAGAATCATGTGGATTCGAGACGAGAGGAGAGAAACAAGGAAGACACATACAAGGAGCAACTTTGCTTGTGCGATGAGAGGTTGAAGGTCGATGATCCATCTGATTACATTGCGACAGACTTCACAACATGTTCAGGACCATCACTCAAGCCTTGTACGCGACTAGCACCTATGGCCAGTACTCTATGCAAGGATCTTTCAGCGACGGAGACTCATACGCGTTTCCTCATGACGACGGTCAAGGCTCTGGAGCTGATTTCTATGGCGTAAGGACTGTCTCATTTTCGTTTTCTCGTTTTTCACTGACTTTGCTTGTGCTTCTCATTGTTGTATGTCGACTGTGATGGTGTAGACGGTAAGCCATTCATCCTGTCTCTTGGTCTACTGACATTTTGTCTCGCCTTCAGCTCTGGCATCCCTCAAACGGTTGGGTGAACAGCTCTGACGGAGGACGCGGACATGAATTCCCCGATTACAGACAACAATAAGAAACAAAGAGGTGTGCTGGTGAAGGATGACCGGTGGTTGAAAGTCATGATGTTGATTGCAGATGATTGTTTCACCCCAGCAAGTGAAACTAACCACGTTCTCTTGCTCTGTTATCATCAAACTTGTTGATAGTACATGAAAAACCTTGCGCTCAGCTCCTCACATCCCATCTACCCCCCTCTCCCTTTCTGCTCTCGTCTAGCTCCTGAGAATTCAGAAGCCTCTTCCATCCTCGCTTCCCCCTGCTGCTGCTGCTGCTCCTCCTCCTCCTCCTCCTCCTCCTCTTCCTCCTATTACGCTTTCGGCATGTTTGATTGAGGACTAGAGATGAGACCGGTAGAGGTACCCCCGGTACCTCATCACCCGTCTAATCTCATACTATTGAGGGGGTGGGTGGTCAAGCATGCACTGGATTGAAGAGAACGAGGGCCAGGAGAGGAGAGGAGAGAGGATCCTGTGCTGAAAGAGAAGAAGAGGAGAGGAGAAGAAGAGGAGAGGAGAAGAAGAGGAGAGGAGAAGAAGAGGAGAGGAGAAGAGGAGGGGAGGAGAAGAGGAGGGGAGGAGAGAGGACCTCCTTACACTTGTACAATCCCTGTTCCATCATCGCTTCCCTCAAGCTTCTCCTCCTATCCCTATCACTTCCGTTGGTGCTCGTCAGCTCAGGAGTCGGAATGGAGGGGTTGGTGCCGGCATCGGGAGCCTTCGATGCAGACAAGTTTGAAGACGAGCATGTCCATGGGGTCTATGACGCCATAGCCCGGCACTTCAGCCATACCCGATACAAGCCGTGGCCGCGCGTTGCAAGCTTCCTTCAGTCTCTTGAGGATGGAGCGCTGGTGGCGGACGTGGGATGCGGCAACGGGAAGTACCTTCAGGTGTCTCATGGCTGGAGGAGACGGATGACTGACTCGATGATGGCAGGTCAACCCCAAGGTTCTGATGATGGGATCAGATAGGAGCAGGGGACTAGTGGAGTGCTGCCAGGGCATGGGGCATGACGTGTGCCTGGCGGACAACTTGATGCTGCCGTATCGCAGCGACTCGTTCGATGCCGCCATCTCCATCGCCGTCATCCACCACCTCTCCACTGAAGAGAGACGGGCCGCGGCCGTCCGTGAGATCCTCCGCATCCTGAAACGAGGGGGCCAGGCGCTGATCTACAACTGGGCGATGGAGCAGCAGGGTTGTCCTGCTCCTGGGAGGCTCTCAGCTGACGACACTTTGATCCAGGGAGACGGAAAGGGTTCACACAGCAGGACAACTTCATACCATGGCAGCTGCAGGATAAGTTTGCTGGTGGGACTGGCCAGCTCGTGATGGTGAAGACTGACAGATGGAGGATGCAGAGAAACAAAAGGGGGAAGGAGCTGAAACCGAAGAATCGCAGCAGAACACTGTCGTTGCTTCACGATTGATGTGCAGGTGGAACTGACTGTTATCGCCCAGGTCTACAACAGGTATTATCATCTTTTCGTGGAAGGAGAATCGGAGAAACTGTGAGATTCACTCTCGCTCTCTATGGCTACCTGACATTGATTGCCCTCTGATCTTGTTAGCATGGAGCTGGCGGGTGGGAACGAGATCGTCGATTCATTCTACGATCATGAGAATTGGTGTGTGGTGATCAGAAAACTTTGACACAGAAACTTTGAAACAGAAAACTTTGATGCAGAAAACTTTGATGCAGAAAAGCATTTGATACACAAATTTTTGACACAGCAAACTTGACACCTCACCCTTGCCCGTCGTCCCTGCTCGTCCAAACTTCTATCTTCTTGACTGGTTTGAGCTGCGGTCGTTCTTGTAGTTCGATCCTTGGCGCCCAGATCTTCAACGGCACTATGCGGTAGAGGGGCTGACATCCTTGTTGGCTGCTTGCGTTCTGCAGCAGAAACTAGTAAGGTAAAGTTTTATCATCAAGAACAAGAACAAGAACAAGAACAAGAACAAGAACAAGAACAAGAACAAGAACAAGAACAAGAACAAGAACAAGAACAAGAACAAGAACAAGAACAAGAACAAGAACAAGAACAAGAACAAGAACAAGAACAAGAACAATGTTATAATCTTCACCGCATCTTTGTAGTGGATGGATGGCAACGAAGAAGATGAAATCCAGATTGCAACGGAGGCGGTGTTACGAAAGCACTGCAGAGACCACAAGAACCTGTGTTGCTCTCTCCATCTGCCCTCAACTCTCTCAGATGAGGCCTCCTCGACGCGCTAGATCATGCTCGTGAGGAGGTTGAGGAAGAGGGAGAGGTGAAGTCTACCTCAACCTCTCTGATCGCCTCGTCCCCTGCGATTGGAAGCCTTCGGCCCTCCTCCTCGAGCCCCGCGCGCTTGACGGCTGAAACCAGTCGAAGAAGAAGCAGGATCAGACGGCTGGTCCCGGCACAACAGATAGAAGCATCGTCACGTTACCTCTTCCCCATCCCCCGCATCTAGCCCTCACGGTCAGCAGCACCAGCACAGCAAGGACAAGAATCAACCTTGTTCGTGCCTGTGAGCGCTCTTCGTCTGCCTTGGACTTCTCGTCCTAAACGACCCAAACCTGCTGAAGCTCGTGAGCAAGGCACCTGACCGCCCCGCCTGCTCCTTCACCGCTCCATGCTTGGAGCTGTCGTGGGTCTGCAACAGAGTAGTTACTCTCCTTCCCCCAACCCATCGCAGCGTCACCTGCGTTGCTCCCTGAAGGTCATGCGAACGTCGTCGGGCTCGCTGCTCGTGAGCCTCATGGGAAAGTCGGAGTGGACGAAGAGAGACTGATTTCCTTCTTCAGCGTTTCGGAGGACCAGAGAGCCCGAGTATGCGGTGACCTGCCGGTGGTCAGGGTGAGCAGGCTAGCGGGATTAAGACGGGAGGCTCACGGAGGGATTTGCTGTGTACGGCCGACTCTTCGACCTTGCTGCTCTCAAGGCAGCTGGCGCAACGGAGGGTCGAGAATGGGGCAAGTAAGTCAGAGAAAGAGGGAGAAGATGCGAGGAGGGGGGGGTGGGATCTTGGAGATATCAAGTCCCATACCTATTGCCGTCAGAGGTCTCATCCCATTCGGCTGAAGTTCAGCAACAGCACCTTGAGCGAAGGTGAGGATGATGATGAGGATGAGGATAATGAGGGGGAGGAGGGGGAGGGGGAGGGGGAGGGGGAGGGGGAGGGGGAGGAGCGTGCATGAAAAGGTGTAATGAACTCGGTTGCGAGTACCGGAGCTGGTGGAAGGACGAGAGTCGATCAGAAGGTCTTGACCGTGCTGAGGCTGCAGGGCTGCACGATTCCGCTCAGTTTCCTTCACCTGCGGATCATCCATCTCAGCTGATGGAATGCGGCACAGCGCATTGAAGTGAAACCAAACTCATGCACGCTTACAGGAGACAAGTGCTGAAGGTCTTGGGGTCGCAAGACCTTCTCCCTCTCTGGGTCTCTCCCTATGACTCGAAAGGCTCCCACATTCCTCCTGTTTGTCCTCAACGAGCGACTCCAACCCGCCTGATTGCCTTGCAGCGCTCGCGCTAGAATGGCCTCGGGGGTATCAGACTCCTGCGCTACCTTGCGCTTGTGGGCAGGGGGAGTGAGCTCCGAGCCGAAGCTCATGATCTCGAGCACATGGTGGTCCTTGTATCTCTGAGAGCTGTTCATCTCATACTCGTAGCTCTGCTCCTTCTCAACCATATTCTCGCCCCCCTCGTCCGCTTTCGTGACCTGCTCTGGCTCTGCAGGCAACGATTGGTTCTGATTCTTCTTGAACAGGAGCGAAAGGTTGTCCAGGTGCGGAACAGGAGGAGGCATCTTTCCTGAGCTGACGAGGGCATGGAGCTTCTTCATGGATGCCTGAGGGAAACATCAGAACACTGTCGTCAGCCAACAATGTATCTTGTCCTCCTTCGATGCCTTATGGTCATCCTGTTTGTCTTGTTTCTCTCTCCTCTTATCCTTTGATTCCCAGCTCTCCTCCCATCCTGCATCCTCCCCCTCTCTTTCTCCCAACCTTCCCCTTTCTCCCGTTTATTTTCGCCCGTTTTGACAGGCTATCAACTATCACCCCACCCCCAAATTGATACCACCCTACCCATCAAAAGACTTCCCTTTTTTGTTTATTGAGGGGGTACTTGGTAGAGATTTAAGTACCCCACCCTGGGGTGTCACTCGAACTATTTCCTGCCATGTCGTCGCCTGCACTGCAACATGAGATGCGGCAGCAGGAGGGGGAGGGGGAGGAGGACAGGTCAGACGATGACACCAGCATCTCAGTGAGCGAGAAAAGTGTAGAGAAGAAGTCCAAGAGGAGGAAGCCAAACTGTGTCCCCAAGTCGTGGGTCCGAGCTTCAGAGAGAGTCAGGGGGTGGGTTGAGGTTCGACTAAACGGCACGTTCGGGGTTCGACTAGAGGTGTTCAATGGATTGTGTAGCTTCACGAGCGTGTTATTGTACTGCTTGCAAACGTACGTTGACCGAGCAAGCACGGTAAACAAGGGCCTTGAGAACACAGTCAAGTTGTTGGATCAGATTCAGAACGTGATCATCATTTTCTTCCTTTCTGACTTCCTTCTGCGACTTTATGCTGCTGAGAACCGTTGGAAGCATCTGCACGACAAGTTCGTCATCATCGACATCGTCACCATCTTTCCTCCTTTCCTCGTTCGCGTTTCAGTCTGGAGTACTCAGAGCCCAGCTACGAGGGGCTTCACGATGCCGACGACGGGCAACTATGACTTCTTGAGGGTAGTGCGAATGCTCAAGGTCGTCCATGCTATCTCAGTCTTGAGGTGGTCGAACTCGTCGAGACTGTCAGCGGCAGACGACGTGTCGAGGAAGATCTTCATCTCCTGCGCCGCCTTCTGCTGCATCCTCCTCTGCTTCTCGGGTATGTTCCTCGAGCTCGAGAACCAGTTCGGGACCGAGGGCGACATCTTCCTCCATGACGCGCTCTACTTCGTCATCTGCTCCATGTCATCTGTGGGGTAAGAGACTCACCTCGCTCGCTCCTGCCACGTCGCAGTCACCTCCTCCTCCTCCAGGTACGGCGACATCTCTCCCACCACTCTGAGCACGAAGATGCTTGTCATCCTGATGATCTGCGCTGCCTACGCCATCATCGGGGATCAGCTCAACCAGTTCAACAAACTCCTCTCCACCTTCTCTCCCTGGGCTCGCGCGCAGTACAAGGCCAAGTCGTCCAGCAAGCATGTGGTGGTGTGCGGGGAGACGTCGGTCTCTTCGATCACTGAGTTCTTGGAGGAGCTGTTCCATCCCGATCACGGCACAGATGACATGCTGCTCTTTGTTGTCATTGTTGGCACGGGCAGACCCAGTCAGGCCTTCCAGAATGTGATTGCGAACTGGCCGCAGGTCACGTACCTTGAAGGTTCGGTAATGCAGGTGACCTTAATACTCCTGCTCCTGCTCCTGCTCCTGCTCCTGCTCCTGCTCCTGCTGCTCCTGCTGCTCCTGCTCCTGCTCCTGCTGCTCCTGCTCCTGCTCCTGCTCCTGCTCCTGCTCCTGCTCCTGCTCCTGCTCCTGCTCCTGCTCCTCCCTCAATCTTAGCAACGATTCTCTTTGAGATGATCCGAGAATGCAGGAGAGGACGCTCGAGCGAGCGGACATCGTCAAGGCCTCCTCCATCTTCCTCTTCTGCGACAAGGAGGCGCGGAACCCCAAGGAGATGGACACGCAGACGATCATGCGCGCGTTCGCCATCAAGGAGTACCTCAAGCAGGAGAAGAAGGACGTTCCTCTCTTCATGCAGATCATCCAGCCCGAGAGCAAGGTCCACTTCACCTCCTCTGCCTACGGGACCACCAACTACCAGATCGTCTGCATCGACGAGCTAAAGCTTCGCCTCCTCGGAAAGAGCTGCATCTGCCCCGGCTTCTGCACCCTCATCTCCAACCTCGCGCGGTCTTGCAGCACTTCCTGTAAGTTGCTCCCTCCTCCTCCTCCTCCTCCTCCTCCTCCTCCTCCTCCTCCTCCCTCCCTCCCTCCCTCCCTCCCTCCCTGAAAATGCGTCTGACTCTCTTATGTGACTTCCTCCTTCCTCCCTCCTCCCTCCTCCCTCCTCCCCTCTGCACCTGCCCTCTTTCACTTCTTCTGCCTACAGTGCAAAATAGCGAGCAGTGGATCGAAGAGTACACCGGCGGCTCCTCCAAGGAGATCTATCGCGTCCCTCTCCCCTCCTACTTTTGCGGCATGTCGTTCGCACAGGCCGTCAACCTTGTCTTCGAGCATACCTGCTGCACGCTGTTTGCCATCGAAATTTCCGACGCAGAGGGAGTCATGAGGAGCGTGCTGTTCCCCGGGAGGTACGAGATCCCTTCGGGCCAGTCGCACGCCTACATGCTGGCGGAGAGTGTGGAGGACGTGGCGAGAGTCTCCGACTTCCGCGGTGAGTCCGGGAGAAGGGAGGGAAGGGAGGGGGAGAGAGTCAAGATGATTGGTTGGTTCTGTTGTTGTGATGATGATGCGGACGTTGGTGTGATGAAGGTGATGGTCACGATGATGATGATAAGGAGGAAGAGAGGCGGAGAGGAGTAGCAAGGAGAGAGAATGGCAGAGAAGGAGGAGGGAGGAGGAGGGCGAAGAGCGGAGCAGGGGCTCGAGCGTCCAGAGTTGATCGTGTTGACCTTCGACACCCTGACGTCTCCGCGTCTCGCCCTCAGATCACTTCAGGGGCAGGAAGGAGGAGGAGAAGAAGACCGAGTTTGTCATCCAGCACGAGTCCTCGGCCACCTGCGAGAAGTCCAGGGTCTTCATCGAGAGGATGGACAGGTCGTACCACATCACACGCATCCCCCGAGATCTTAGCAGGACCATCCTGGAGACCGCAGAGAACTTTTCAGGGCACATCCTCGTCTGCGGCCACAGCTCCTCCATCGGCCAGTTCGTCCAGACCCTCCGGCAGAAGCATCTGGTCAGCCAACAGATCGTCATCCTCCACCCGGAGATCATCACCTCTGCCGACTTCGCCAAGGTCGCAATCTACCCTGAAGTCTACTTCGTGCAAGGTACATGCTCTTGCTGCTCGTGCTGTTCCTGCTCCTGCTCCTGCTCCTGCTCCTGCTCCTGCTCCTGCTCCTGCTCCTGCTCCTGCTCCTGCTCCTGCTCCTGCTCCTGCTCCTGCTCCCGCTCCCGCTCCTGCTCCGCTCCTGCTCCTGCTCCTGCTCCTGCTCCTGCTCCTGCTCCTGCTCCTGCTCCTCTCTCTCCTCTCCAACAGAGCTTCCTCGATCCTCTCCAGCTCACCTTCTCCCTCTCCTCCTCCTCTCACCCTTCTCTTGCAGGAAGGCCCATGAACGGCAAGGATCTCATCCGTGCTGGCATGCTCGGCTGCTCGAAAGCTGTCGTCCTTTCAGGGTCCAACAACCCGTCGGCGCAGGACGTTGACGGTGTGCTCAACGAGGAGGCGGCGGCGTCGCTCGTGGACTCTGACAGCGTCTTGACTTACCATCTCATCTCCAACCACAACAAGAAGGCAGATATTGTCTGCGAGCTCAGGAACTCCGCCAACATGAAGTACCTGATGAAGGAGGACAGGAACGCGCTGGAGCGGGATCACACCCTGTGCCCTCCCTTCGCCTCGGGCAAGGTCTACATCAACTCCATCCTCGACAAGCTCATCTGCCAGCTCATGTACAACAGCCACCTGAACACCATCATCCGCGAGCTCGTCGTCTCCTCCGGCCTTGACCACGACGACTTCACATCAGGAGACGTCTTCCCCAGCGAGCTCTTCACCATCCCCGTCCCCTCCTCCTTCGACGGCAAGCCCTTCATCCAGCTCTTTCAGTTCCTCGTTAGCAAGCAGAACATCCTCCCTATCGGCCTCTACCGCCAGCATCCTACCGACGACTTCGCTCCTCTCCCCTACGTCGTCAGTGCTCCCCCGGTATCAGCCGTCGTTCTGCTCCCTTCCCTCCTGCCCCGTTGTCCACCTTCTCCTCCTCTCCTTCTCTCCTCCTCTCCTCTTCTCCTCCCCGCTCTCCTCTGACATGCACCAGCGCGATCTCGTACTCAACAAGGATGATCAAATCTTCACGCTCATCTCGCCGCTCATGTCCCTTCCGAGGCCCAAGGGTCTGTTGTACATCAAAGGTAGCTATCAATTTGTTCCTCTTCCTCCTCCTCCTCATCCTGCTGATCCTCCTCCTCCTCCTCCTCCTCCTCCTCCTCCTCCTCCTCATCCTGCTGTTCCTCCTCATCCTGCTGTTCCTCCTCCACAAACACCAACAACCCAAACATTTCGCCCCTTCCTCGTCGTTCTCTTCCTCCTTCCTCCCATTACCAATCGTCTTCCTCTTTCCCCATCCTCGCTCCTCCTCATCTTACTCGCTCCTCCTCATCTTACTCGCTCCTCCTCATCTTACTCGCTCCTCCTCATCTTACTCGCTCCTCCTCATCTTACTCGCTCCTCCTGCTCATCATCATCTTTATCATCATCAGCATCATCACCATGACTGGCTAGATCGTGACTTGAAGTCCTCCAGTACTCCGAGCAACGCTGCAGAAGAGCTGGGATATTCGATTGCCCGACCATCCCGAGCCGGTGGAGCAGGTGGAGGATGTTTCATGCTGCGTCCATTGCCAGGGGGAGAACTTCGAATCTCATACCTGCAGGTGAAGGAGGAGTAGCAAGAAAGGGGAAGGGAGGAGGAGGAGGAGGAGGAGGAGGATCAGGAGGAGGAGGATCAGGAGGAGGAGGAGGAGGAGGAGGAGGAGGAGGAGGAGGAGGAGGAGGAGGACATCACTGACTCGAGGATAGGAACGCCTGTCGGTGCGATGGAGTACGAAGTCCAGTGGGTGCCAGTCAAGGAAGACGATCCCTTTACCAAGACTCTCAGCGCTGGTGTCGAACTGGCAGGACCTGAAGGACACCGGCCGGTGGCTCCCGCCGCTGTTGGGAGCTGATGAGAGAGGGCAGGGCAGGGCAGGGCAGGGCAGGGCAGGGCAGGGCAGGGCAGGGCAGGGCAGGGCAGGGCAGGATTGGATGTATTTGTGTTATCTTGTATTCTACGTGTTGATGAAGTTTAGCGACGTCAAAACGCCATCCCGTCGTCTGAAGAGCGATCCTTCGCCTTGAGAGATATGAGAACAGCGGAAGGGGAGAGGAGGGAAAGAAGAGGAACGAGAAGGAGAGAGGAAAAGGGAGAGGAGGGGGAGGAGAGGACGACGAAGGGGTTGGGGAGGGGAGGGAAAGCAGAGGAAGGACAAGGGGGAGTGGAAGGGGAGGAGAGAAGGAGAGGACGACGAAGGACGGAGGGGGAAGGGGAGGTATTCTACCTCGTACTCTACGCGGTTAGATGGAGGAGTCTTCCCTTTGGCCTCCAGCTCTCTGATCTGTTCTTCGAGTGCCTTGCGAACCTGAACACCTCAGGGGTCAGAGCGGCGAAAACACCGGGAGAGGAGAAGCGAAGGAGGGAGGGGAAGCAGAGAGAGAGAAGATCAGAGGAGCGGGTTCAGCAGGGGAGGGAGTGAGCAACGCAAGAGAGGGTCAACCTGCTCTGGAGGGGCGCCATCCGTGTCCATGAGCATCTGGCAAGTAGCCCCGTCAGTAGTGAAGGGAACAAACCAGGGTAAACGCAAGCAGGAAGAGAGGGAGGAGGAGGAGGAGGAGGAGGAGGAGGAGGAGGGAAGAGGAGGGAGGAATTGAGTAAAGCGATCCACCTGTGCAATCTTCCCGAGCTTGTTGTATCTGCGATCAACTTTCGTATTCTTGTAGCATGGTTAGTGCCAGCAAGAGGAGGAGGAGGACGGGTTGCCTACCATGAGCGAACTCCAGTCTCTCTCCACCAGCATCTTCTGCAGGTTTTCAGCTCCCACCTGCCAGTCCATCAGTCCTCTACTGCTCTGCCGATCTCTGCCATTTCCATCTCCTCCTTCCACCCCCCCCACCCCCTTCTCACCCTGGCCTCCTTCCCTTCTCCTCCCCTTCTCCCTTCGCATCCTCCACTCCATCCCTTCCTCCTACAACCGACCTCCCCCTCCCCTCTTCCCTCAGCTTCCATTTGCAGCAGGATACCTCCATCAGCGTCTCCTCGTTCTGTGTGTAAACCAGCCCGGTCGGGATCGACTTCTGGGCAAGTCGAACTTGGTTGGTCCGCAGGATGTTGATCATCGGGAAGCTAACAGGAACTGTCATCCTCCTCTCCTCGACCTGACGTCCCTCACCTCGATCTCCTCGCAAAGTTCGCGGCTCCAGACTCTCCCATCCTGTCAGCCCCATCTCTGAACACCCACTGGGGATGGAAGAAGACGAGCTGGAGCAAAGGCACGTCAGTTGCATCGGGTAAGGAGGGGGAGAAAACGAAAGAGGAGGAAGGGAAGGAGTGGGTTGTATTGTAGAGGAGGAGATGAGGAGTCGGAGGAGTGCAAGTAGTCGGAGGAGGAGTCGGAGGAGTACGAGGAGGAGGAGGACAAGGAGGAGGACCACGACGACAGGGAGGAGGAGGATTGTGGGGGGGCAGGGGAGCGTTCGGACCTGGATGTACTTTTCGATGCCTAGAGCGGAGAGGGACTGAGAGAGCGTGTCGGTGAAGCTCGTAAAGGCCTCGCAGTTGCCTGTAGCCAACAGGTCAGGGAGGAGGAAGCGAGTCGACAGCCCCGGTGCCTCCTACCGATGTAGAAGTTGGGCAGGATGTGGAGGGTGGTGCTGATATCAGACTCGTCCCGCTGGATGAGGAGGCTGACTTCCTTCCAGTACCTGGACAGGTCGGTCAGCTCCTCCACAGCCTCGACGTCTCCCCTCACTCGGAGTAGATCTCCTCCGGTCGGCTCTGGCGCGAGATGGAGTAGTGGACGGGCCCGAGGGGCAGCCCTGCCTTGTCCGCGCTCTGAGAAGGAGAAGCTTGAGGAGACGGGGGGGAGAGGAGCAGCGCTTCTCACCCGGCTGAAGGGGCAGACGCCCATGTCGCTGATGATGACGTTGACCCAGTCACGGATGATCTTGAGGACCTCAGCGTCGTCCTCCGGCACCTGCTCGGACTGAGCGCGGACTTCTACATCTCTGAAGCCGACTGCTCCTCTATCCCTTCCTCCCTCTCTCCCCTCTTCCCTCCTTTCTTCCTCTCACCCGTCTTCAGGCCTCTCTCCCTCCCCCTCTCCCCTCCCCCTCTCCCCTCCCCCATCCTTCCGAAGAGAGGTCTGCTCCACCCTGCTTCATTGCATGGGATGAGGCGATACTCAAGGGAAATAACGAGAAGGGAGGAGAGGAGGGAGGGAGACGTGGGGAGTCATAGGGAGAGAGA